GGCGCTGAGATGAAGGAGCTGCTTCATGCTGCATTGCTGTTCCCTCATAAAGAGGCCAATGCTAGTGTGCTGCCAATGGTGAAGCAGCTGCTAGATGACGATGAACTGGTCAGCGTGTTCTTGAATCCTCGACTTCCACTGCTTCCTACCAAAAGAGTTGGCGATCAGGCATTAATAGAAGAAAGGGAGCAGGAAAGAGAAGAAGAAAAGAAAGATGAAGAGAGACCAGTCAAGAAAATCAAGATCGAAGAAACAGTGCCTGTTGAGGCACCGGCAAAGGATTATTTAAAAGAGGATATTTTTGAGGAGACGAAGGAAACGTTGGAGACTACTTCGAAAGAGGACGTCTCAGACTACGAGAAAATGATCTTCAAGCCTGTTGGATCGCTTGTGGAAAGTACGGACGTTGCACGGGCTTCAGTCGAAGATGTGAAGCCGGTTGCAGTCGAACAAGCACCGTCAGCACAATCTCCATCCGGCTCTCCTTCAGGTGATGAATCAGATTTCGAGATTCCGGAAATCGACATCGACGATGACTGATGTAGCTATGGTTCGTATGGCGTTGACGTGGAGAGACGAGTCAAACCACAATTGTGCATAGCTGTTGTTCTCGCATGCCATATACAGATTGAACTCCTCGCATTTTCTCAGATCAACTGAGTTGCTCGAAAAACCCACCTTTTGGCCTGCTACGTGGGACTATATTCAATGTAATATATTAGAGTTTATATATCTCTTCCTAATTTCTACTTCAATTCAGAAGGTACAAAAGCGTCTTGCAACAAATGTTGTAACAAGATAAATTTGCGCCAAACGCTTTCACCCACGCTTTCCCAAAGCCATCCCGAAGAACAACTTATTCCCGAAGGAGGGAAACCGGGTGTGTTAAAAAACAGCGCCTAGTTTTCATCATTTCTTAGTAAAAACTAGGAAGGATAATTTTCATTCTGGAAAAAAATCCACTAAATACTGGGAGAGGGTTATGCAGCCCGAGACTTTAAAAAAATAATTTTCAGCTAACTTTGCAGATTACTATGGCACCAGTAAGGAGGAAGAAGGCTGCCGAGACGGCGAAGGAGCCCGAGAAACTCACCATAGAAAGAGTAAAGGAACTTCATAATCAGATCAGGGAGTCTCCGAAATATTTCAACAATATTGCAATATTGATAGATGAGTACAAAACTCTTCTTAAAGAGTTTGGAACTGATACAAACGAAGACCTCAATATCTTGACGAGGTTCGTTTCCTCAACCTTAGTGAGAGTTTTTGATCATATAATCACCACCAAGCAGCTGAAGCTAACCAGCTTTGAGAACGAACAAAAAGAAATCGTGAGAAAGTGGCTCAAGAGCAAATACAATGATTTTAAGCTCTGTTTGGTTGAGACATGGAAAATTGACATCGACAACGAGGGAACGTATGCTTTGAAAATGGACAATCTGGATTCTCTGATGAAATTTGTCAAGATTGAAAGTAAGCACTTCAGCTCCAACAATGATGAACCATTTTTCTCAAATCGGACTTACAAACTTGTCCTTCAGCATCTGCTAATTACGGGAAACTTGTCTCAAATGCTTGCCCACGATGCAACTATTGACAACTTCTTGATCTTGGAATTTAGAGAGTCCTATTTCAATAAATACTGGGACCTTCGATATTTCTTTTTCAGTGAACTGATCTCAATCTTGGAAACAGAGCTAGACCCACATACGCAGCAGTTGATAGTATCCAACGTGATTACGGTCATCAAGCCGCAACCACTATACGATTTGAAGAACCCAGAGCTAACAATGTACGTGGAAAACCCACCCAAGACAGTCTCCAACATGCGCCAATTTAGATCTACATTCGAGAAATGCATTCTCAAACTAATCAACTTGAAACTGCTACCGGAGCAATACAAGGCATTTCTGTTTATCCTACATAAGCGAATCATTCCATTTTTCAACAATCCCACCAAGCTGATGGACTTTTTGACCGACTCATACAACCTTGGATTCAATGTCAAGGATATCAGTTTATCCATCCTGTCGCTCAATGGTCTATGGGAACTAATGAGACAATTCAACTTGGAATATCCCGACTTCTACACCAAACTGTATGCAATTCTGACTCCCGAACTTCTGCATCTCAGCTACAGGTCACGTTTCTTCCGATTATTGGACATTTTCATGAGTTCAACGCACATATCGTCCGCTATCGTGGCATCATTTATCAAACGGCTCGGGCGACTATGTTTGACCGCTCCCCCATCCGGTATCGTCTGTGTGATCCCGTTTGTGTACAACTTGCTCAAAAGACACCCTACATGCATGCTCTTGATCCACTGCACCGAACGCGAGACAGCGGACCAGTTTGACGACAAAGAGCCGGATCCAGCCAAGACAAACGCACTGGAATCATCTGCATGGGAGCTCGAGGCAGTCATTCATCACTACCACCCCAATGTCGGTTCGCTCGCTAAAATATTCACACAGCCGTTCAACAAATACAGCTACAATATGGAGGATTTCCTCGATTGGAGTTATTCGAAGCTGGTGGATAACGAGCTTAATAAAAGATTCAAGGGAGAACTGGCTGTGGAATTGGAAAGTTGGGATTCCTTGCTTGGAGAAGAAGGATACCTGAAAGAGTATGTATACTAAACCGATCTGAATAAATTACTCAAGTGAACCTATCTTTTGCGCACATTAACCAATCCACTGTCCATTCATAGCACCAAAAACTGACCGCAGCGGTAGGAGCCGCCTTAATCAGAGCTGGCGTTAGCCCATGATACGCTCCTCGAATACCCTCTGTAGCCAGGATATAGCGCATTGTTGCCACAAATCTTCCTTCATGGGCCATGTGCTTCCTCCTTTTAACTAGATCCAAAGGATACACAAAAGTTTTCGAGATCGTACCGGCAACAAGGCCAGCAGCCGGTTCCAGCGGGGTGTTGGCCATATGGTCTTTGTAAAACGAGTACACGCCAAAGGATACGCCCATGGATATAGACACGTATCCCATGGACAGCTGTATACCCCTGAAAAAGGCCCTAATTCCGTCTTTGGCATACATTTCTTTCGCTTCGGCCAGAAAAGAAGTGAAATAAGGGTTCTCTTTAGCCGCCAAACGAGTACGAAGCACATCAAACGGGTAGGACATCAATGTCGAAACACATCCGGAAAGCGCTCCAATGGTGACAGCATGAATAGATGCTGGAACCTTGAGCTCCAACGTTTTCTCTGTGTCTGACACCAGCTGGTTCAAAGTCGAATAAGTGGCAAACTGCGTGGCCCCGTATATCAGATACATGATTTCTGCTGGTAAATTGCCTTTCCAAAACGCTCGTATTCCCTCGTTGTGTAGGATTGTTCGCACTGTCTGAATTATTCCTCTATACCTATCTTGACCTCCATTAAGCTGTAATCGAATCTTTATAACATCTATTGGGGCAATCACCATTCTGGCAACTAGTCCAGATACGGCACCACCTGTGGCAGATATGTAAGGTGGCACCTCAACTCCCTGCCGCAAGTTGCTGTTTGACATTCCATCGAGGTTATATAACAATCAAAAAAATTTCGGATCGGAGTTGGAATAATATATCAGATAATCTATCGTACATTGATCATTACAGATTTCGCAGACCACATACAAGTTCTAGACACGCTCGAGCTCTTGCTGTTTGAGTATCGCTTGCTTCGTCTCCTCATCAACAACACCATCGAAAATTTCCAGCGGGACGTCTTCTAAGCCGGTTTTGATGACGCCCTTGTCTTGGATCACGATGTCAAATGTCAGTTTACGACTATCGTGGAGCTTCTTCATGGAGCATGTTGTAGGCTGCATGATATCTGGAACATGATTGACTCCAGTGTATGGATCCCTCATAAACTTTGACTTCAGGATCTCCAATCTGTCGTTGAGCAACTCAGCATCGAACTTCCGCACACTCAAAGCCTGGTCGTATATCCAGGTCGTGTGAGGGTTACTAGCCTGCACAAATGCGCGCTCAAAACCCGTGATGCCCGGAGTAAGCATAGCGACGCGCTTTTGATCATTGTTGTCGTTGTAGTAATCAAATGTTATCACGGCTGGAGCGCCTCGTTGAGCACCAGATTCAATAGCTTTCTGTTCGTAGTAATCGTCATCCACCTGCTTTCCATTAACAACTATTTTTGCACCGAATTCCTTGAAGATAGATCTAGCAGTCACCAAGAATATGGTTCTTGTCTTGTAAGAGTTAGGAAGCACGCCATTGGCTATCAGATCAAGCTTTTCTGTATCGCCAAGAGTGATCTTGAACAACCGTTTGTGTTTCTGGAATAAAAAGTATGAATCTCTGTATCCCACCAAACGCGCAGCTTCGGTAGCAATCATGTAGTACTTTTGTCCTCTCTGAGGAACCTTAAAAATACGACACTTGTATTGGCGACCCCCGAGTAATTGACCCATCTTATTCACTTTTGTTTCTCCCTTTGGATCTTCTGGAGTTATAACTTCGTCGTCCTTGATTTTGATCGGGTTCCCATCCTCATCGGTGAGTATGTTCCGGTATTTGTTATTAGGGTCTCCTTCATCATCCATCTTACGTCTCTTGCCCAAACGAGGGCGACCACGCCCTCTTGTCCGCTGAGCTTCAACATAATACACCTCTCCGTCCTCATCATCGGCCAGTCTGAGCTCTGGGGCATCTGGTGTTGGTTTCTCTTTTTTCACGGGCTTCTCTTTTGGCTTCTTCTCCGTCTGTGAGTTGTGTTCCTTTTCTTCCTCTTCCTTTTCTTCTTCCTCCTCATAATCGACGTCGCTTTTGTCCTCAGTCTCCTGAAACACTTCGTCGTCCTCGTAATCAGACTCGTTCTTTATGGATGCCATCTTGCGCACACTAAACAAAAAGCCAGTTTTTCGTGATTATTTAGGTGCCGGGTAATCTCCAGAATTCGAGTATAAAGCTTGAATGAAGTAACGAGAATTTTTTTTCCCTACAATTATTTGATTACCTAATCGGATCTGTGCTGGCCTCGAGAGAACAGAGTTGACGACTATGCAAGTTGGAGTCTGATACCAGTCGCTCGGTATTCGATCGATGAGTTGAGGATTTCCAGGTCCCTTGTTTGGTCTGATCTCTGTTTTCTGGGCTGTGATGGTAGAATCTTCGATATTCTTACTGCTGAGCGCAGATCCTAGATCGACGCCCAAATTATCGCATCAACCATACTCGTTGGTTACGTGCTTCATGCTTGGGAGATATTCCTCTGGACTGTAGAACTGCAGCTTCAAATTCTCGGCAAATTTGAGGTCGGAGTCACTGAAATCCCCGGGTCGTCCAGCGGCGTCGCCTACGAAAAAGCTGTTGTCTCGGTCTAGCATTTCTTCTGTGAGCTGGTAGTCTTGTAGAAACTGGCTGAACATACCGGTGTTCGGTTTTCGGAAGAGGGTGTATAAGTCCAAGTCGTGTTGGGACTTGTCTTTTTTTGACTTTCTTGTGCTTGCGTAGTAAATGACCGGTTTTTCCAAATGCTTGAAGATGTCGTCAATTTTCGTGGTCAGGATCTTCAAGCTTTTGGAGTCAGGGGCGTTGACCACCGCTGCTTGGTTCGAGAAAATCACTATTGTGTAGTCTTCAGCTTGCAACTTTGTGAATACTCGGGGCACGTCAAACTTGAATTTCCAGTCGAAAGAGCCGCGTCCAAACTTATACCCCGACTTGGTAGTGATCAGTGTATCATCGAGATCAAAGGCTGCAACCTTCACTGGTGCCGTCAATTTGGTATCAAGAGCATAGGTCAAGCAGTGCGATCCATGGGATCTCCAGCCCTGTTTGGACTCACGTTTTGACTCACGTTTGAAGCTTGCTGTAGATGAAGCCTGGCTCTTCCGGCTGAAAGATTTGGTGATTTTAGAGTCGGTGTTAAGTTTCCCGGTCAAAATCGAAGCAATGCTATTTTCCGTCATGGCCTAATTTATTTCATTCGCGTTCTATTTTTCTGGCTATATACATTAACGAACTCTGCACAATAATTCGCACTCGAGGTTTCTTTTCAGAGCCTCAATCAAGGTCATCACCTGGTTGTCTTTTGTCTTCACAAAAACAATCTCACCCGGCTTTAGCTGCGGAATGTATCTCAGATTCTTTCCCGAGGCCAGTTGCTCCAATTCTGGCACAGACACAAAAACTCTTCTATTAGGTTTGGAGATTAATGTGAATTTGCTCAGCACGGGCTGGCCGTTACGATACTTAAGGCCCAGCCAAAGTCTCCGCGTAGCGATATTGTCGTAGGTAACCTCCACTGGTTTGAGGTCTGGGCCGGCAGTGGAACCCCTAGTAACGGAGTCGATGAAACCTTCCTTGTAAAGCCCTAGTGCCACTTTCAAGTGCAACTTGGTATATGGTATTTTTGCCAGCGGCAATCTGGCCATGGAGCAGTTCTGCAGATGCGCCCCGACGTTGGCAAGATTCACAAGTGACATGTTGATTGGACTGACGAAAATTCAAGATGGAAAAAAATTGACTAGATTAGTTGGTGCAAAGATTAGAAAATTTGTACCTCGAATAGCATGATTTCTTTCAGAGTTCTCAGAACTGCAACCCGTAGAACGCGCTTCTACCGCCCACTGCCGATCAATACGTACCAGAAGCGTACATATGCTCTGAAAGAAACCAACGATCCCCCAAAATTAGCATACTTTCTACTGGTCGGTGTTTTTGGTACGCTCGTTTTTGTGTACGTTGCCAACAAAGTCAATGACCAGGATGCGTCCAAATCGCTGGCTAAGCGGAAAAACACTTATACCGAAGAGGAGTGGGAACAGCAGATGAATCAAATCAAGCGCAAACAGCTGGCCTTTGACAACTCCAACAACTTCTATTTGGTTCCTTACGGAGCGCATAGAGAAGAGAAAGTGAAACAGTTGGTAGACACCCTTGGCCCTGACACTGCCACTGTGGACCTGAACGAACTCATCAAACGGCAAATAGATGATCCAAACTCGCAATACGGCGCACTGTTAGGAAAGAGTCTGGATACATACGATCCTCAAAGAAACACATGTTTCTATACCTTTACTTATAAACTGGCTGCGGGTGTATTCACCAAACTTGTGAGAACTGAGATGCAACGCCTCAAAGCTGCAAATTCCCAAATCAAGAATTTTGTTATATTGAACTATCCGAACACAATGCCCGAGGCTGTTAAATTTGAGCAGGATGTGGCCATTGTCAAGAACCTTGTTCTTTTGGACGACAAAGAATCAAATGAGAACATTGTGGACTATTTCCGAACCGTTGGAAAGGTTGTGGATCTACACAAGCTAGAAAAATAGTGTAAATAATCTCTGTATATATTTAATTAAAGTACTCTTGTACCTTGCGACAGTACTCGAAATCGCGACTCTGTGCGTTCGAAAACGCATATACGTTTTTCTTTGGTTTCAACCTCTCGCTCCTCGAAACCACCTGGTCCCTGTTTATCGCCCAGAATGTGATCAGAGCAATGTTTTTGGTCTTGGCAAAAGCCAAAACTCTATCAAAGTCAATGAGCGAGAAAACAGTATTGTCGTCGTTGTAACCTATCATCGGGCATATTCCAATCATTCTCCAAGCTTGGTCCTCGGTCAGATGCAACCTTAATCGCAATTGGCGGTTGATGTCGTTCAGAATGCGAATGTTTTCCGCTCCCCAGTTAGATCCAGAAGGTAGCTTAGTATAATAATCCATGATCATAGCATTGACAATCTTGATGTGAACCTTATTGCTGATCAACTCATCCAGAGCCCAGAGAGCGTCATCGTTTAGTCCTCCCTGGAACTCGACAGGAAGCGTGAGCGAAACATGGAACTGTGTGCCGAAATGGCTCTGGACAAGACTTATTATTCTGGCAATTTTTGCAACCTTATTTTGCCTCTCTAGAACACTGCCTTCGATATCCAAATCGATCCCTTTGAATCCTGCCCTTGTGACCAAGTCAATCAGCCGAAAGGCCTCTTCTTCAACAGACCGACAATCTGAAGGATACTCGCCAGTTGCTCCCCCTATAGAAAGAATGACCTGTCCTGGGAACTGACGAACGTCCTCTGTCCACTGCTCAATTTCTTCATAGCGATCATTGGTCAGAAAGGCCAGTGTGACGCTGTTTAAGCCTATCCGAGAGGCATCTTTGAGGTTGGAAAGCCTAAACGCTTTGCTTTCATCTTTGCTCCAGGCATATATGTAGGGCGCAAATAGAGTCATAATGAAATAGCGCTCAAACTCCTCAATGTAAAAAAATGTAGCATAATTTCTCCCTGAAACCAGCACCTACTTTTTGAAGCTGCCAAACCCCATCAATTTCTTGATTTCAGCGTCCTCCTCGTCTACGTCAGGGTCCTGTCGCTCCTGTCGTTTCCGTTTCTTGGCTTTCTTCTTCTGCTTTTCCTGCTCGTACTTCTCTCTCATTTGTTGCACTCCTGTAGCAAAATCAACCTCAGGAGCATTCTCTTGGGGTTTATCCAGCTTTGCCTTCAATTGCTTGAGTCTCTCCTTCACCTGGTCGAGAGTTACTTCCCGCTGAAGCTCAGACTCGTGCGAAAATCCAGAATTCACCAAATGCTCTTTGGAATTGAGGTGTTCCACAAACTTGAGGTCGTCCTTGAATCGTCTGTTGCAAACATCACAAAAAAAACTGGCTTCCTTGGAGTTCATAGAACCCACAAATGTCACACTGTTGAACTTGTCAACCTTCTCCAACTGCTCCCTGCGAGACTCAAAAAACTTGCGCACGTTCTTCTTCGCCGAAGGGTCAGCAGTCTCATTGGTCTGCTGCTGCCTCCGTCGCGCCCGCTCCGCATACTCGGCCTCGTCCCAGGTCCGACGACCGTAGGAGTCGGTGGAAGACATAGGAGTATAAAATAATTTTAGCTCAGTGTCAGATTATCATTTTGGTGTATTACATAATCATCTAGTTTAGGCCTCCTCAACGATGTGGCCCTTCTCGGAAACGTAAATACCGTCCAAGAACTTTCTGATATCCTTGTTTCTGACTCTGCAGATCTGCTGAATGTCTGCGCATGTCTGCGAAACGTTCTCTAGAGAGTTACCCTCAACAATCAGCTCGTCCTTCTGGGCAGTCGAGATAGTGGCCTTGCATCCTTCCCAGACCTTGACCTTTCTGAGTCTCTTTTCACCCAAGAAGTTTCTGATCTCGACGTATTCCTGGCCATCCTCGTTAACAACATTAACGTTGATAGGGAAGTGCGCGTACACGAATCTCATTTTGTACTTGAATCCGACGGTAACACCCTTGACAAGGTTGGCAATCAAGGACTTGACGGTTCTCAAGGTGGCGACGTGCTTTCTGTCACCGTTGTGGACAGTGATTTTAATCTGTTTGTCGGAGATCTTGGTGAAAGTAACGTCGATGTGTCTCAAGTTCTTGCTCAACTGACCTCTTGGACCGGTGACAGTAATGATTCTGGACTTGATTTGGACGGAGACTCCCTCTGGGAGCTCCAACATCTCGGAAGATTGGACGTATTTCATGCTTGTATACCTTTGGGAGTAAAAAGAATTGGTCCAAAGTGAAAAATTTTGAGGCTCCGTGCAAGGGTGTGAAAGGCAAGAAGATTGTATTTTTTCACAGTCACAAGTCTTTTCCTCATACAGAACATCTAGAGATAGTAGAAGAGCATTCGCATTTCGTTCATTAATAAAGCGAGTTTCCTGTACGATTATACATTATTCTTTCTTTTTGTCTGTGACACCACCTTCCACAGTATCATCAACGTTTTCCAAATCAGATGCCCCTTCCTCGTACACCGTCGAAGTAGAATCGAATCGTAGACTCTTGCGTTTCTTTGGTGTTCCTGCGGAATCCGCAGCAGCCTCTGCGCTCGTGGTGATGTTGCCCCTTGCATTGACACTCTGCACGTCGGAGATGGAGGCCGATTTTGGAAGACTCAGACCCACAGTTTCGGAAGCAGAATGCGGCAAAGAGGCACTGTCCGTGGAGCTGTCGTCGCCTGGAGAAACAAGCTCTGCTGTGCGAATCCATCTTCTGCGTCGCGTATACTTGCTGAACGAATCTTCGGTGGACGGATTCTTCCATGTGTTGTCATAATAGATGAATCCCTCGTCTGGCTTAGGATCAGCTGTAGTTTTGTATTTGGAAGACGGCAACTGCAAAGCTCCATCGTTGGTGAGGTCCAGTCTCCAAGTCTTGTCGATCCATCTCCAGTACATGCCCGAATCGTCGTTTAGTTGTGGAAGCTCGAAGTTGTCTGGTGACTCAGCTTCGTTGAGGAACTCGTCAGTCCACGGAGTTCTTTCGTAGCTGAGCAGATTAGGAGTCCATCCAACTCCTAGCCAGCGTCTCTGGTTCTCATATAGGACATACGTAAACCTAACGGGACCGCTGTGTTTACCTCCAGCCTTCCTAGTGACCTCTTTTAGCTTCTTGTTGGTTTTGTTCATGGCTGTCTTGAAAAGCGAGCTTTTTTCGTTGTTTCCGGACTCGAAAATCAAGCCTGTGTTATAGAAGCAAAACGCCCTCACTATGGAAGACCGCCAAAGCAACTTTCGTGTCACCCTTGACCACGAGGAGTGATATGTCAGGAAAAAAATCACAAGAATGAGCAAAAGCGTCTTCGGTGGAAAGAGGAGGTAGCAGACCAAAATGTAGCCGGGGGAGAGAAAAATGGATGTAAACAGGAGCCTGCGCAGGTCTGCCGAGGTGAGATTTAGGGAACTCACGGGGACAAGAAGCATGTCCGCACGAACGCTGACGGTGGTCAAACAATGCACCACATCGTCCAACGTAGGACTCTTTTTTTGCTCCTTCTCGACATAAGAACGGAAAATCGAGTAAAGGAAAATGAGACCAACAATTGAGAGATGTCCCAGATAAATCACGAAGTTCTCGAAGTATAAAATAAATAGCGTCGCAGTCGTCACTAGGAGAACGGATATATAGGAAGTATCATCAGTCCATGTGAGGACCCCCAAAATCTTGTTGAGAGCAATCAAATATGGATAGGCCTTGATCAGGCTCTTGCTAACTGTGGGAGGCGTGGATGACAATAACGGGGAAGACTGGGGGGTAGAGGTGACCTCTGAGCCTGCTGATAAGCTGGACTTGGCAGTGAAGTTTGCTCTCAAGTTCTCAGTCTCCTTCACCTTGACGCCTGCGGCAGCATTGATTGTATTCAGGCCTGTTGTTGGCTGTACTTCTGAAATGTTGCTGTTAATGCTAGAAGGTGTTAAACCTGCTTTTGAAGCAGGGTTTGAGTTCGGATCCGTAGGCATGATCGATAGGAAACACAATTTTTCCCTGCCGGAGATATGTTATGAGGCCCGTAAAATAGGAAATAAGGTTGGCCACTGCAAGTAACTACTAGAAATCCCTTTAGATTTTTTTATACTAAAATGAATTTCGTGATATAATAATATCATATGTTAATGTACATTTGACATCCTTTTTTATAATTCAAGCAACGTCCTCCATTTCAATATCATCGTCTTCGTCACCATCGTCTTCGTCATCGTTTTTATTATCTGCTTCTAAATCACCGAATCCTTGCTTCTCCTTTCTTTCCACCTCTCTGCTCTTTCTGTACTCGTCTTTTAATCTGTATTTCAAAGCATAGGTTCCTTTGCGCTCCATCACGGCAATGTTTTCCAAGCAGTCCTTCAAGTAAGCTTCTGGCTGATTTGTTTTTTCTCGGATACCTTTCAACGTCCAGTAATCGTACTCGTTGAAGAGATTGAACAGCACCTTCATCAAGTGCTCTCTGTCCATACGAGAAGCACGGCCTTCCAACCGCTGCTGCTCTTTCCTGGCAGCAAGCTCCCTTGATAGCTGAATGGTCGAGCCTGTTTGCAGATTTGGTCCTGTTCTTCCTTGCAAAACACCGGCGTTGGCATCCTTCATGTACGTAATGGTCTTTCTCTTTGTCATCTGTGCAAGTCTCCGTTTCTGCTCCAGTAGCTTTAGCTTGTTGTTTGTGGATAATTTTGTAGGAATGACCTGACACTCGTGAACGATTTTTCCAACCAGGGCAGTCTTCTTGGGAATTGTTTTGGCAAATGGAACCACCTTTTTTGGCTCTTCGAAGGTTTCTTCTTCGTAAGCACGTCCACGTGCCTCGGGAATATATGAAGCACGTTGCGGAACTTTAGCAGTGGACCATGGATTCGATTCCTCCGGCTCCTCACCGTCTAGGGGATTTAATGTGGGCTGATCTGGCATCTGGACCATTTCAGTTCTAGTCTCCGCTTGGCTCTTGAACTGACTTAGCTCAGCCTCGCTAAACACGTACTCATTCTCCACCACATGCTTGATCATCTTTAGTTCATATTCTTTATCGATATTTTTGTGTTCTTGAAGTTTCTCATTTAGCTCAAGCATGATTTTGGCTGGGGATACTCCCTGCTGAATCTTTATATTGCCCAACTGCCGCCCATCCAGCATTCTCTCATTTTTCCACACCTCAGATAGAGCTGGGGGAAGCTTGACAAGCCAGACCTGATTATTCGCCTTGGACATGTCCAAATTAAGAGACTCACCGCTTTCTTCCAGCTGCTTATCGTTCACCTCTGCAATTCCATCAGGAATGGGCATGTCGTCCTCATCGTACGCCACATCTTGGAATGACTGGTCTGGCTCGGCAGGTCGACCGGCAGCCTTTGGCGGAGAAATTGCGCTCATTATAAATATATATTTTTTCAATTTTTTCTTGCTTAAAGAGTGCACGCCTATGTCCTGACAGAATACCATGGACTTTGCACGGGTGCTTAACTCTGAGATCGCTCGCAAGAAACGCGCTATTCAAGACGAGCAGACATCCAAAAAGGCCAGGACAGTCCCCAGCCCAGAAGAAATACGAGGCCTACCCCAAACTGCTGACGAGATTGCCAGCCAGACAGTGGAAGAGACAGGCCTAGGCACCACACAATTTGAAAATTCTGGCCCTGACGCGCAAAGGATCGACGCGGTAGAAGACGGACAGCCCGATAAAAAGAATCCCGGAAAAACGTCCGACAAACCATCGAGTGGACCTCAGCCCGAGCCAGGCTCATATATCATTAAAAAAACCGATATTAGAGACGATCATGCCATAGTGTCCCAACAATGCCGCGACTACATTAAGCATCTCCTCAACGTCTGGGAGTCGAAAAAAGATCAGCACACAAACGCGGATCTGCTGGAAACCAAGAAATGGCTGCTTCCCTTGCTTGTGCAGCTGAAGAAAAAAAGTCTGCCTCACGATCAGCTGGTGAGCCTAGCCACAATACTGTACAACATTCAACACCAAAAATACACAGAAGCAAATGAAGCATATCTACAGCTCAGCATAGGAAATGTTGCATGGCCGATAGGACTTATCGACATAGGAATTCGTGTTCGAACAAACAACATGAAGATCGGCGAAGGCTCAAACATTAGCAATATCATGAAGGACGAACGTACTCGACAATGGATTCTAGCCGTTAAGAGGCTGCTTACATTCTGTGAGCTGCACAGTGTTGTATCAAACGATTAGGATCCACAAAGTAACGGAAGCCCCTGTGCATTCTTCTGTATACGGAATTTTTGCACTTGGGTTTCGATAACGGTCCTAATAAGCTGGCATGCACTAATTGCCAGAACAAGCGCAAGGCTTTAACAAAGTATGTAAAGCAGTTTTATACAGCCAAAATGCACCCAATCCCAATTGTATGCGGGATTGTCGACGCCTTCACCGCCCATGAATCTACCCTGCTAGCGATCTCTAATAATATACTTCCTAATTTGGTAGTCAGTAGATTCTAGACCGGATTATGTTTAACCTGCTTATGTCATACATGCTTTAAATCTTCACCCCTATGAAGAATTTACTCAAATATGGAAATCCTCTAAGCCGCGTCCGTGCCTTGAACGTGAAACGGGATTGAATTGAAAGTCAGAATGCTTAGTCTAAGCCTAGACACATCATGTAGTATTATCCTAGTGGAGGCATTACGTGGAAAAGCTTGTATAATTTATTTTTCGCCTTGGGTATTTCGGATTTAGACTGTCTCCAAACTAAGCTTAAAGCTGGACGAGCACATCAAAAAGGAGGCTGATCCGGTGTTGGCGAATAAAAAAAAGTCAGGGCATGCCCGGAAATTTACGGACATGGTTATATCCGATATTAATTTGCTCAGAGCCACCGTCCGCAGTTTCCGTTCAAATCCACTCATGCCACGCCCTTTGCGGTGGTAAAATATAAATAGACGCATTTCCCTCTTGCCAAATTTCCCATCAATCTCTAAGATCACCAAATCAAACAAATACCCATAATAAAATGACTGCTCTCAACAGCTCTGTCCAGCACCAAGAAGTCTCTTCGGACTTGCCTTTTGGAACTCTACCTCCAAGAAAGCGTGCCAAGACCGAAGAGGAGAAAGAGCAAAGAAGAGTTGAAAGAATCTTGAGAAACAGAAGGGCAGCTCACGCGTCTAGAGAAAAGAAGAGAAGACATGTTGAGTACCTGGAAAACTATGTGACTGATCTGGAGTCTGCGCTGGCCACACATGAGGGCAATTATCGGAAGATGGCCAAAATTCAATCGAGCCTGATATCTCTGTTGTCTGAACATGGAATCGATTACTCGTCTGTGGATTTAGCTGTTGAACCATGTCCTAAAGTTGAAAGACCGGAAGGTTTGGAGTTGACTGGTTCAATTCCAGTGAAAAAACAGAAAATCGCCTCGGCGAAATCGCCCAAATCGTTATCGAGAAAATCGAAGTCGGAAATCCCATCACCAAGTTTTGATGAGAATATTTTTTCTGAGGAGGAAAACGAACATGACGATGGTATTGAGGAATACGGGAAAGCAGGACAAGAAGCAACCGAGGCTCCATCCTTGTCTCACAACCGCAAAAGAAAGGCGCAAGATGCTTATATCTCGCCTCCGGGCTCCACCTCCCCATCCAAGTTGAAACTTGAAGAAGACGAAAGGATCTCCAAACATGAATACAGTAACTTGTTTGATGACACCGATGACATTTTCCCGTCGGAGAAGTCATCAAGTCTCGAGCTGTATAAACAGGATGATCTGACCATGGCATCATTTGTGAAACAAGAAGAGGAAGAAATGGTGCCATTCGTGAAACAGGAAGACGAGTTCAAGTTTCCTGATTCGGGTTTCAACGCTGACGATTGTCATCTTATTCAAGTGGAAGACCTCTGCTCTTTTAATAGCGTGCATCATCCAGCAGTGATGATTGTAAAGTTATGAAAGACTCAAATGTTTGAAGCGATTCAGTGGAAGCAACTTGAAATGAGACTGGTTTTTTGGGTATTTGTTTGACAGTCTCATCTCAAGTATGGGTATGAGTTATTTGGTTATCTTGTGCTCTGCTTCTACTCGCTTTAATTGTTAAGTTGGTCAGCAGCACCATTAACAGCAGAGAGTATCGACAACCACTTTGAATTTGACGACTATTTGTCTTGAACAGTGAATCGAAGTGTATTTTTAGGGATTATGGGAGTTGGGTTGCTTTTTACGGATTAATTCCAGGACTATGATGGGGCTTTTATTCTCGGGACGTTTGCACTACATGTCATCTACAAGTCTCCACTAGACGCGATTCAATGTGGCGCGCTCACGTGTGAAGCTGCGACTGGTTTCTGCGCTATGGATGCTGACTAGAAGGCAGGTAGGGTGATCTTCTGATTATAGAAGAACTATCCTAGCTTTTGGAATCTTGTGTTGTGTTTCAATCAATAGGAGTTTTTTCTTAGTAAATATAGCATTGTCATTTTATGACATTTCCAGGATATGCATAGGTGTATATCGCCAAATACAACTTATTAAGCTTTCTTAATTCATTTGGTGTACATTCAATTATATATAATCAACTGCTTAAATGTCAGTCACCTTCAAGGTTGGTGGGAGGGATTGGATCAGCTTCTTGGCCTTGGTAGCGTCATTCACAATCAAGGTGTAGAGGTACTTGGAGCCTCTGACCTTGAACTTGGTCTGCTTGAATTTCTTACCGTTGGCGTTCAATTTGGTGTTGGTCTTGATGGTAGCAACCTTCACGTCGGCTCTTCTAGCCAATTCAACGAATTGTTTGATGTCGGTAATTTCTCTCTAATACGTTAGTATTCCAGTTTGCCGTAGAAATCGGCCGTCTGCAAAAGTGAGAACTGGTTGCATCTTGAGTTTGCTTCAGAACCAGACCTGTCACTCACTCGCCTTCACAAACGTGGCCTTTCTGTCGTTTTGTTATACATACAGCCATGGTAATTAATGTGAATATATGAAGATCGATATTTTTCAAATTTTTTTCCTTCATGTTGAGGGCGGAAAACCCTAGTTTGAGTCACGTGAACGATAAAAAAATAATAAATAATAATTGATTTGGATAGATAGACTGATATGTTCAAGAAACGGAATGTGAAGCAGGAGCAGAAGCGAAAACGTGATTTAGGGGGAGCAGCCGACGACGGTGATGTTGTGAAGAAGAGCAAGATGGGAAAAAAGGGCCCCAGCTTGTTAGGAACGATGGAATTTAAAAAAGAGAGCGAATCTAAGGGTATCAAGCAAACAGTCAGCAAAGGGCAGGATGAGGAAGGCCAATCTGATGATCAAAATGACCAATCAAAAGATGTTATGGAGAAGAAGTCGGGCAGGTACAACATCAAACAACTGTCCTCCAGCATCAAGACCAATACAGTGATAGATTACCAGCCAGATGTTTGCAAAGACTTCCTTAAAAACGGCTATTGTGGTTATGGAGATACGTGCAAGTTTTTGCATTACAGGGACGAGTTCAAGGTCGTGAAGAACCCCAAGAAAAGGGAATGGGAGGAGGTGTTGAAGAAGAATAAAAGATTCTAATGTTTGTATATTATGCTATGTTACACGATTAATGACTCAAACGGATTCCGAGATAAGCTTGGTGAGAGACCTGAAGGTGGCGTTGACCACATCAGCCGTAGGCCCATCAAGACTGCTGTTGGCCTTGTAATTGCGTGCAAGCCGTTTGTAGAGTATGCGGTATGTTCTAGATTTGAAGCCGGAAGGATCGATATCCGTCTGGGGGACGCTTTGAAGATACCAGGGATCCAGCACATTTACCCAGGACTCGAGGTCTGGGTTGAACATAAAAACGTGGTCGTTGCTCAAGGTGACAATTGGCCAGCCTTTGGAGTTGAGGACGATGGAAGCCACCTTAACTGAATTCTCAAATCTCTTGGAGTCGATTTCGGCAAATTGGTTGATGATTGGAGATATCGACACTGCAGACAAGATACTTGCGCGTTTCTCAACATCCCAGCTGTAGAACAAACCGGAAGACGTGACGGCCAGAATATACTGCTTGTTGCTGAGCAAATGTGTCAAATTATTTCCCAATTGAAATGGAGGCAAGAGCTGACGGCCAAAATCAGACAGTATAAACACCACTCCCGTCTCCGTGGCCACGGCCCAAAACTCTACCTGGCGCTGGGTAGCGTCCACAAACGAGGAACTGCAGGCAGCGGTGAACTTGTGGTTGTAGAAAAATTGGAATTGCTCTAGTTTTTCCTTTGCATGGAACACTGACAACTTGTTGATAGAATTAAACTCCTCAAGGTCGTCGTAATCAACTTCTTCCTCACCATCATCCTCTCCGCTGTTGCGTATCTCCATGACCACCCCATTCGCAAGATCGGGTCCTTTAAATTCTAAGAGAACTCGAGGCTGAGCTCTCATGTCGGTGAATATGGTAGCCGGCGTGACCATCGACGTGGCAAGATATTGAGGAGTTTCCACCTCTCTTTTTCTCTTGGCTGTGGATGAGCGCGTTGATATTGGCCTTTTAGAAGCGTGCGTGATCTCAGAAATATGGTCAATATCGTTTTCGGTGTCGTGGTCTCCAATTGGCGTTTCACTGACAAGGTTATCGCGCAAAGAGGAAACCATGGTTTGCAACCCCAGTCTTGGGATTTTGACTGCCGGTTTCGAGAGCTGCGATTGGTGTTTGGGCTCACGTTTAACCATCAAAGCAGGCTTTGGCAGGTTTTGTGCAGGCTGGGACCCAGAAATTAGCATGGGAGCAACACGTTTTTTGCCGGACTTCGTCACAGTCACTTTCTGTGCACTAGGCGTCAAAGTGTTAGACGTGGGCTTTGCCGGCGAGCTCACGGGCTTGTTTTTGATTGTAGGCATAACCTTATCAGGATGTTTTTTCGATCTTGGCACCAACATGTTCACCTGTGGTGCTGCCTGTGTGCTCAGCTCAGGCTGCGCAAACATGCCTGTCTGACCCAACGGCTCCATCGACTCCATTTTTTCCATGAGTCTGTCTAGCTTCGTCGAGGGTGTTTTCGTCTTTAATATGGCCTCAGCTTTTGCTTCAAGTTCCAACTGTTCAACACTCTCTGGAAAAACCATACTGTCCCTGTCGGCACCGTACTTGTTCAAAACGCTGTCATGCTGGTCGATCGGGATAGCAGAGCCCAGTTCGTGTTCATCAAAGAAAACCGTCATTATGGAACCGTCAAGGGAAGACAAAAATAGGACCTCTCCGTTCGGGTCCCAGGCTAAATCTGTGATAGTGTTCATGGAAATATCTGCCGCAACAACGAGCGGCGTCGCACTTCCCGTGTTCCATATAGCCAATGTCCGGTCCTGGCCAGCTGTCGCCAGAACAGTCGAAATTTCCGGCTCTTTATCTTTCTGGGAACTCCCTTGAATATCATATAGCCGTGGAGAAAACGAACACACCTCGCAAGGCGCGTCATGACCGATCAAACTGATATCGCTGGCCCAGCTGCCTCGCTCTATAATGGCAACCGAACACAGTCCGCCATTGATTGCATTTGGAGATGCTATGTTCTGGCCGTCCGGAGACCACGAACAGCGTCGGTAATAAGTCGTCAGTGGAGTCTTGCGAAACGGCTCTCTTATGATGGATTCCACGGTGAAGGACATTTCCGTCGGAGACGTCCTGTGGTATCTAAAGATCCTCAGTGTTCTGTCGTCCGAACACGTGGCAAAATACTTGTTCGCTGGATCAAAAACCACACCCTTCACATGAGACTGATGGATATCAAATCTTTTTATTTTCTCAAAGGTGACTCCGGACCAAACAATGATTGAGCGATCCAGCCCGACTGTGACCAAAATAGACGCATCGGGAGCCCACGCCATGTCCTGGATATCATTGTCGTGAGCAACGAGACGTTTTCGCACCGTCCAGTGCTCCAGATCTGCCGTTTCCAAGTCTGTACCGAACTGTAGGCGATGCTCCATATTCTGGGCCATAATCCGCGTTTTTTCCTCGTCCTTCTCCCAAATCAGAATCACCTTGTCGTCAGAGCCACTCGCAAGAAAGCGTCCCGTGGGAGAAAATCTCACACACGTCACTGCTCCCGTGTGACGACCCATTGAGCAAAGCGGACGGCAGACCGTGGGGTCAAAATCAACGTTATTCGCTAGCGGCTCCTCCAAGCCGCCGTCGAAGCTCGATCCATCCTCCAGAAGATCATTCTCCGGTTCCTTCTGAGACACTTCCCGCTTGTACTTCTTCAATGTCTCCACAGACCAGATTCTGACCTTGCCATCAAGACCTCCAGAAGCGAGCCGCTGACCATCCGCCGATACGGATACGGAGAACACCTCGTACTTCCGCTTCTCCTCCGTGTGGGTGAGCCACGGAAACTTGAAAATATGCATATAATAATGTTATTTTTCGTCTCAATATTCTAACAAGAGTCTGTCTATACGCTAGCTCTACATCCTTACACCGCAGTTGGCCGACTCAGGAGCTGAACTCGAGCTCCACAGCCTTACCAAATCTCTCCAATCCGATGTCCAGCTTATCAAGAGCAACGGCGGCATAGGTGCCTCTGAAGAAGATTTCCGACGAGCTGTGATCCTTGAAGTTTGGCGACTTGAACCACGACCCTGGAATCATCAGACATCCCTGTTCCAGCGATTTTTCGTAGATGGCAGCCTCCACCTTCAATGGGTCCTTACCGAACTCAGAAGCAAATTTGGGGTGTTTGGCAGCGTCAATCTTGACAGTGAAAAACATACCAGCGAAAGGAGGATCGTACTTAACGACGGATGGCATATGCTTGGACAAACTGTCGATGGTGAAGTTCCTCTTGATGGTGTACTCCTTCCGCAGGCCAATCAGCCAGTCAATGTAGCCCTTCTGGCCCCATCTGCCAAGCAGACCGGACACCAAAGTTTGCGTGAAACCAGAAGCAGTCTGAATGCTGACCTCGTGCAACCTGACAAACCTCTCGAGCAGCGGCTTCTGAGCAACAATCCAGCCGAGTCTGCTTCCTGGAGCGAGGACCTTGGAGAACGAGTCCAGTCTGACAACTCTTCCCTCGATGTCCATAGAAGAGAAGGATTTCACAAGCGCGGCAAGGAACTCCTCGTGAGTGACGGCCGCTGGCTCGTGAGCGTTCTTCTTGTAATCGTCCATTTGCAAGAAGTAGTATGGCTCGTCCTCGATGATAATAAAGTCATGCTTGCAAGCAATTTCGTAAATGGCTTTTCTTCTTTCGTTGGAAAGAGACGATCCAGTAGGGTTTTGACCGGTACCGATAGTGTACAGCAGCTTAGGCTTTGGCTTGGCAGGGTCCCATTCTGAGAAGAGCTGGTCCAATTTCTCTGGGATGATTCCCTTGTCGTCCATTTCAACAGGAGCGAAATCGACGCTCAGGGCTCTAGCGGTTTCAATAGCGGAAGGGAAGGTGTATTCTTCGACGACGATGAAATCTCCTGGATTACAGAAAGTTCTCAAACAAGCCTCCCACGATTGAGTGTTTCCCACAGTGACGATAACGTCCCATTCATTGTTTGGAATTTTGTGGATTAGTTCGGTGTGTTCCCTGATGAAGTTGAGCAGTTCTGGCTGGCCCTCGGTGTGTCCGTATTGCAAAGATCTGGCAAGAGGAATATCAAACTCCAAATCTGTAGTCTTTCCGACCTCGGTAATCACGGTGTCGGCCTCGTTAGTGGGCTTGGCACCTATTCCATTTGCAAAAGGAGGTGCTGGAGAAGTGGCAGTGATCTTGTCCCAAGGGAAGTAGTCAGAGAGGGGGAGTCCTCCGCCGAGGAAAACAATGTTGTCCTTGCCAAAATACTTGAACGCGGTCTTCAAGGCAGAGGGATTTCTGCGCTTGGCTTCGTTGGACAGATGGTGGCTCAAATCTTTCACGGTCATAATAAAGGACTACAGACAGAAGAAAAAATGACTAAATACCTATTTTCCTCGAGATTATTTTAAATCTACATAAAAATACACCCCAACATATTAAAAATGAACGGAAAAAAAAAATGTTAGTAATCGAAATCTCGGCAAGAAGCGGTACTCACAGGAAATAGCAGGATACGACGATCTTTGTCAACGCCTACCGACGGAAAAGAAGGGCAATTCGCGGGGAGGCCCTCACGTAGCCACCACAGCCATACTTCTCAATGTACCGTGACTTCTCGACATACCCGCGGGTATTGATCCGTACAGAGACGGTCCTTGAAGCGATGGTGCAGTGAAAAACCCTGGTGGCTAGTGGGACCGACAGAATGCTAATGTCGCAGACCAAAGAAAAAGCTTTTTTTCCGGTATTCGTATTCTGACCAGCCAGTCCCAGGAACGGAAAACAAGCTCATGAAGAAACGACAACCTGTAGATCGGCCATAGTGGTCAGAACACCTGGCTGGAGACGTCCGGTTTGCCAACGGGCTGGAATTGGCGAAGAAGCAATGTATGAGCACTTGCTCCGTCTGAAGCTCACTTCACATTCTAGCTGGCAACGTAAGCACGCTGCTACTCCAACAGCGCGCAGTAGTTCTTCTCGACGTCTCCATTTGTTGACGGGGGGTGGCGGGGTGGCGTGAACACCGCATAGCAAAGAACCCTAAGTGTCCAGCTATGCGATATGGTGCGATGGTCTGAGACACACGACGGCAGCTGAATATCCACATCGTCATGCTCGCAGACTGTCATACCTCGCAAATCACCTATCAAATTCGTGTAGACCGCTGGCAGTCATCAGTATCCCAATAAACACAAAGTGTCAAATGTTTTTTTTTGGCGACGCGTCGACGCGGCCACAGATAAAGTTTTTGTGTTTATTTATTTACTTTATCTATATGGAGGAAATATTTGAAAAATCGCAGCTAGAGAACGAGCAGCCAACGTCCAAGGAGCCGGAGCCCGCCCTAAAGCCTGTGGATGTGATGTCCATTAAAAATGCTGCGCAGTACGTCAACCAGAAGCTTTCCGCCAAAGGCTATTTCTCGAACAAACCAAATAAACTGAGACAGCTGCTCCTTCTGAGTTTGGATAGCTCTCAATTGATTCCGGAGAATGCAGAAAATTTCGAAATCAGCGAAAAGGTGTACGAAAATGACAGAAACGTGATGAACATCATCTACTCGCTGCTGAACTCGGCAGAGATCTCTAAACAGTTCAAAGAAACCGCACTAAAAAAAATGGCTGATAAGGACGCCGAGATCGAACTGCTCAAAAACGAAGTGGAAAAACTCAACAAAAAGGTCGACGAGAAGGAAAGAAATATCCAGTCTCTCCAACTGGATAAGATCAAGTCCGATCTGCAAGCGAAACATTACCAAGCCATGCTCAATAACGTCAACGCCAAAAATAAAGAGCAGGAGCGCACATTTAGATTATATGCAGAAGAGGTGAAACGAGAGTTACGCAGAAACGAAATGGAGGTGGACAGACTCGAAAGCAGGCTGTCCAACATGAATAAGCGCAGAGCCAGCCCAAGGGACGACGCGGAAGCTGAGCCGAAAAGACAGAAATTCGACAACGACCGGTTTTTGTCGTTGGTCAAAGAAAACTCGCATTTGCAACACGATCTAAACAAACTGGTCGGCGTGCTATTGAGGTTACAAAAATTCCTAAAATCGTTCGGCCAGTTGAACTCCAACAGTAAGGTGCCATCCACCTTTATTCCGACCGACAGTGAGCTTCTGGCCATAGATCACCATAATTTTGACCTGCAGAAATACGATTTGATACTATTTGATCTTCTCAAGCCTCTGAATGGCGACAGCATTGACGACACGTTCAAGTTCAAAAAGAATAACCAGACAGACAAGGACCAGGAAATTGCTAGTTTGCGAAATCGGCTCTCAGAAATGGAGCAGAACTACGAGCGCGTGCTGGCAACGATGGAACAATGGAAAACGTATCGCAAGCAGAAATGATAATTTTTATGCTACACGGTGGTGGTTGACGGTTTCGAGGGAATCTCAAATAGTTGGTAGTAGTCCACAAGCCGTCCATCCAAATTTGCTTCCCCCATTATTGGGAGCTTGAAGAAATTGCGCCAGCTATAAGGTTCGGCTTCTGTTTTGACGAAAAGGAAGTCTAACCAGTTCTGCCAGATTCCGTAGTCGAAAGTGGCAGGACTAGATTTGTGCTGGATAAGGTCATCACTGACCATCAAGAATTGGTTCAGTCCGATTAGTCTCGCACACTTGGAGTTGGTCACGAAGTTTGGAAGACAAACAAACCTGCGCAATCCGGGCAATTCCACATCTTCGTTATTCAAATCGTTGGTCTCATCAGTGGGCACTGAAGAGAAATTGTTGCCGGCAGAGGTGTGCATGTTACTGAGTTCGTAGCTGGTGAGTCCTTTGGAAATCTGCAACGCTTGAACTATCAGGAGTAGGGACAACCACGAAAGCTGGAATAGGGTCCATATTGTCAGATTGAAGACGAAAGGAGATGCATATGACCCAGCACACGTATCCTCGTCAAAAATGTAGCATGAATGTTCCAGATCGTCCGGAACGTCCAGTTCATCAAAGTATTTTCTGGCAAGCTTATAGTAAACGATGATTGAGATTTCAAGCGCTGCACAAAATCCGAAGAATAACTTGTGGTTTCTGACTCCGACATCGTTGTTGATCCAGGGACAGTAGTGGTCGAATTTAGCCACATTTCTATTTTTGAGCCTGTTGAACTTGGATCTTAGAGGCTTCCTGATGGAGGTGTAGAGACAGAAGTTCCTGGAGTCGAATTTCCGCAGATCAATCAGGTCTCTGATGGTGGCTTTTATTTTCTGTTTATCTTGTTCAGCGGGGATGAGGCCTGGATCAATAATCATCGCCTTGACAAAAGATGCCATTGTACAGAAGGCAGATATCAGAAACACCAGGTTGAGCAGCGGTCTATCGGAAAAAGTATTTGGCAGAATCATAAATAACCAGGTCAACACGCACCAAAATGCACTTCCTGAGAACACGCCTGCAAAGAGCGAGGATTTTTGAAGCGCGTTGGGCGATCTGCTGAAATTAGGCACGATAATCACCTGGAGAATGAGATTTTGCAACCCCAATATAATCACCAATATGAAAATGTCTAATAGGATAATTCCGCTGGTCATGGAGTACAAACACAGAGGAACCCCGAGGTACGGGAACACAAAAATGATGCGGTCGGCAACTTTCGGAGAAATGCGTCTGGTCACTTTAGTCCCGTCTGGATTGATGTCGCACTCTTTGAGAGCAGTTTTCAGCATACTCGTACAGTTCATGTCTGCGGCGATATCCCACGAAGATTTGTTGTCGTTCGTCCGGTGGTTGAGATCGCTTCCGTGTTCAAGCAACTTGACAAGAATCTGCTTGACAGGGTGAACGAGAGCCCAGTTGAGGGCGGTAAAGCCTGTCTCGTCCACGAGAGACAGATTGGCTCCCAAGCGGACCAGAACCTCCACGGTGAAAGGATCTCCCTGATAGGCGGCCCAATGTAATGCTGTGCGGCCCTTTGGATCAGCCGCGTCGATATGCAAATCAGTGAAGTACAGAATGTAGATAACCATCATGACGTTGGAAGAGTGCACAGCCAAATGCAGGCAATTAAAGCCCTGGTTGTCAAGAATGGAATAGTCTGCCCCGCATTGCGTGATCAGATAATCCGAAATGTATACCAGGCCGTATCTGCAAGCCCATTGGAGCGGCGTCGCGTCGAGATCTCCTCCCTTATGATTCACCTTGGCACCTTTGGACACGAGGTACTTGAGAGCAGTCAGTTTGTTGTTGATAGCACACCAATGCAAAGCACTAACGTTGTCGTCCAGCATGTCATTCACGTCCACCTTGTGATTCTCCAACATGTCAGTCAGAACGCCAAGATCGCCACGCTGAGCAGCCCCCATATACGTCTCGATAAGCTTTGTCTTTTCTTCGTCCTTGGACAGATCGACCTCGTGCAAGGCTCCCACCGAGGCGTGGTCTTCCGATCCTTCTGATTTCTTAAGCATCGCGTCGTCTTCAGCAGTCTGCACATCCGCCAAAGAGTCAAGTTCTGTCTCTCCCTGGGAAGACATGGTAAATTCAGTTTTTTTTTGCGGGTGACAAAATATACACAGCCGAGCAGCTCAGCTATTTTATTCCTTAGCTCTCAAAGCGTTTTAAGGTTCCTTAATTTATATATTAATGTACTGTACCCTCAGGCAACCAGAACCCTCATGGTATTGGAGTGTCCAATACCTCTGGTGTGGCCCTGGATACAAACGACAGTCTCGCCTCTGGCCAGAAGACCAAGCTCGATGGCATGCTTGATACCGAACTGGAGTCTGTTCTCGATGTCCTGGATCCAGTTCTCGTTGCGTGGATCTTCATAGACAAATGGATACACGCCTCTATACAGGTGGCAGTATCTGGCAGAAGTTGGGTTTCTGGTGACCATGATGATCGGACAGTTAGGTCTGTACTTGGAAACGAGTCTGGCGGTGGTTCCGGAGGTGGACAGGACAATCACGACCTTGGCGCCCTGATCAAAGGCAGATGAGGCGGCGGCAATGGCAATGGTCTCTGGAGTCGAGCATGGCTTAGGAGTGAGGTCTCTAAGTTCGGAGAAGGTGGTATAGTATGGAAGAGCCTTTTCAGCAATCAAACAGGTGTGATGCATCATGGACACGGCCTCCAGTGGATAATTACCCTTGGCGGTTTCTCCCGACAACATGACACAGTCGGCACCGTCCAAGATGGCGTTACCAACGTCAGAAACCTCGGCTCTGGTTGGTCTTGGGTTGTACGTCATGGACTCAAGCATTTGTGTAGCACAGATGACAGGCTTGCCGGCCAGGTTGCACTTGGCGATCAGCTGTTTTTGAACAACAAACACCTGTGGAGCAGGAATCTCGATACCCAGGTCTCCTCTGGCGACCATGACACCGTCGGTCTCAGCGAGGATCTCATCGAAGTTGTTCACACCCTGCTGATTCTCGATCTTGGAGATAATCTGGATGTCCTTGCCTTCCTCCCCAAGAACTTTTCGGATCTCTCTCACGTCGTTGGCGGATCTGATGAATGAGGCAAACACCATGTGGACCTTGTTCTTGACACCAAATCTCAGGTCCGCCTTGTCCTTCTCGGACAGCGCTGGCAGGTCGACGTCGGTGTTTGGCAGGTTCACACCCTTGTGGGAACAGATCTTACCGGCGTTGATCGACTTGACCCTCAGAGTCTTGTCATCGACAACTTCAAGCACTTCGAACGACAGGACTCCGTCGTCGACGTAGATGATCTTGCCGGCCTCAATCACCTTGGTGATGTTCTTGTAGTCGATGTACATCAACTTGTCGTCAGAAACCTCCTTGTACTTGTCGTCCGTGGTGAAAATCATCTCGTGGTTAGGGTCAATTGGATAATCTTTGCCGTCCCTTGTTGTTCCGGTTCTAATTTCAGGGCCCTTGGTATCCAGCGCAATAGCAAGAGGTCTGCCCGGATATATTCTCTCAGACTCTCTGGCATTGTCAATGACAGACTGGTGATATTCGTATGAGCCGTGGGAAAAGTTCATCCTCACAATGTTCAAGCCTGCCTTTCTGAGCTTCACCAGCATCTCAGCACTGTTGGTTTTAGGACCAATTGTGCCGATGATAGACGAGCGTCTAAAGCTCTTGTCTGGGGTGGAAGAGACGTCGAGGCTGGTAAGCCATCCGAGTTTGGATTGTGTCTGGTAGCTCATTCTGGAAATATGCAAATTTTAGACAGGATGTATTAACCCCTTTATATAGTCGGACTATTTTGCAGCCGGTTGCCAACACCCTGGCACCGCCCATATTGGGTCATTTTTTTCCTGGTGAACTTTGGTCCGCTGGAAAATTGCACTCCGACGACATCCGTGCACGCCCAGGTTTGCCGAGGCTATAGAGTTTGCTCATCGCTTATGTCACCCCCATAGCCGATTGTCTGATTTTTTATTTATCGCGTACCCACACAAACAATAACGTACGGCCGCGCACCTTTGCTTTTAGACCGCTTGAGCCACCCATGAACCCGCCACCACACTCCGTAGCCTCTGTACAGATGGCTCCTGTCCTAAAGCCTCCCTCTGACCCAGATGCAGTGAGTCTGACGGAATCGCTTATACTGAAATTCCAACACGAGCTCAACAAAAGCGATGCACACAGCCAGGACGACGCTGGCCAGTCTACCAAGCGGCGCGTGCGGGACATAGTGCGACGGTCGCCGCGAAAACGCACCTACCGGCCTTCTTCGAGAGCTCGGTTCCAGTCTCTTTTCAGTAAGAAAAACAAGAAGAGCCACCAGGAACTATGTGAGGTATTGGGCGAGGAGGAGCGCAGCACCCTGTTTTCGCATCCGTCCGCGAAAATTACGCTTTACGAAGTGTCGCGAATAAACGAGTCTGCGACCGACCAGTTTCAGCCAGGACGCAACGGGAACATTCTTGGCCATGGACAGTTTGAAATTTACCAGATTCAAAACAAGAGCATCACGTATCTATCATGTGGCTCGGTTGTTTATCCCATCATGCCACGGCTCAAGGTGCTAAAAATTAGCGCAAGCTCGTTTATCATCCCATTGTCCAACCCCGAGCGATATTGGAAGATCACGTTATTCACCGAGGATGCAGCAACATTGGCGCAACTGGACTCAGTTTTCAAGGGGATTTGCCATTTTTGTGCCATTTGTGATCCGCCGGATGCAGAGGAACTGGCTGAGCAGCCGAGTGAACAGCCTGTTGAGGATCATGTGCCGTCCGAGGCGCTGAGTCCGTCGCATTCGATGTCCTCATTGAACTCAACAATAGCGTGTTTCAATCTGAGCAAAGACATTGAAACAAGCGAGGCCGATTTTTTAAAACACCCAACGCCGATCAAGCTAAAATCTGTGTCGTCGTCTTTGGACTCTGTTCTGGATCGGTTCCAGCTGGACTCTGACGAGGAGGACAAAGATGACAAGCTGGAGAAGGCAGCGACAGACGAAAACGAGTCTACAATCAATTCCAGTACCATGATGTCTTTTGAAGGCGACGGCAGGGCTCGCACACTCAACAAAAGGTACTCGTTGACGTTCAAAGAGTGCGATGTCAGCATTTCTAGCTTGGACTTCGACATGGGTTTTTTGAAAGAGGAGGACGAAAGCGACGAGAAAAACGGAGCTAGTATCCTGAAAAGCTCGCGCTCGATGCAGCTTCTCAAGCCCGCTTCTGCCAGACCTTGGAGCACGCGAGTGTTTGGGTGGTGAGTCGATCGACGGGGCCGTCGCAAAAATAATTATTCTTTATAGCATAGTGTACGCTTAGTGAACGATAGCATATTAACTGCTTGCGAGATGTCGATGGGGCTTTCTGGGTTGTCTAGAGCGTCGGGGTCGCCGGAGAACCTATCGACGCCCGGTTTTAAACCAGCCTTGAAGACAGAGTCGGCCAGCAACACACCTGTTCTTGCTGCCATGGATCATTCCAGCTCGCTGAAAAAAGAGATCGATGAGTACGAACGGCTCAACAACGAGGCACGCGCGTTGGAAGAACTACGCAACATGGATCTGCTCCCGCTTTTGCTGGACCTGATCGAGAATCTCAAGGCAGGCAAGATTTCGCCGAAAGATTTCGACAACGCGGTAAGTATCAAGAGAATCTGTTTTCCCGACATCTAACCTTTCAGACAGGAAGAATCAAAACAAGGCTGAACAAGTTCAGGTCGCTGCTGAACCAAATAGAAGGCCTGGACGAGTCTACAGAGAGTCGGATCAAGAAGATGGAGGAGATGAAGAAACGGATCGGGGCGAAACAAGAGCTGCTGAAGCGGTTCAGCGAGGAGATTGAGGCCAAGTTCGGCACGCAGACGCCAATTGCGGGCGACAAAATGGAAATAGACGAGTAGCCATGGGCCGCTGCGTTATGTAATATTGCAGGTGCACAGATGTTGGGGACGAACAATTTTCGTCAAATTTTTTTCCACTTGACGAATAATTCAGGTTGCTGAGAGTCTTGTAAATACATAGGTATACAGAATGGCAGCACCACAAATGAGCATGGGCGAGCTCAGCAAGAGTCTGGCCCCGGTTCCGAATCTCGGCAATGCGCATGAGGAACAGAGAGACGGGTTCTGGTCATCGAACCCAATGTTCACCTTTGTCAACAACGTCGCCAGGTCCATTCAGCAACACAGACAATCTTTGGACCTGATCAACCCAGGAACAATGGAGAACATCAACAAGGAGGTTGCCAAGGATGTGTTTTTGAACCAGATGCAATTCAGCGGACTGAGGGCCGACATCAGCAAGACTTTCGCCATGAACCCCATTTTCCAGGTCTCGCATGGTCTCTCGATCGGCGGCCAGCTCCCAGCATATTCTTTCACGGCTATGGTCGGTAATGAGAAGACTTTCTTCCAGGGTACCATTGACAACGAGTTCTCTCTGACAGGAAGATTCAACCACAGCTGGGACAAGCACAGCACCTCGAAGCTGACTTTCCAGCTGGCCCATGGTCAGCAGCCAATGTGCCAGATCGAGCACGACTACCAGGCCAACGACTTCTCTTTGAACTTCAAGACCCTCAATCCTAACTTTTTGGACGACTCGTACAAAGGTGTGATGGTGGGCTCCATCTTGCAGAGCATCACTCCAAAGCTGTCGCTCGGTATGGAATCGGTCTACTCCTCGCTCCAGCCAGGCGTTCCAGGTGACGCGGCTCTGTCGTTTGTCGGAAGATACAACGCTGGCGACTGGATTGCTTCTGCTCAGTTGCAGGCCCAAGGTGCTTTGGTGGCCTCTTTTTGGAGAAAGGTTGCCAAAAACGTCGAGGCCGGTATCGAAACCACTGTGCAAGCAGGCATGCAGCCAACTCTGAACGAGCTGATGCAGCCGGTTTACCAGACCGTCGTCGACGCTAACACCACCCTTGGTGCCAAATACGAGTTCAGACAGTCCATCTACAGGGGCCAAGTGGACTCCAAGGGCCAGGTTTCGTTCATGCTCGAACACAGAGTCTTGCCAACGGTCGGACTGCTGTTCAGCGCCACCATCGACCAGATCAAGAACACAGCCAACATCGGCTGCGGTCTGTCCCTGGAGTTTGCTGGCTCTGAAGAAGTGATGATGATGCAAAACGGGATGATGGATGCCAATGGAAACCCAATCGAAGGTGCCCAGCTGGCATAAGAGACGTGTACATTGCCAAATACAGTATATAGGCCCTTAGTACTACAATCAATGAGCAAAAAAAATAGCTTGATAAATTCATACTAAAGACTTATATGGTTCATCACTTTTTAATCTGGTTCTGGATCTTCTCGGCAGCACCCTTGTAGTCCTTGTTTTGGAGATCGTGGTATGCGTCCGAGGCGGCTTGTTTGAGATTGTCCAGACCGCCACTGCCCGTCTTTTCCTCGTTCTTCACCGAGTTCTTCGCTTTGTCTGTAAATTCTTGTCCTTTCTGCATGTTGTGTAGTCTAATTACAAGTGCATCGCAGTGCCCTTATATACCACCGTCTCCCGTCCAGCCCCAACAGCAACGCAGCCACGCATGCTTGCTTGCAGCTACTCCAGTTTCTTGTGGTGTACGGGTGTGTGACGCGACGGGTAAAGCCGCCATTTTAATTGATAAACTCACTAACCAGCACAATTACTTCCCGTGCGTGTGCTCTTGCGAATTTCACGCACTCTGCTTGCTATCTTGATGGCTTACTATTGATCGTTTCATCCGACCACTATCTGCACAAAGCCAGTTCCCACCATTTCCGGCCCGCATCAATCATTTGAGCAAATCCCGCTACAGGACCTTGCATCTGATCGTGTTCCAGCACCACATCCCTACACCCAAGGCCGCGTCGCAGCCATGAAGTTCTCGCATTCGCTTCAGTTCAACGCTGTTCCAGAGTGGTCTTCGAAGTATATCAACTACTCCGGCCTCAAGAAGCTGATATACTCGCTCCAACGTGAATATGCCGAAACTTTGAATTATATGGATCCGGAAGCACTGCCGTTCACTGCTGTGGACGAGGAGTCGAATCCAGTCAATGTTTTTATTAAAGCTCTTGACAAAGAGGCCGTGAAAATCAACAGTTTTTTCCAGATCAAGGAGAAAGAGGCCCTGGCCAGCTACGAGAACCTGATCGACGAGGTGGAAGAGTTTGAACGTGAGTTTCCACAGAATCTAGCCGACATAGAGCAAAGACACCGACTCAGACAAATTCTGGTCTCGCTGAGGCCGGGAAAGTTTGCCGATGAGACGCATGAATCGGGGCCAGCGCCAGATATTGAGCCTGTAACTTCACAGAATGCTCGGGGCAGTGCTAGCAACGAGCTGGCCGTCACGTCGCCCGAGCCAGACAAAAATCCAAACGAGATGGCTCACCGCGGTTCGCAGATCCTTTTTGACGACGACGACTTCAACCTCAGCTTTTTGGAGGCCCTCAAGGTGGAAAAAAGAAAACCGTTGGCCGACATGTTTGTTTTCCTCTCGGAACTGAAAAGCTACGTTGAGCTCAACAAGATTGGATTCGGTAAAGCCCTGAAAAAGTTCGATAAAACGTTGCACACGAAAATCAAGGACGAGTATATGGATAAGCTTGAAAATAGCCATGAGTTCCACGTTTTCAGGCCAGAAGCCATGGAAGAGCTCAACCTCCGTCTCGCGGGAATCATCAAACTGTACTCGGTGTTCACGCACGGCAACGAGGAGCAGGCCAAGGAAGAGCTCAAGTCCAACCTGAGGGAGTACATTGTCTGGGAGCGAAACACAGTCTGGCGTAACATGATTGGCATGGAACGGAAAGCCCAGGCAGCCAGGGTCCAGAAGCCGAACGTGGTGGACTCAGTTATTGTTCCGGCAGAAAAAATTGATATTTATCTTGGAGCCGGACGCAAGATCAGCATCCCTACTCCTATTTTGACCGCTAACGGTCTCAAGGCGTTGTTGATCGCAATGGTCACAATCACGTTACTGATATTCTCGCCATTGCAGGACGAGCAGCAGAAAAACTGCTTTGCAGTGCTTGTGTGCGCTTCGCTACTCTGGGCAACAGAGGCCATTCCTCTCTTCACCACCTCTCTGCTGCTTCCATTTCTGATTGTGGTGTTGAGAACTCTGGTAGATCCCGACTCCGGTGAGCCTTTGAGAGCTGTAGACGCATCCAAATTCATCTGTTCTGCCATGTGGTCGCCGATTATCATGCTTCTTCTGGGCGGCTTCACGCTGGCTGCCGCTCTCTCCAAGTACAATCTGGATAAGATAGCTTGCACTTTTATTTTGTCAAAAGTGCCTCAAAAACCGGCCTCCGTGCTGCTGTCGATCATGTGTGTGTCGACGGTTGTGTCAGCATTTATTTCCAACGTTGCAGCGCCAGTGCTCATGCTCTCTGTTATTCAGCCCGTGCTCAACACATTGCCCGAAGGCTCGCAGTTTGCAGAGGCCCTGGTGATCGGCATCGCGTTGGCGTCCAACGTTGCCGGAATGGCCAGTCCGATCGCCAGTCCGCAGAACGTGGTGGCGTTGCAGAGCATGGACCCAGATCCCAATTGGCTGCAATGGTTTGCCGTGTCCATTCCCGTGTGTACTTGCGGACTGGTTCTGATATTCATCTACATTATGTTCATGATGGACTTCAGAGATGCCACCATCGTTCCTATCCGGTCGACAGATGAGAAATTCACCCATAAGCACTTCTATGTGCTCGCTGTTTCTCTTTCCACGATCATTCTTTGGTGCGGAGCATCGTTTTTCGAACCAATAGTGGGAGACATGGGAATGATCGCGGTGGCCTCCATGGTGGCCTTCTACGCTCCGGGGATTCTGTCTCCAGATGACTTTAACAACTATCCGTGGACAATTGTCATGCTTGCAATGGGAGGCCTTGCCCTAGGGAAGGCTGTCACCGTTTCTGGACTGCTGAGGACCATTGCCGAAGCAATCCAGGCCAAACTTGAAGGTTCGGCCCTGTTCACTGTTCTGTGTCTGTTTGGCATAATTGTGCTTGTCATGGCTACGTTTGTGTCGCATACGGTGGCAGCTCTCATTATCGTGCCACTAATAGCCGAAATCGGAAGATCTCTCCCGGATCCACATCCAAACTTGCTCATCATGGCTACCGCCCTGCTCTGCTCGTCCGCCATGGGACTTCCCACATCAGGCTTCCCCAACGTGACCGCCATTGGCCTCAGAGACAGCGTTGGCAACCCGTATCTGTCTGTTTCCACGTTTATAAAAATTGGCGTGCCATCATCTCTTCTCTGCTACGTCGTGGTGGTCTCGGTCGGGTACCTGGTGATGAAGCTACTGGATTTCTAACTAGATATTTAATGTGTACCAAAATACCTGGCATCGATGAATCTCATGCTCATCCACCAGTCTGTGTCGTTGTCCTGTCCTTCTTTGGGTTCGACGGCAGAAAGGTTTCCAACCACTATTTTCACATTGGGGAAGGCGTTCAGTATACGACGGAGCCCTGTCTCCGACGCGAGATATACAACAAGCACGATCTCTGACTCTTCCACACCGTGGTCGAGTATCACTTTGACAGCCATAGTGGCAGCGGCTCCAGATATTACCTGGGCGTCAAATAACAGAACTTTGCAACCTGGTGAAAACTGAGGAAGTCTTTCGGTGTGCAGCTGTGGCTCGCCCGTCTGGGAGTCCGATTGAATCAGAACCTTGCCCACAATTGCCTCAGGAATGATTTTCCTGAGCGATCTCATGAAGCAGTCTCCAGACTTGATGATATTAACTGCCACCACCTCTTGGGCTTGAACAACGCCGTCCGTGATTCTGTGGCCGCTGGGCGTGATTATGTCGTATGGCGCTGGAGAATAGTGGACGAGCTCCAGCGCCTCGCTAATTAGAGTGCTCGCAATCCGGTCAAAGTAGAAAATAAAATCGTCGTTCGACGTTTCTCTGTTGAGAATTATACTTTTCATTCCTAGGAGCTGGTTAGTTTTCGGCAAAACCTTGATATTATCGTACTTGAGAGGAACAACCACTCTCCCCAGTCCCGCCAGGTGCGCAAGGTGCTCTTCTGATTTTTTTTGCAGCTGCTTCCGTATATGTTTGATGATCATGTCAATAGCTTTGGTATTGTCTGATCCATGTGGAATGACAATATCTGCGTTGTACATAGTTGGCTTCACAGAGGCAACAGAGCTGGGCTTGACAAATTTTTCCCACTGCTCGATGATACCCTCGATGTCCCTTTTCCTCTCCACGATGTCCCTGAGAAGTCTGCGACAGTAGCAAATGTCCAAGTCTGTATCCACGTATATCTTGGTATCCATTAGGGCAAGCACTTTGGGATCGTACAGTGAATAGATACCCTCCACTATGATGACATTAGCTCCGTAGATGGATATATTTTCGCCTGTTCGGTTGTGCAAGGCGAACGAGTACACTGGCACCTGTGTTTTTTTCCCTTCTTTCAAAGAGATGATGCAATTATAAAAGCCTTCCAGGTCGTAGGCTTCAGGAGTGTCAAAATCATACTCGTTTTGATAAGCGAGTTCTCGCTGCTCAGGGGTGAGCGGCTTATAGAAATTATCCATTGACAGAAGAACGGTCCATGGCTCGTTGATCTGCTCAATGATCTTCTGTGCCACCGTGGTTTTGCCTGATCCGGAGAACCCTGCCACTCCAATAATGTATGGCGATGTCCATGGAGGAATGTACTTGTTGGCTTGCAGATCTGTATGGGTTGCAGATTTGGAAGACGGCTGTGGGGACAGGGGACTCATGCGAGACAGCTAAAACAAAAAAAATATAAAAAATAAATTAAATTAAATTAAATTAAATTAAATTAAATTAAATTAAATTAAATTAAAACAAAAAATATATATTTCATGAGTGAGGTCAGGACTGGCAGATTCAAAAGGCGACGGAGAGAACTCGAGGAAGAGGAGCCGGTTGCCGAAAAAGAGAGCGTCGGGGAGAAAGTGGAGAAAGTGGAGGAAAAACCGGAGGTGGAATTGAACGATCTTGATGAACTAAGACTAGGAAACAAAGTCAAAATCAATGAGGAACCGGCTGATTTCAGCGAACTGCGAAGGCTGGCACGTCAAGAATACCTCTCCAAACGAGAAGAGAAAAAAATCCTGCTTCTTCAGGCCGAGCTGCAGGACTTTGAGCGCGAAATAGAGCAGATCGGCTGGGATCGTCTGACGAGGAAGGAGCAGAATGAGTACCAGTTCAAAAAGAAGATTTTCACCATGATTCAGGAGCGATGGGAAATAGAGCAAAACATGGAAAACCACTACCTGCTTCCCGATGATTATTTCACCGAGGATGGAAAGATAGATAAGAAACGGAAGCAGGACGCATTGCATTCTAAATACAATGACAACAAGGTGATTGACTGGGAGCAGGAGCAGCTCAAAAAGGCTGTGCGAGATACCCGACCAAAAGAGCAGGAATACGAGTTTGTGTTTGACGAGTCTCAAGCAGTCGATTTTGTGAGCTACGAGCAAGAAGACCCCGAACAGAAACAGCTTCGTGAAATGATTGCCGAGGAGGAAGAACGCATCAAAACCATTGATGAAACGCGAAAATCTCTTCCGGTTTACCAGTACAGAGACGAACTGATAAAAGCTGTTGAGGACCACCAGGTGCTCATCGTGGTCGGAGAGACCGGTTCTGGTAAAACAACGCAGCTGCCACAATATTTGCATGAGGCAGGCTTCACCAAGGACGGCAAAAAAATTGGCTGCACACAGCCCCGACGGGTGGCTGCCATGTCTGTTGCTGCGCGGGTAGCAGATGAGATTGGCACGCCTTTGGGTGAGCAGGTTGGATACACGATCCGTTTTGAGGACAGGACCAGCGAGCGGACTGTACTCAAGTACATGACCGACGGTATGTTGCTGCGAGAGTTCCTGACCGACCCAGAGTTGCTCTCCTATTCTGTGATCATGATCGACGAGGCACACGAGCGTACGCTGCACACCGACGTGCTCCTGGGACTGCTCAAGGACATCGTTTCTTACCGGAAGGACTTCAAGCTGTTAATTTCCTCGGCCACCATGAATGCGCATAAATTCAGCGATTTTTTTGACGGCGCTCCCATTTTCGACATCCCCGGAAGAAGATACCCCGTTGACATATACTACACGTCTCAGCCAGAAGCAAACTGTCTGCATGCTGCCATTACCACCGTCTTCCAGATCCATCTGAAACAGGATCCTGGAGACATTCTGGTATTTTTAACGGGCCAGGACGAGATTGAGAGCATGGCAGACAATCTGGCCGAGACGTGTCTCAAGCTTGGCGATCAGATTCCGGAAATGCTAATCTGTCCAATATATGCAAATCTGCCCTCAGACCAGCAACGCCGCATTTTTGAACCGACTCCAGAGGGTGCGCGCAAGGTGGTTTTGGCTACCAATATTGCAGAAACATCGCTGACTATCGACGGGATCGTCTACGTTGTGGACACCGGTTTTGTGAAGGAAAACGTCTTTAATCCAAGCACGGGCATGGAGAGCCTCGAGGTGCGGCCGTGTTCAAGAGCATCTGCGGACCAGAGGGCAGGAAGAGCGGGCAGATTGGGTCCTGGAAAATGCTACCGTCTATACACGAAATGGTCGTACTTGAACGAGCTGGCGGCGAATCCAACGCCTGAGATTCTGCGAACAAACCTCGCGAGCGTCGTGCTACTTCTGCTTTCTTTGGGTATCACAGACCTGCTGAATTTCGATTTTCTCGACCCTCCGTCCTCGGACGCTCTGATCAAAGGGCTGGAACTAATTTATGCGCTAGGAGGTCTGAACGAGAACGGTGAGCTCACGCGGATTGGCCGACGGATGGCGGAGTTCCCAACTGAGCCGATGATGTCGAAGACGCTGCTCACGAGTGGCGAGCTGGGCTGCTGCAACGAAGTGTTATCGATCGTCGCGATGCTGCAGGAGGCAGGTTCTGTTTTCTACAGGCCCCGAGACAGAAAAGAGCAGGCAGACAAGGCGAAGCAGCAGTTCACCAAGACCCTGGGGGGCGATCATCTGACGCTGTTGGAGGTGTGGAACCGGTTTGTTGAGAACGGGTACTCTGTGCAGTGGTGTCGGGACAATTTTGTACAATACAAGACTCTACAGAGGGTGCGCAACATTCGGGAGCAGCTGGAGCGTATGTGTGAGCGGATGGGGCTTTTGGACGCAAACCAGCCGGTTTTGGACCACGACCGACTGCTTGTGAACGTGCTGAAGAGCATTGTGGCTGGCTTTTTCGTCAATGCTGCGCAGCTGAGCCGGTCCGGCGACTCGTACCGGTCGATGAAAAAGAACCAGGCGGTGTGGATCCATCCGTCGTCGGTGCTGTTCGGCGTGAAGCCGCCGCCGAAGCTGGTGATTTACCACGAGCTTGTGCTGACAAGCAAGGAGTTCATGAGGACGTGTGTCCCGATCCACGAAAAATGGCTCAAGGAGTATGCGGCACACTATTATGGAGATAAATAATAATTATTTATGTCATATTTAAAAAATCTCTTCACAGTCGTCCGATTATCAATTTAGTGGAGTGACGTTAACATTTAAAAAGGAGACGAGATTCCCATTTGATGCCAATGCAAGTGGACTCTCTTTTTAACGGTGTTTCTGTGGTGGTGCTGTACGCCCCCACGAATGCACTCTTTGCGCAGACGGCGGCCTTCTACAAGGACGTGCTAGGGTTCGAAGTCTCGGACGAGACTAGCACCAGCTGCGTCCTGAACACGCCTGCCAATTCCGAGGACAAGGGCACCATTGAGCTGCGACTCGATCCGGCAAAGTCCGTGGACGAGCAGACCGTTGCGGCGAATATCCGCAACCTGCTGACCCATGAACAGAAAGTCGACTGGAGAACGCTTCAGAGCTGTGTTTGCTTCACCACGCACAGAATTGGGTCTCTAATTGAGACTTTAGAGAAGAACAAGGTGGCCTATCAGGCCCGGCCGGGCAGATTGGACCCGTATGAGGTGTACGTGGTGGACCCGTTGGGCTCTGTGGTGGGCGTCACTGATATAGGCAACACCATCGGAACCAGCGATCACTCGCGGTACAAAGAATCTGCAAACCGCATCACGCTGCTGGATTCTGCCAGCGTGGCCAACAAGGTCGCCTCCAGCACGAAGAACATTGCTGTGATGACGTCCGGCGGAGACGCGCCAGGTATGAACGCCAACGTGCGGGCCATTATCCGTGCTGCCATCTACAAAGGGTGCAAGGCGTTTGCTGTGTACGAGGGCTATTCGGGGCTGGTGAAGGGCGGGCCGCAGTATATTCGCGAGATGCACTGGAATGACGTGCGTGGCTGGCTCGCGGAGGGCGGCACAAACATCGGAACGGCCAGATGCATGGAGTTCAAGGAGAGATGGGGCCGGTTGGCAGCGTGCAAAAATATGATTGAGGCCGGGATCGACGCGCTTGTGGTGTGCGGCGGTGACGGGTCCTTGACGGGTGCAGATCTGTTCCGTGCAGAATGGCCGTCGCTGATCGCGGAGCTGCACGAAAAGGGCGAGATCACGAGCCAGCAGTACGAGAACCACAAACATCTCAACATCTGCGGGACGGTCGGGTCGATCGACAACGACATGTCGTCGACCGACGCGACGATCGGTTGCTACTCGTCGTTGGCGCGGATCTGCGAGGCCATCGACTACATCGACGCTACGGCCAATTCGCACCAGAGAGCGTTTGTGATCGAGGTGATGGGCCGGCACTGTGGCTGGCTGGCTCTGATGGCAGGCATTGCGACCAGCGCAGACTACATTTTCATTCCAGAGAAGCCGTCGTCGCGCAAGGACTGGTCGGACCACATGTGTCAGATTGTGGCTGCGCACCGCGCGCGTGGCAAGCGGAAGACGATTGTGGTGGTTGCCGAGGGCGCGATCGCGTCGGACCTGACCCCGATCACGTGCGAGGACGTGAGAGACGTGCTGGTGGAGAGACTGAAGCTCGACACGCGCATCACGACGCTGGGTCACGTGCAGCGCGGCGGCAACGCTGTGGCATACGACCGGCTGTTGGCGACGATGCAGGGAGTCGCGGCGGTGGACGCTGTTCTGGAAGGCACGCCCGAGACGCCGTCGCCGATGATTGCTGTGGTGGAGAACAAGATTGTGCGGAAGCCGCTGGTCGAGGCCGTCAAGCTGACCAAGTCGGTGGCCGAGGCGATCAACGCGAAGGATTTTGCCAAGGCGATCTCATTGCGTGACTCGGAGTTTGTGGAGCATCTGAACAACTTCATGGCGATGAACACTGCCGATTTCCGGGAGCCGTCGCTGCCCGTGGAGCAGCGCAAGAAAATTGCAATCATCAACGTGGGTGCGCCGGCCGGTGGCATGAACTCGGCCGTGTACTCGTTTGCGACGTATTGCATGTCGCGCGGCCACACGCCATGCGCGATCAACAACGGATTTACAGGGCTTGCCCGGCATGACGCTGTGCACACGCTGGACTGGCTGCAGATCGAGGGATGGGCCTCGCTTGGCGGGTCAGAGATCGGCACCAACAGAAAGACACCCGAGCAGGCAGACCTGGGAATGGTTGCGTACGAGTTCGACAAGCACAAGTTTGACGGGCTGGTGCTTGTAGGCGGGTTTGAGGCGTTTGTGTCGCTTAACCAGCTCGAGAAAGCGCGGCAGTGGTTCCCTGCGTTCCGGATCCCGATGGTTTTAATTCCAGCCACCATTTCGAACAACGTTCCTGGTACAGAATATTCTCTTGGTTCCGACACGTGTCTGAACTCGCTGGTGGACTACTGCGACGCTATCAAGCAATCTGCTGCTGCCACCAGAAACAGATGCTTTGTCGTGGAGTGCCAGGGAGGCAACTCGGGCTACATTGCCTCCTTTGCACAGCTCTGTTGCGGAGCTACCGCGTCGTACGTGCCGGAAGAAGGCATGACGCTGAGCCAGCTGGCGCAGGATATCGAGACGCTGAAAGTGTCGTTTGCCAACGACCAAGGAAAGGCCAAGTCGGGCCGGTTGCTGCTGAAGAGCGAGAAGGCGTCGGACGTGCTCACGACGCAGACGATCGCCGACATCATCAACGCGGAGGCGAACCAGCGGTTCGATGCCAAGACGGCCATTCCGGGCCACGCGCAGCAGGGCGGCATTCCTTCTGCGATCGACAGAACAAGAGCTGCGCGGTTTGCAATCCAGGCGGTGCAGTTTGTGGAGAAGATGTACGACACCATTGCCGCGGCGGAGAACGAGTTCGGCGAGTTTGTGAACTCGCCGGCGGCAGCCCAGACGGCGTGCGTGCTGGGAGTTGAGCGGTCGCACCTCAAGTTCACCTCTATTAGACAATTATACGACTACGAAACCGAGGAAGGCCGCAGAGTCCGCAAGAACATTTTCTGGCAGGACATCCGCGACATCAGCGACTTGCTGGTGGGCCGTGTTCGGGTGAATTGATACGATCATGATAGTTTGTCGAGTAGCTGTAGTGCGGAAAAAAGCGGGTCTGGCCGCTTTGGCCGTGCAAAGTGCACAGTCATGTCGACCTCGTCCACGGCTGCGTCTAGCTTGCGCTCAGAAACGAGTCCGAGCACCGAGTCCAGCATTTCGGAGTCGGGTATTTGCAGGCCCAGGATCCGGACAAGCGTGGCTATTTTGATTGTCCTGAACGTTTTCGAGGACGCTATTATGTTGTACTGGATGAGCAGCCGGACCGCGTCGTCCACACGGGTCGAAGGCACGATCTGGGACACTATATGGCGGTCTATGGGGAAGACCTGTTCGTTTTTCATGTTGGCGAGAAGAGTGCGTACGGTTTTGTCGACAGCAAACGGCTGGTTGTCCAACTGGCCCACAAGTTGTCGCAGGGCGTCCAGCTTTGCGTAGCCGTACGGAATTAGCAGCAAAGCTTGCACCGCGAGCCGGAAGTTGCCCTCAAAGTCTGGCTTTGGGCCAGCAAAGAAGTCCACCTGGGAGCTCGAATATGTGTCCAATAAATATGGCAATGCGGCAGCGTATTTGTTCAGTCCAGCGAGATACGCTCCGTAGAGGTATTTGAAGTTGCAAACGATTAGCGCGGCAGGAAACTGATGTTTTTCTTGTTCTGTGAGCTGTTCCAGAAGTTCCAAAGCGGCCTCATAGACACTGTCGTCGGCCTGGCCGCACAAAAGCCTCAGATAGTGGTATTCGAGCGCTAGAGGACGGTTCTCCGTGAAAAGAGCTGGCTGCAGCGAGTCCAGCAGATCATGGTCTGCGACGACTGCCATGTGCAGACGAATGGCACTATTCACGAGTGGGGAGTCAAAGTGGCCGTCTGGAGCACGTCCATGGCAAAATATAAACCGTGCCACCTGCTCGAGTTCTTGTTTGTTTGCGTGTGGGAGAGGATGAGACATGGCAAATAAATAATTAAATAATTCTGGCGATCTTTTCACCGCCCGAATCTCGTCGCACATCGTTTAGCTCGCCAAAAAAGATTAAAAAAATAAAACCATGAAGCTCGTCCATCTTGCACTCATTCCGATCGTTTCGTATATTGTCCTCAACCAGCTCTTCAGCACGTGGCTTCCAAGAAATTACATTTTCGACAAGACCGAGTTACAGCAGATCTGCGTCGACGCCGTCAAAGCGCACCCAAACAACGCGACGGCCATCATGTACGCGGTGCAGGAGAAGATGTCCCAGGTGTACGGCGACCAGATGATCAACAAGCTCAATTTCGACGACTGGGTGTTCAACAACGCCGGCGGAGCCATGGGCCAGATGTTTATTCTGCACGCATCCATCTCGGAGTACGTGATTTTCTTCGGCACTGCTATCGGAACTGAGGGCCACTCGGGTATCCATTTTGCGGACGATTACTTTACGATTCTGACTGGGGAGCAGCACGCTGCTTTCCCAACCCAGTTGGAGAGGTCTGTGTATTTGCCGGGAGACCAGCACCATATGGCCAAGGGCGAGTTCAAGCAGTATGCTATGCCACCAGGTTCTTTTGCGCTGGAGCTGGCGCAGGGCTGGATTCCAGCCATGCTTCCATTTGGGTTCCTTGATACGTTCAGCTCGACTTTGGACTTTGTGACTCTGTCCAGAACCATCTACTTCACCGGTAGAGACATGCTGAAGAACCTGTTTCACGGCAAATTCTAGGTAGATAGCTTATTAAGAATCTGAAATGGGATAAGTTGGCTGCCACTACTGTAACATGTCCACTCCCATGCCCATGTGCCCTGTGTGTAAAAAGCCGCATGTGCTTATGCAGGAACAAGGCGGTGAATTTCGGGCATCGGCCGGAGAAACGGCACAGGGGCTGCGACTTGGAACGTTTGATGCCGGTGCCGCGATGGTCTAACGCAGTGAGGGGCTGGTTCTGGATACGAAGTCCATTGCTGCTGTGTGCTTTTTAGTTGTCATGTACAGTTTTGAAATGTGCCGGCTAAGCGGTTGCATAGTTTTATGCAGTTTTCAACTCTTAGTACAGTACATGCAGGTCTTGTCTATCGTATGCTGATGTCCTGCTGTATTGCGTTACAGAGCACAACTTTGGGTCAGTCAATAAGCACGAGGCACGCGGCTCTGTGGCGTCCCTTGCTTGCCTCTCCGCAGGCTCCGATCCTCTGGAATATGCAGATATCTCTGCGCTATTGTTTAATGCATCTTCGAGACGTTGCTACGTCGAAGTTTTATCTCTATCGGGGAATTGTCCACATAAACGCGTTCCGAACCTGCAGTAGTCATTCTCGTTGGGGCCGGAATTTTCCTGGGGGGGGCTTCCGGCAAGCGGTTTCTGTAAGAGAAGCGGCCAGTAAATACCTGCCGTCATGTATCGCGGGCATCTGCAAAATGTCGAGGCCCTCCACACTACTGAGCCGGGGTCACTAAAATAAATAAACATGCCTTTCGGGCCGCAAGCACCTGCTGAACACTGAGCCACCAACTTCACGTCTCCAAACCATGTACATTGCTGCTGGGTTTCCGGGTGCTGAAAAGAAGAAAAATATCTGTGCGATGAGTAAAAAGTGCATATGAATTACCATAAGCTCGCACTGTTTGCTCAATTTTAGCAGCGCCACGTACTTTCGATACGCAGGCTTCACTCACATCTAAGTCAGGCGATGACCGCTGCGTTGCGCTTGCGGAATAAAAATCGCGTCGGACCAGCGTTGCCTTGTGCTGAGAAAAATGTTTTACTTCTACTTGCCCTGACTAACTTTGCCCAAGAGCATTGCATTGCTAGACGTACATCATGTGCCAAGAGTATTGTTTAGAGGCCAGCTGCAGGCAGTTGCCACCTTTGGCGTGTTTTTTTAGCTGCCAGGCGCATGATATTTATTTTCTGTAATAATCCATTTCAGCCTCATGGCATAATCAGTTTTCCTACTGAGCGCAAAGAGATCGGGATTGCGAACGGTGTTCTGCTTCATTATTCATGACATATATAAATTAGTGGTAGTTCATGTCCACAGCCTCAATTACAGGCGGCGGAGCTGCGAAAAGCGGCGGGTAGGAGGAGTACACCGGACCACCTTGTAAATATGGGCGGTAGTGGGGTGAAATAACCGAGTGTACTGGCTGTTGGGGGAAGTAAAAAGCGCGCGGATGAGGTGGAATCATCACATTGACTCTAGCAGATGCTGCCGGCGGAGCCTGAGGACCGTACACAGGGGTCATGTCGGCCTGCAACGGGGATCTTGGACTGCCGTTCTTTGCACCATGGGGGGAATTTGACAAGATCGCGGTGGATGTCTCGGAAGAGGCCTGTACTAGCTGCACAGTGGTGAACGTAGGAGTCTCGAAATTCTCGAACAGCTGATCCCAAAGCGACTCGTTGATCACCCAGTGAGGCATGTCCTGCGGCAGCGACTGCTGGTTGTGCTTACCATTTTCCAAGTTGCGCACAAAGGCCGCCATTTTTTCGGCCATTTCTGGTCTATTGCACAGTTTGTAGCACTCGGAGGCGCGTGTGTAGGAGTCGATGGCGTCCTGCGACTGGTTCTCACATTTCTCGTACACCTGTCCAAGACCTTCCCACGCTATTGCGTTGGCCATTTGGTGGTTCTTGGGGGCGTTCTTGATCACTTGTGAGTACGCGTTCAGGGAGTCGGTGAGCTGGTTCAGCCTAAGGTATAAGCTGCCAATCGTGAGCCATGGGAGTGAGGATTGCGGAGCTAGGTTCAGGGAAACCTGTAGCGACTTGTATGCTTTTGTGGGTTCGTCCTGCAGGATGCATGCACGTCCAAGCAGGTAATGGGAGAGGAAGGACGGCTCAGACTCTCTATTTCTGATCTGTATGACCCGTTGCAGGAGATTCGTGACGTTCTCAAGGGTGTCCGCCGAGGAATTCAGCTGTAGAAGAAAATGCGCCTGCAGCAGGAGGAGCGTCGAGTCCTCGCCCACAGTGTCCAACCCTTTCAAGCATGCTGCCACAGCAGCGTCCAGGTCGCCAGCTTTCTCGTGAGACAAGGCTAAAAGCCCCCACATAAACCCATATTCCCTAAACTGATCGTAAGGAGGCGGAGGGAGCGAGACGACGGCGGTGAATTCCGTTACCGTAAGATCCCTTTTGTTTTCTTTGTTGGCAATAGCTGCAAGCTCGAGGTGCACCTTACGCGCCATTTCTACAAGCTCGGGCTTTGCTGCTGCCGCCCTAAGACACAGATTGAAGCTCTCGGTGGCCTCGGGCAGCATGTTCATTCGATGGGCAATCTGGCCCAAAGTGAACCAGATGGAGGCAGTGGGTTGGGAGATATCCAGCGTCGTGAGCAAGATGGAACGCGCCTTCTCAAGGTCTCCAAGAACAAAGTAGCAATTAGCTAAATCACGCCTTAGCTCCGGGTGGGTTCTGAGGGGCACAAAATGGTTGAAGGCTGAGTTGAGTATTTCGATGAGCTCGTGCACTTTATTCAAGTCTAGTTCGAAGGGCGGCCTAGAGAGCGTGGCGGCAGTGAGACCGTGTAGAGCGTTGACATTGGCAGGGTCATATTTGAGAACGTTGTGATAACTGCGAGCAGCAATATCGTTCGCGTGGCGAATTTCCAAGGCCAAGTTCCCGCAAGCAAGCCAGGTATGGACAAACTCTTGCACCTCCGCTGGAAGCTGTGGCCTGCGGAAGTCGGGGTTGCCAGGCTGTTCTTGTTCGTTGGACCAAACGTACGCCATGGAAGGAGTAGAATAATTGGTGGGCAAGAATTTATTTTACAGAGCGTATCAACACGCTTCATACCCCCAGTGCGATTGGTAAGGTCAGAATTCCATGCTGTGTCATGCATGCGGATTAAAATAAGAGCATCAATAAGAAAATATTTTGTTATGCAATGCACAGCATAGACGAACGAAGTTGACAAAAAGGGCGCCAAAGACGCACAGCCGGTGTGTTTGCCTCGATGTGTCAGGGGGGACGATCTTTGGTTCTGAAACATACGCATGGACTGGTGCTAGTGAATGTGCTAACATGGAAAAGCCCGGCTTCTGGCTCCACTCTCATAACCGGAGCAAGCCCCCCTTCCGTTCATCCTGGCCTGTTTTTATGTCCCAACCTACGCATCCACGCGCACCTCGGTAACAGTGTATATCCTTGCGTTATTCAGCTATAAAGAATAAATCTGGCTCTTAAGCAAAAAAAAGAAACAATTTCCCTGCAATCACATCACCATACATGCTGCATTGGAGCTGTAAGTCCGCGCAAGGCAGTTTGCCCTGACACAGCCGTATCCCATCACAGCTAGACCCATTCACAAAACGGGCGCCCTTTGCTATTTGCGCACACAGCGTGGGCAGACTCTGCCAAATCGCTTCCTTCTCGTCAGCGCTCACAACCCCCAAAGATTTCACCTTTGCAACGCCTTCGGTCCCCATGCTTATCGGAACCCCAAAAATTCCACCTTGTGCGTCAATTCACGAACAAAGCAATCGTCGGCTTTCAGCCGCGAAACGTTTACAAAGGCAACCTAGTCCACAGTCTCTCCTGTACAAATCGCTCGTAAAATCCCACACGGGAAACGGTTTGCTGCAGCTTATATCGACAACGTTCCTGACCCTTTGCTCTGTTTGGCCTGCACCACCTGGTCCCTTGCGTATCGCACGCGGTGTACTAGACCTTTGATATGCTCGGAAGACAGCCGCAGACACCAATTCCCTATAACAGGCACAATCGTCTCTCCAGAGTGTCCCCCCAACAGTGTACACCTGGCCTTGCACATCCCACTCCCCGGTCAGCTCACCTCAAAACTGCTCCAGTCTCGGACTGTCCAATGTGGTTATGCCGAACAACCTTTCTGGACAGAAACAGTTCTGGCTCCGCAGCTGCTGGGCTGCAATCGGGACAGTAGAGTTCACCGGATTCGAATTGATAGCTAACAACGTCTCCGGACAAATCTCGCCGTAAACTTCCACCAGCTGCTGGACGATCGACGCGTTGATGTGAAACAAGTCGATTCTGCTCATGCCGGGCTTTCTGGGAATTCCGGCGGGAATCACCACGACATTTGCATCTTGCAACGCCATTCCCAGCTGCGACTCGTCTGTTTACGACAACGAACAGAAATGTCTGATTCTCTGTGGAGTGGGAATATGCGATAGATCGGTGGCCACCGCCACAGATCCCAAGAACTACGAGCTTCTTAAGACAACGGTGCGATTCCACACGCTATATATACTTCTCCTCAAGATGCATGTGACTGGGGTTTTGTCGTGGTGCAAGGGTGTTTCATCTCTTGCGCACGTTCTTCCATTTGAAGACAGTTTTGCCGTCTTTAGTCTGTACCTTCTTCTTCTCGCCCTTCTTCATCAGCTGTTTCTGCAGCTCTACCGTCGCCTGCAGCCTTTTTAGCTTCTCCTCGCGCTCCATGCGCTGCTCCAGCAGCCGAAGCTTCTTAAGCTTCTTGAGCTCGAGCTTGTGCTTTGAATATCCGTCTTGAGACAGCTCCGGCACGATGGCACCATCGGAGACGCCGTCGGCAAGTCCACTGAGCTGCGACTTGCGGAGTCGATTTTCTCTTTTGCCCAAAAGACTGGCGTCTGTGTCAAAATACTGCACCGGATCAAACTGTTCCATCTGTTCTTCGGAGTCCACAAACACTGTATGTGATCCTGCTCCCTTGAAGCTGTCCAGCTGCTTCATTTCCTTTTCGATCTTGCGCGCCTCGCTCTGTCTGGTCATCGTCAAGTAATTGGCGTCCTGTGTTTTGAGAAGCAGCACCTCGTCATTCGATAGAACCTCGTTTCCACGTTCTGCTATCAGGATTCCATCTTTGTCTGTTTTTCTGCGTGTCATAGAGTGGTAGTATTCGTCTTCATTGCGCAGCTTGGCCTTCTGTTTGAGAATTTTCAGCTGGGCTTGTTTTTTGTGGTAGTCTGCCGCACGCAGCCGATAGTCCTTCTTCTTCTCCAGAAACCCAAATCTGGCCCTGTCCTGCGGCTGTGCCCGCTCTCTGTGCTGTTTCTTCTGTACGTTGTGCACTAGCTTCACCATGATCTGAAACAAATTATTAGGATTTTTTTTGAAATTTTTCTTGCATCTTTGCACCACGTAGCACGGCATGACTGTGTCAAGAGGGAGAGGGCAGCAGGCGGTAGAAGGTGGCTGGAGGATCCTCTTCAAAGTAAGATTACAATGACAGCCAAAAACTTTGATTTTTCGTGTTTGCTTGTAATCGATGTTTAGGTACTTGGAGCTATATTCTAGATTTAAAATTATTAATATTTTAATATGTCCGTTTTTTCTTGTTTACAAGAATGCCGTCAATTGGGCATCCCCATAGACCAAGATTTGTACACATCTCTTTGGATGACGCTTGTCGCGGGACGACATTTGGCCGTGGCGAGCCCTGATCCGTCCAAAACGGCCGAGACGATCAGCTACATCTGCAATCTCTGGGGATTCAAGGAACAAACAAGAACCCTAAATCTAGAACCGGGCATCTCGTTTGAAGACCTCGCTCCACTTCTGCACAGTAAGCTGGCTGTGGTTTTATTTGTTAACCTGGAATTCACTGATAGCAAGTTTCAGCAGGAGCTAGCGTCATATATTGATGTACATCACGGCGGCCGACTCAGCATGGTATCTGTGATTGCCAATAGAAACAACATCGAGGTCAGCCTGAAACAGAGTCTGGAAAAGCTCATTTGGCTGCGTGAAGTGCACCGCGGTGAAGTTCCTGAGACAGATAATGCTCCCTCGTGCTCAGCGTCACAAGAGCTCGAAACTTACCGATCCAGAGCCAAGAAGGTCAAGATTGTTCGTGAAATTAAAACCTACATTTACGACATCGTGGTCTTCACGCGCATGCACCGAATGGTGGTTGCCGGACTGCCAACTTCGACATGGAAAGATATGGAACTATTCGTTCAGATCTACGCTGCTATCCATGACATGGACTATGTGACACCTGCAATGGTCAAACTGGCCGCGGCCAAGGTGATCCCGTTGCACATCCGCATGGTCAGCAAGCCGGAACAGGAACCGACTCTCCTCTACGGTAGCGACCCCAGACTTGTCCAGCAACTGGTGAATGTATGGGACGCAGATCTGGTCGTTGAGGACGTGCTCAACAATGTCCAGCCTCCAACTTAGACAAGCTGGACTTTCCAGAACTTTAAACAGGAATCTGCCCCGCCGCTGACAAGCTCGTTTTCGCCGATCCAGCTCACGCCTGCAACACCCTCTTTATGGGCGTTCAGCGCCTTGACGTTCTTGGCTGGCTTGCTGACCGAGTACACTATGATGTTTGTGTCCAGCGATCCAGAGACAACGTGGTCGTTGTCTGCGTTCCAGGAGAGAGAGTTGATCCTGGATGTATGGAACGCCCATCTGGTAGTCACTAAGGACAGGTCAGCGAGCCTGTAGCAGTGGATTTTCCCGTTGACGTCTCCACAGGCCAGATATTCCCCGTTCGGCGAGATTTTCGACACAGACGGACGTGCACGCATCGGAGCCGTCGTTCCAACCAGCTTGAATTGTTTGTCGTACACGTTGATGGCGAAAGTCACCGCGTTGGTCACGACAATGTACGCCGAAGACACAGCCACAGAACTTGGGCTGTAGTCCAGTTTGTGCTGCGCAACTTCTCTGCCCTGTGGGTCGAGCACGATGAGCTCATCGTCAGTGATCACTGCGCCGAACTCGGCTCCAAAATCAGCCTGGATAGGCTGCTTCGACAACGTGGTGGTAGTGGCCAGTTTCCCAGAGTCTAGATGTTTTATTGCGTCATCCCAGCCAACGGTGACAGCGTTGTTTTCTGTGTTTGCGATGTTGACGACCAAATTGGAGTGCGTCTGGCCCGTGACCAAGTCGCCCGTCTTTGTCGCAAGGTCCCATTTCATGACTCTGCCGTCGTAGCTGCCCGAATAGATGATTCCGTCCACGACAGGAGACAGCGCAGTGATGGACTTTTGATGGCCGTACACAATCTTAACCGGGGACTCGGACGAGTCGGCAAAATAGTACAAATCGCCGACCAACGTGAGTCCGAGAACGTACTCGTTGGTCTTGACACAGCCGACAAACTGGTTTTCGAGCTTTTGCTCCAGTTGCCACGTTCGGGACGTGTTTCCGTCGACACTAGTCAATTTGATCGAGCCGTCCGCGGAACACGTGATGAAACTGCGCTCGTCAACCCAGTCGACGCCAAAAATGCCCGCTGAGTGCACACCTTCGATCTTGCGCACAAAATCGCCCGTCTTGCCGTCATACACCACAATTAAACGGTCCGACCCAACACTGACTGCGTAGTTGCCGTCCTTGCTGAACCTGACGTCTCTGACAAAGTTGGTGTGGTGACCGCGGACGGACTGTGCAAACTTGAACGGTGGTCCTTGCAAGAAAACCATTCCAGCGTCGTCCGAAACGGTCACTGCCCTGTACGGTCTGCATGGCCGAATACTCACGGCATTGATGGGTGCGCTGTGGCCAGATATCTCGCCAACGGTGTTCCCCGAGTCAGCCGTGAAACAATGGCCGTACCGCTCTCGTCCATCGCCCACAGCAATAATCCTGCTGGAGTCTGCGTCCCACGCAAGGTCGTTGATTCGACCGCTGATGATCGAATAATCTCCTTTCACAATCAGCTCTTCCGAAACACAGTCCCACACCTTCACGTTGCCACTCTCGTCGCCAGAAGCAACGTAAAAGCCCGAGGGAGAGAACTTAGCCACCGTGGCGGGGTAGTTGTGGCCTCCGAACTGGATGCTCTCATCTGGCTTGGACACCGATCGAATATACACGCATTTGCCGCTTGTGTAGACAACTCTATCAGACTTCGCGTCATACGACAAATGCACCGCTGTCGCACGCGAAGTTGCCGGGCTTGCCGCAAATAGACCGATTTTTTCAAACGACATGAATTTGAACACTTGTGCTACGGTGGTATAATTAATTATTTCACCTATATTTATTTACAGGTCGTGTACCGCTCATCCCGGTAGCACGCTGTCAAGCAACTCATCGATCGGCATCGTAGGGTGCGCTTGCCGGTCGTCGCTCAGTTTGGAAGTCGCAGAAACCTCTGCAACCGGCTTGATATCAAGAAGTTGCTCCAGACGGCCACAAACCGCGTCAATTTCAGCCGTCTGCTCCTCCAGCTCCACCGGCGACCGGAACTCGCACTTCCTGCCAAACAGTGTCTCCACAAATCGGCCGTACTCTTCAGACATCTTCTCGGTCGTCTCAAAAAGTGTCTCGTAGCGATCGCCAATTTTCTGTGCTGCTTTTAGCTGTCGCAAATACACCTCTCGCATCAGGTGCGAGATATAGTGCAGTTTTGGCGAGTTCTGTCTCAATAGCCTACGCGTGGACTTGCTCACACGGAACATCGATGGATCATCACCCAGCATTTCCTCTGTCGGAATAGGGAACGATTCCGGGTCGTTTAGTTCCACAAACCGGTGATCTTCCGGCTTTTTCGAGCTGTCCGGTCCGTCCAAATCCATCAGATCCACCAGCTGGCCCATCTCCTGCAACATCTCCTCACTTGGAAAGTTCTCACTGTCCGAATTGTCCCGGCCATTAGTTTCAGCTACACCGCTTAACTTCGCAAACGTCGATAGTCGCTCATCCTCGGCAAACGGGAGCGCCACCAGGGAAAACCCGTAGTGGTCGGGCACACCGTCCATCTCCTCCAGCTTGCGCTTCTCGCCCGTTTGAACCTCATGCTTGTACTTTGTAGCGTCCGTCAGCACGACACAGGGGCTCATTGCTACCAAACGTGCGGTACCCGCGTTCCGCTTGACGTAGCGCACTATCGCCACCAAATCGTGCTCCAGCAGCGCCTGTGCAAGCATGTTGAACCCAAATTGGTCGCGCACTGAGCTGTTCTGGTTATTGAGCAGAATTTCGGCTTCGCCGTGGAAATACCACGGCGGAATACTTTTGCGACGCACAAACTGTAAAATGTCGAGCCCGGCGTACGTGTTAATACTCAGCAGTTGCTTTAGCGACGAGGTGACCGGCACCGTCGACGAGCCGTAGCGATATGCCTCTTGGACCTCTGTCGCGTCGAGAAACCGCGGCTCTGTCGACTGGCTATCCGGTTCTGAGCTAACGAACTTGTCCGTGGTATGTTTAAGCTCCACCAGATGGCGAGTACCCGAGTCGGGGTCTTGCTGGACGCCCATTTCATGTGTGAATTGCATTTTCTGGCTCTTGGTTAGCGGATAGGCGTCAGCCTGGAACTTGATGGTCACAGCGTCGGAGGCCGGGTCGTAGTCGCCAGTGTACAATTTCAGCTCTTTCTTGTCCAATCGGAGCGCTGACGCGCAGTTCTTCAGGTCCAGACTGCACAAGTTGCACCCCAGCCTAACCTCGCCCGTGAACAATCGCATAGCACGGTATATTCGCACAGGCTCCTTTTCCCAGCGCAGCAGGTCGCGGAACTGCTCCAGGGAGCAGAAATATGACAGCGAGGCACGACCACTGCTCTTCTGCAGCCGAGCCATTAGTTCGTCGATCTGATCAATATTGGCAGACACCACACTGCTGTCGGCTTCTGTTTCGGCCATGCAGCTCACTATCGTAATTAAGGCGTTGTAGCCAATGGCAGCGGTGCTCACGAGCTCAGTAAGCTGATCCCAATTGGTTGGATTTTGCATATCTGACATGACATAGACGGTGTACTTTTCCTTTTTTGTCTTTTTCGGGTTCATCTCCATGATCTTCTGCAGAACGATGGCCAGGGACCGCGGCAGGTCTACCTCCAGCTCGTCCACAGGGTCTGTATTGATATTGACTGTGTCCTTCAGTCGTGCCATGCGGTCCCAGTCGTAGTGCTCAGGGCCCTCAAGAACACAGTTGTTCCAGTTCCCGGGGCTGATCGTGTCCATAGGGTTATCTGTGTGTTTGTCATGCAGCTTGGCGATGCCAAAGAGATCGGTCTTCTTGCCACGCATGGCGCTGCGTAAAATCAGCCCAAGTGCCAAGTCTAAGCAGGCGTCCAACTTGGAAGCCATGCTCGGCGACTGGTCGACGACGAAGAAAGTTATTTCTTTCTCCATAAAATATAAAAAAACCAAGACAAATTAAATCAAATAAATAATGTAGATAAAATCAAGACAAATTAAATCAAATAAATAATATAGATAAAATAAAATATTTCATGATCCGATACGGTGCCCTTGCCCGCGCACGGCCGCTCAAATTGGCCGTGCAGACACGCAGCATCATGAACAGACAACAGAAAGAGGAGCAGCGGTTTAAGGAACATATGGAGGAGCAGCGAAGAAAACGCAAGTGGTCAACCTATATCACGTCCTCAGTTGCCGTGCTTTTAGCAACCTCCGGCATACTATACATCTGGCAGCCATGGAACCCTTTCAGTACAGAGGTGAGTCGTCACCTGCGCAAGGGTCTGTGGCTGGAAACCAGCAAAAACATCGATTACTTGAAAGCGTTGGAACACTATCAGGACGCCCTCCGGCAGTGCAGAAAGGAGGAAATGGATAATCTGGACCCACGGTACACGGGCATAGTCCTGAAAATAGCAGAGATGTACGAGAAGCTGGAGATGGTGGACAGACAGCGCGAGGTGTACCAGCGTCTTAGCGACTTTCTGTTTGCCAAGCTGGTCAATGATGAGGTGCCTCAAGAGTGGAAGGACAAGGTGATTCAGCGAGACCTGGTGGTGGCCACGCGATTGGCGACGCTCGCTCCCGCGGGCGAGACGAAGCGTGTGATGCAGGAGTTATGGGAGCGGATGGGTTATGCGGAACAGCAGACCGTTGCCAAATTCCCAGTGCTACATGTTGGCGGCGAGCTCGATATTATGGAGGTGTTGCAGCTAGACTCGTGGAGTGCGAAAAAAAAATTCATAGAGCAGCATCTGCCACAGGCAAAGAAGTTTCTGAGCCAATGGAGTGTTGAGTGGCCGTGCTACATGGAAGACCTTGTGCGCGCGCGCGATCTGTACGCAACGTTGGCGATGTTCACTGCGCCGGGGGACGTGGCTGTGAAAGTGTTGCAATCCAACATCTTTTTCATGAAGATCTCGGGGCTGGAGCCAATCAAGATGAGCACGGCGATGCTCAACCTGGCGTCTGCTTACTACTTCAAGAGCGAGCAGCACGACTCCCGGATTGCGCTGGTCGGGCCCGCAGACACGCTGGAGAAGCAGATGTTTGTGGAGCACGAGAAAAAAGAGGCCCAGAAGGCGCGCGACATGAGCGCACGACTGTACCGCACAATCATCAGCCGCTACCAGGGCCAGGACGAGGACTCGCGTGTGTGTCAGGCGATGTCGCTTTATTCGCTGGGGGTGTTGAATAAGGGCCAGAAGGAGGCAGAGACGTATTTCAGCCAGGCGAGAGACGTGGCTGCCGAATACGGGCTGGTGCAGGTGATCGATAAAATCGACAACGAGACGCTGCTCCCAACACCATTACAGCAGGTCTAAAACATATACTTTGCTATATTACTTACTGCGAGGTCATGACCTGCCAGACTCTAATCACGTTGTCAGTGTAACCAGAGAACAAGTTCTGGCCGTCGTGGGACCAAGCAAGGGAAATACACTCTGGAGTCTTGCCCTCGGCAACCTCAGGCTTGAGCTCCTCCTTCAAAGTTCTCTCCTGTAGGTTGTAGATCTTGATGGAGCTGGCAGTGGCAACACAGAGCCAGTATCTGTTTGGCGAGAAGGCCAGGGCGTTAATCTCGTCACCGGCTTGAAGAGTGTACAGAGTCTTCTTCTTGGAGCTCATCTCCCACAGGATGATGGCACCGTCCTTTCCACCAGAAGCACACAAAGATCCGTCTGGGGAGATGGTGATGCAGGAAACGTAACCGTTGTGGCCAACAAAGTCGGCAGCCAGGGTGTAGTCTCTCAAGTCCCAAGCCTAGAATAGTTAGTAAACCAATGAAAATCCCGGTGATCAGAGATCTTGGTGATATTTTTGTGTCTCATTCGGTTGCCCGTCTGAAGTAGCAAATATGTGATACATCATGTCACCGGGTGATAAAATATTCAACTTACCTTAACGAGTTTGTCAGAACCGGCAGAAATAACAGTAGCAGCCTTGGCTTCGTCAGTTGGAGAAGATGGAGAGAATCTCACAGCGTTGACCCAGTCGGTGTGGGACTCCAAGGTGGCCATACATTGACCGAGAGAGTTCCAGACCTTGACGGTCTTGTCTCTGGAGGCAGACACAATCTGTCTCGAGTTGGCGGCAATGGAAACAGACAAAACGTCTCCCTTGTGTCCAACAAATCTAACGACAGATTCGCCGGTATCGAGCTTCCAAAGTCTCAAGGTCTTGTCCCAGGAGGCAGAGATGGCGTACAGTCCGTCTGGAGAGATGGCACAGTCTTGGACAATGTGCGAGTGGCCCTTCAGAGCCTTCTTGGCAACACCGTAGTTGTTCTCGTCTCTAGTCAATTGCCAGGTGATCAGGGTCTTGTCTCTGGAGGCGGAAAGGAGCAAATCTGGGTTAGCTGGAGAGGTAGCAAGGGAGGTCACCCATCCGTTGTGGCCGTGCAGGGTTCCTCTGAGCACTAGAACTTCGACAACTTCGTCAGCCATATTGTGGTTATATGAAGAATATAATTAAAATTTTCAATTTTTCAAGGTTAGCCCCAGGCCACGTACAGAGGTGCGAGGGTGAATCTGTGACTGCTAACTTCGATAAAAATCCATCTTAAAATCAAGTTGTACGCGCTTGCTGCTTACCGGTGCACGGGTGAATGTCGGGAAGGGACGTTTCATACATACAATCCAGACTCGACTCGCTCCAGGAGGTCGATGTCCGGCTCGTGTCGATGCTGGACAACTTGTCGACCACGCTCGACCTGCTCAGGAGCCACAAACACGCCGGTGTTGCGAACGAGGCCGAGTTCAAGACCGCGGCCTCTGGCTTCTACTTCGACCTCAGCCACGCTGCTGCAAGTCTAAGCAGAGAGGTGAAAACGATCAACAACAAGATCACGTCGCAAACTGGCGAGCTCGACCTCTTGCCCGTCCAGATAAATAAAAAATCTGTCTGGGTGAACGACGCCAAGCTCAAGGAGGAAATACAGTATTTGGACCAGCTGGCAGACTTCAAAAGCATCGAGGTTCCGCCGGACGAGCCCGAGAAGCCTGAAGAGTCGCCCAACGACGACAAAAAAGTCCCAGAAACTATCGATTTAGAGGATATCGACATGAACGACGCAAGTACATGATACTACCGCTTTCCTATAAAATAGCCCACGAGCCCGGCAAGCAGAACAGCCAACACCGTAGCTAGCTCGTTGTAGCGGACCCTTCTGATGCTGGGCAGCCTATAGACAAACATCAGCCAATTGCTCTTGGCTCTGGAGTACGGAGCATATCTGTCTTTCAGGGCTACCTCGTACCAGTACGGCTGTTTGAAAATCACCTTTTTGTGTGTAAAAGACTCGATCGAGTACTTTCCGTGGTAATTGCCTGTTCCAGACGTCCCAACGCCACCAAACGGACACGTATGGATGCCGGCGTGCACCAGAGTTTCGTTGACCAAAAGAGCTCCGGACCGGATCCTGTCCACCAACTCGACTTCCTCCTGCTTGTCAGAGAATATGTACGTGGCCAGTGGGGTGTCATGGTACTTCTGAATCGTTTGAACAGCTTCTGCCAGCGACGAGTACCTGAGAACCGGCAAAATAGGGCCAAATATCTCAGACTCCATCAACGGGTCGTCCCAATCCACGTCCGTGACCACCGTTGGGGCCAGGAAATTTGTTTCCGGGTCTCGCGCACCCCCAAACAGCAGCTTACCGCGGGTTTTCTCTAGCAGACCTACCAGACGATAGAATGAGCTGCTGTTGATGAGATGCGTATAGTCTGATGTTTCTGAGACCTGGTACGTTTTTTGTAGCACAGCCAACATTTCTGCCACCACTTTGTCGTACACGGAGTCCTGGACGAGCAGGTAGTCCGGCGACACGCAGACCTGGCCCGCATTGCAAAACTTGCCCCAGAAAAGTCTGGCGAGTGCTGTTTGGATGTCTGAGCAGCCCGAGGTGATGAGTGCTGGCGATTTCCCGCCCAGCTCCAGCAGAGTCGGAGTTAGCGACTCGGCCGCCTTGGCGTGCACTATTTTCCCCACTGCGGTAGAGCCCGTGAATACGATCTTGTCGTATTTCTGCTTCAGCACCGCCTGGGCCTCTTCCAGACCGCCACTAACGACCACCAGTATTTCTGGATCCAGAGCTTCTGCCAGAACACGAGACAGCACTCTGCAGAATTCAGGGCATCTGTCGCCCGGCAATTTGAGCACAACGTTGTTTCCGGCTGCAATTGCACCTGCCAGCGGGCTCAGGGCAAGCAGCAGCGGGAAATTGAATGGCGACATCACCAGAATTGTGCCCAACGGCTCTTTCTCGATCTTGCACGAAGCGACGCTGAACGCGACGGGCATTGCCTCGGGAGTTTCCGGGGCAAGCAGCGACGAGAGGTGGCCAGCCAGATAGGCGAGCTCGCCCAGCAGCGGGCCAAACTCGGCAACCAGCGTCTCCTGGGGCGAACGGTGGAAATCGTGGAGTAGAGCCGAAACGATGCTGTCCTGGTGTTTCTGAAGCGCATCTTTCAGGGAGAGCAACTGCGCCTTTACAAAGGTTTGAGACTTGCGCGGACGAGCAGTGAAGTTGAGACGAAGCTTGTTAACAGCCTCGGGAATTTCTCCTAGAGCAACCAGAGACATTATTTTAAAAATAAAAAAATCGCTCCATAACTATTTTACCGTATCAAAATATATGGTCCATATCATCTCTTGAAAAATTCGCGTATCAGTCGCTCTTTCTCGTCCTCGGCCCAGTCGTGGCCCTTGCGTCGGCTCGCACGATCGGCAAGTCTACTGTTGAAAAGCACCAGCAGATAGATGGCGATTAGTGAGAGCACCAGAAATAGCACAGAAAGCAGCGAAATAATCCAGTACTCGTTGTGCTGCACAAATTGGGTCCAGCCCCTGCTCTCATCGTAGTCCGGCTCCATATCGCTCGCAAGGAAGATCTCATCCTCCAGGTACTTAACAACGACCAGAAACTTGCGCCCCACGAACGCCGTCTGGACGCCGAAATGCACTAGCTCGAAATAGAGCAGCCGCACATTCACCAGCTGGCCACCCCTGTAGTCGTACACCTTGTTGTTGATCTGGACCGGCTCCATCGGGACGTAGTCAATAGATCGGCTGTTGCTGCGGAACCAGCCGCAATCGCTCTGTGGAAGGTTTTCTGACGAGCTTAAATTGTAGATAAGCTCCTGGTGCAGAATGTTGCTCAACTTGCGGTCTCCGTCGTATTTCTTTACCATGATTTCCAGACGGCCAAAAACGTCAGGTCGTTGCGTGGTAAGCCCGTCGTTGTCCTCCAGTGTGTAGGTGTTGAGAAATACGTTGATATGGTCATTTTCGTACGAGTCGAAACTGATGAGCAACTCTTCTGCCACAGCCTGATCCGAGTCGCCGCTCTTCTCCGGCACCTGCGCAGAAACCACGCTGCTCAGTAGCAGGGTTAGCCAAACAAACCACAACATATGGCCAGAAAGCGCGTCCTTGTTATACACTTTTCGAATCGACAAGAAGCTGCGAACGCCTTGTTGATAAGGCCGTGTCTTATATATAGGACCTTTTTAACTTTTTTACTCTACATGTAAATTTCCCAATTTGGGTCAGCTCCTGTGGCTGCGAGCCCAATTTATCTATCCTGAAATACGACCGACGCAGTGTTGTGCAGCTCAGCTTAGGTCGAAATCGTCGATCTTGTTCTTGTACTTGAGCACATTGTGCTTGATCTTGGAACTGTCCGTCCACTGCAAGTAGTCTTCCATGTTTCTGGTCACCAGGAACGCCGGATCGGTGATCACATCTGGCCCAACTCGCACATGGCCCTGCTCCACAAATTTGACCGCGTCCGAGATGGTCTCTGCCATCTTGAACCGGCACATCACTACACCGATCCGCCTCCTGCAGAAAGCGCTGACGGTCACCTTGTTTTCCAGGTCCGATATCTTGCTTTTCGTCGCCAGAATTCCCATGGCGTACAGCTTGTCCAGAAGCAGCTGTTCGTGCTTGATTCTGAACGGATCGTTGGGCTGTAGAAGGGCGAGCTTGTGTGCAATTTTTCTGATGTTTCCGCATATCTTATTGTACTTGTGGTAGTCCTCCCTATTTTGCACGTGGTATGTTCGCATCACCTGCGTGTCTCTGTGTCCCTGGTCCTGCTTCCAATCCAGGAAGTCGACCTTCTTGAGCAGCCGCTGCTCGTGGTGCTTTAGCTTCCTGACCATAGTATATTATTATATTTTCTCTAATTTTTTTTTTTCTCACCCATACACCAACCAAAGCTGGTTTCCAAAATACTCAAATTTTATCACCATGTCTTTTGTTCGGTGGTTCTCCAGCCTCAGACCCGTGCTCTCTCACATCGGCTCGTCGCCTGTCGTGATACCGCCACAGGTGGAGTTCGAGTTCATGGACCTGCTCGTGCCGAAATTCGTGCCCAAAGGAGCCAAGTCTCTAAGACTCGACAGAGTGGTCACGGTGAAGGGACCCAAGGGAAAAATCGATCTTGTGTTGCCAGAGTTTGTCCAAGTGCAAAGCTCTGGAGGCAGGGCTACCGTTTCTGTGAAAAGGCCCGAAGACAAGCTCCAGAAACAGCTTTGGGGAACCATGCGCGCTCTACTCAACAACGGCGTCATTGGTGTCACTGAGGGACACACCTCCACACTGAGACTCCAGGGCACTGGTTACCGTGCCATGTTGGAGGATGTGGACGGTGTCAAGTGGGTCAAGATGAAGATTGGAAAGTGCGACTTGCAGGGACTCCCGATTCCTGACGGCATCACCGTCACAGCTCCTACGCAGACCCTTTTGATTCTGGAAGGCTGTGACAAGCAGCAGCTGAATCTCTTTGCCGCCAGCCTGAGAAACATGCATCCTCCAGAGAGATACAAGGGAAAGGGAGTGTATCTAAACGGCGAAACCGTCAAACTGAAGGACAAAAAGGTCAAATAGTGACCTCTGTACGTAGCGGACTGTACATACACGATAAAGCGACCAAACACACCAGAAATGCACAACCGCGTTGTCCGTGTCAGCTAATATTTCTGGTTGCACGGGCTCTAGAAATTCCAGTTTTATCGCGAAATAATTTAATTTAGTTATAATGAATGTCGACTCAGGCACCCCACAGTATTGGAGCCAGTACCAGCTTTCCGAAAACATCGATGCGCACGAGTCTTTTCCAACGCCCCTGTCGCGGGGTAGCACCGACCAGACAGAGTATAAGAGCCCCCAGGTGCTGGACAGAGAGATTTTGCAGCAGCAGCAATTCCAGAATAACGGGACCCTCCACGGGTACGTCTCTCCCTTGAACAAGGAGCAAAATCGGATGTTTGCGGACACCTGCAACAAGGCGGAGGAGTCGATCCGAAAAGACGTAGGTGACGGACTCTGGCAGGAAGTGTTCTCGGGTACCACCAAGAAGTCCAAGCGACTGGGCTCATCCGCTAGCAGCGAGTCCTCGAATACGAACAGACCGCTGTCTGAGGAGGCGCTTTTGGCAGAGAAGCGCAAGGCCCAAAACCGCGCCGCGCAGAGAGCCTTCCGGGAGCGCAAGGAAATCAAGCTCAAAGAGCTCTCCGCTAAATTGAGCCAGTCGGAAAGCGAAAGACAGCGACTTCTTCAGGAGATCGAGCAGCTGAAACAGAAAAACACGCTGCTGGGCATCGAAAATGAGATGCTCCAGAAAATGGAGAAACCAGCGTTACCGAAAGGCCACTCGTCGACGCGGGGGCAATACGATTTTCCTCAGACCAGAGAAGATTTCATCAAGTCGGTGGTGGACGTGCGGACGTCGGCCCCTGAAGCGCCTCCCGCCGGAGTCCCGCACTCGATGGTGGACGGCGTTCCGTATAGCATCCAGGCGTACAACCACAACAACGAAAAAGTGCTTACCGTGGCTGCTGTGTGGGACTATCTGAACGAAATAGCGTCCGAAAAGGATATAAACCTGGACATTCCAGGAATTATCAGCCAGCTCAGAGGCTCCGAAGTGTGCCACGGACACGGCCCAGCATATCCGGTGTCGGTTGTGAACGCGGTGGTGGAGAAAAATACAGAGTTTTTGATCTGATATGTACATCGATTTGATAGCTATTTATCCTGCAATATATGCGAACCATACCTCTTCAGAGCGTCTCTAATCTGAACGTACGAACCGTTCGAGCCAGAAACACATCCCTTGACGAGTATGTATCCCTTTTCGGCATTCACGTCCAAAACCTCGAGGTTGAATATCGTGTTCCACTCGTCTCCCAGATGTCCAGCCATCTTCTTGCCCGGCAGCACTCTGGCAGGCGTGGTGTTCATACCGGTGGAACCAGCGCTTCTATGGGCCAGAGACGTACCGTGGGATGCCGGAAGACCCGAAAAGTTCCATCTTTTCATCACACCAGCAAACCCTTTACCTTTGGTTTTCGAAATAACGTCCACAAACTGTCCTGGCTTGAAATGATCGGCTTTCAGCTGCGAGCCAACGGGAACAAGGCCGTTCTCATCCTTGACCTCAAATTCAAACAGGACCTCTTTGGGAGAGACCTTGGCGTTTCTATAGTGTCCCAACATGGCCTTTGTCTGGTTTTTTAGCTTGTGTCCATATCCAACCTGCACAGCATAGTAGCCGTTTTTGTTGAGAGTCTTGTTGTAAACCACCTCCACCTGATCAATTTCCAAAACTGTGGCAGGAACACGGTCTCCGTTTCTGTTGTAGAACTGCGTCATGCCGCGCTTGACGCCAATCAGACCCGGTCTGTCGAGGAGTCTTTTACGCAGTCGTTTGGCCTCTGGGCTCTTGAAGGGGAGCGGAGCCACACTTTTGAGGGCTGGAACAGCCATCGGCGAAATCAGCTGTCTTTTCGACACGGCCGGCAGCGCAGCCGTCGAGTTCAGCCGCCTAAGAATTAGACTGTACATGTGCGTTGATGGAAAACTTTTTGGTGGTTTTTTTTTCTTTCCAGCTTACATAATAAATACACTATCCGTCTTATTAGAATGTTCGGGTTACCTAGTAAGGAGTGTATGGGTACGCACATCTCTTGGCAAGCTTCTTCACCGGAGCAACATCTTTAGACTCACCAGGAATAATGTCCCTCTTGCTGACGTCGTTCTTTCTGAGCTCTTCCACTTCTTTGGGATCCTCTCCTTCGTATCCCTCCATGCCTGGCTTGATCTCGCCCTTTCCGTTGTTTTTCCAGGATCCTCCAAAGTGGTGGTGAACGTAGCAGTATTTTCCGCAATTGTTCTCCTTGTCCTCTCTGAAGGAGGCCCTCGGATAGATCACCACGTCGTCGATCATCACAGGAGCTCTTAAACCAGCAAAGAATCTCCACGAAATCACGTCTCCTTCTCCGGTCTCAGGGCCATAGAGCTCTCCGGCAATGTCTCTTTGGTGGTCTATATCCACGATCGTAGGGCTTGCGATCGAGTTCAGGTGCGCATAGATAGTGTCTGTCCACACAACAGGACCGGTCCACACCATGATATCCACGGAAGCACATCTATCGACGCCTTTGAAGTCTTTGTAGTAAGCCTGCAGTTTGTCGTTCTTCTTGGCCTGGAAAGTGGTTTCGACGATCTTTGCAATCAGCTTTCTCAAAATAGGATGTTTTGCCTTGGCCTTGAATGTCCACTGCTCAAACTGGATTCTTCTGGTCATGTAGTGCTCCCAGTTCTCCACGTTGATGTCCTCCTCGACGGCAACCACAAATCCCACATTTCTATCAGAGTCAAACCACGTGTCGACTGGCTTTTGCAGGTCTGTGTCGATGTCTGCGTAGACACCGCCATTCAGAAAAATCAGCAGGTATCTAGCGAAGTCGGAACGGATGATTTTGTTTGGCAACATCTCGAACGCCTCGAGCACCTCAGGAACGGTGTCTTTGAACCGGATTCTCAAAATCTCCAAGATCTCGTCGTCAGTCAGCAGGTTATATTTGTAGGTTGGGTTCTCGTTTTTCCACTTGTTCACGAGCTCCTTGTGAGGGAAGTCTGGGTCGGTGGAAGGCACCTTCCACATCTGCCAAATGCTCTTCTCAATTCTTCTGGCGCTATTGTCATATGGAAAGAACTTTGCCAGTCTCTCTGCAGTGACTGCTGCATCGTACGGGTTGGCACCCCGGAATTTTGGATTTAGCTTGTAAAAGTTGTTGAGATATTCTGAAACGATCTTGTCTTCCGTGTTGATAGACCAGCTGGTGGAGAACTTGAACAGAATGAGGCCCAGCAGCAACCCCACAAAAATGGAGAGTTTTTTGAATTTTGGAGACGTCGACGAGGTCGAATTGATGCCTCTGTAAGGCGACGCTTTGCTCATATCACTAAGAGAATGTGGCGGCGAGTTTCAGTCGAATATTAGGCAAACGCGGATCTTGTAAAAATGAGAAAGATTCTGCCAATCTTCCCTGTAATTTTGAATGTTCTCGTAGCAATCCAAAGCAAAAATGTATTACAAAAAGCTGACCGTGGCCGAGTTTATAAAAAAGCTTTCTGTTTAGTTGTCTATTTTTTTTTCGTTCTGTAGATCTTTTCGTGTGCTAAGGTGGACGCGATGTGTTAATAAAGAATGTCGCGAAATGGCTAAATGAGCAGATTTCGTGCGCCGAATCGTATTAGACACTTCAGCAACTCCTAACACACATTTTCACTTCAGCAGGCTCATTTTCCGCCCTGATGAGCATTACCCCTTAACTCATGTTTCACGTCGATCGACGCCCGGCCCAGCGTCGAGATGTTTTTTTTTCCATCTACTTGTCTAGCTTCTTATTCCTTATGTTCAAGAAATTCTCTAAAGAAGACATCCACACCCGGTCAAACGTCAAGTCTTCCGTGCAGCGTGGACTCAAGACGAAGTTCGTGGAGCAGTATCCGGGGTTTGAGCCCATCATCGACGAGCTCGTGCCCAAGAAGTCCACCGTTCAGCACTACAAATGCGAGGACAAAATCCAGCTCTACTTAGTGGATGGAGAGGTGCTGTTCTACCAGAAATTCGACGAATTGCTGCCGTCACTGAAACTCGTGCACAAATATCCTACTTTGTTTCCTAGAGTCCAGGTCGACAGGGGAGCAATCAAATTTGTGCTTTCGGGAGCGAATATCATGTGTCCTGGATTGACCTCCAAAGGAGGCTGGCTGCCGGAGGAGAATATTCCAAAGGACACCACTGTGGTGGTATACGCCGAAGGAAAGGAGCACGCGTTGGCCGTGGGCAAGCTTTTGATGAGCACGGACGAAATCAAGAGCGTCAACAAAGACATCGGCATTGAACTGTATCACTACCTTGGAGACGGGCTGTGGAATTTCCGTGAATAGCTGTAATGAGATATGAATGGTAATTTATTTGTAGCTGATTTTCAGAAATATTTCTTATTAATTTATTGTATGGTATGGTTTCTGACAACTACGGGATAGTTGTGGATTCCGGGTCTTCAGGCTCGCGGATTCAGATATACAAATGGAAAGACCCTGCTGGTCTACAGAACGAGTCTAAGGACCCAGCCATTTTGTCATCTGTGCCCCAGATTGTGCAGGAGGACAAGTGGACCTACAAAATCGACAAAGGGCTTTCAACGTTTGCAGATCATCCTGAGGACGTGTGGGAGGACCATTTTGAGCCTCTGATCAAATACGCTGAGCAGATTGTTCCAGAGGACAAGCTGGCATCCACGCCCATCTTTGTTCAGGCCACAGCAGGAATGCGACTTGTTCCCGAGGAACAGCGTGAAAAGGTGCTGAAAAGCGTGTGCAAGGCGCTGAAGGAGGAGACGCACTTCCAGATAGATAGGTGCGATGACCACGTGCAGGTGATTGACGGCGAGACAGAAGGCATATATGGCTGGATCGGACTCAACTATCTGAAGGGAAAGCTTAATCAGTACGATCCAAAGGTCCCTATCTCTGACCACGACTCCTATGGGTTTATGGATATGGGTGGGGCGTCCACTCAGATAGCATTTGTTCCCTCGAATGCAGTGGAATTGGAGCAGCACAAAGACGATCTGTACGAGGTGAGTTTGAGAAACGTGAATGGAGAAATACAGCGCTGGCCTGTGTTTGTGTCGACATGGCTGGGATTTGGAGCCAACGAGGCCCGCAAGAGACATTTGAAAAATCTGATCACGACTCTTCCCGACGGCGTGAACTACGACAAAGATGGAGACAGCACGTACGATATTTACGACCCATGCTCACCCAAAAACATGCACATCAAACAGGAGCTGAACGGCATCACTTATGAGATCACCGGTTTGGGAGACTACAAAACGTGTATGAAGCACGTTTACCCGCTTTTGCTGAAACACTTGCCCTGTAAGGAAGATCCGTGTCTTTTCAACGGGGTGCACGCTCCTACCATCGATTTCGAGAAAGATAAGTTTATAGGAGTGAGCGAGTACTGGTACACTGCCAACGATGTGTTCCACATGGGCGGAGCATATAATTTCAAGAAGTTTGAGGAGAGACTGAAAGAGTTCTGCGAGCAGGATTGGGAGCAGATTGAACTCAACTTTAAGAACAAGCAGTACGGAAGCAACATTCCAGAAGCCATCCTCAAAGACTCGTGCTTCAAGGCAAGTTGGGTGGTCAATGTGCTTCATGAGGGCTTCGGGCTGCCGCGAATAGGGTTTGAGACTGGCGATCTGTCTGAAGAGGAAGTGGAAAAACTCAACAAGCAAGATACTGAGCATATTCCGTTTCAGAGTGCAAACCAGATTGACGGAGCAGATCTCTCGTGGACACTAGGGAAGATTATTCTTTATGCGTCCTCGCAAGTACCGTCCAACGATGGTGTACCTGTTGGAGTGCTGCCGGGAGAAAGTGCACAGACGGCGATCGCCAGTGCGGTCAAACCCACACCCAGCGTTGCCGCAACGGACTCACTGAACGGCTATTTTGCAATGATGGTTGGGGTTTTATTATTGGCATTTTTAGGGTACGGCTTCTTTACCAAGAAGTTCACGCATTCCAAATTTCTCTCGAGGAAAGGGCTGAACGGAGTCCAGGCGAGTTCAATTAGAAAGTTCCAGCAACAATGCTCCAACAAAATCAGCAGCAAGCTGAAGTCTTTCAGACACGCATATATGGTTCCCGATGAGGAAGCGACTATGTACGAGGACCAGTTTACGCCGAAGCTGCCACAACGCGCTTCCTCCGCCTCGGTCCCACAAAATGCCAATTTCAACACACTCAGAACACGCTCTACATTGAATCTGTCCGATTTCCAGTCAGATATTCCTCAATTTGCGCGGTCGACGTCTGCAAACTCGTTACCTGGCAAGATCGGATCGAGCGCTCAGCTGGACAAACAGGGACTGCATTTTGATTTCATGAGCAAAAAATACAACAAATACGTCAACCGGTCTATTTCGCCAAACAGAGGTGTTTCATTCCCGCAGGCTCTGGGCCTGTCGAGCGGGTCGCAGGTGGAACTCAAGACATCAAACAAAAGTAAAGCCAGCGATTAGGGGCTGGCCGATCGACGCGATCGACGCGATAATTGATATAAAAAAATTCAAGGAAAAAAAAAATTTTAGATCTATATAAATTCTAGGAGTATAGGGATGCGTGTGAAAAAGCCCACCTCCAAGAGAACCACCACCCGCATGCGGGAGGGTATCAAGAAGAAGGCTGCTGCGCAGAGGAGAAAGGAGAGAAAGCACGCAAAGAAGGACCCTACCTGGAAATCGAGACATAAAAAAGACCCGGGAATCCCTGCAAGCTTCCCTTACAAAGATCAAATAATCACCCATATTGAAACCACAAAGAGAATTGAGCAGGAAGAGAGAGAAAGGCAGAAACTGTTGAAGAAGACTGAGACTACGCACGACGAGGAGATGATGAGCGAGGACGACGAGGAGCAGGAAGATGGAGGAAACCATCTGGCAGCACTGCTGGAATCCGCTGAAAAAGCTGCCGAGGAGTTTTCTGGACAAGGGGACACCGAACCGATGGAAGAGGAAGAGCTTGAGGTGAACGAGTACGACATCACGCTGAGTGACGACGAGGAATACACAAGCCAGCAGGAGAAGTCCAGAAAACAGTTTGACAAAATTTTCAAGTCTGTGGTCGAGGCGTCGGACGTGGTGTTGTATGTCTTGGATGCACGGGATCCAGAGGGAACACGTTCGCGGAAAGTGGAGGAGGCGGTGTTACAGAATTCCGGAAAAAGACTGATTTTTGTGGTGAACAAGGTTGACCTGATTCCAGACGAGAATCTGAAGTCCTGGCTGGACTATTTGAAACAGTCTTTTCCTACAATTCCTCTGAAGGCAAGCAATACAGCCACTAACGCCCAATCTTTTAACCGGAAGTTGACGCAAGCATCCTCAGCCGCGACTCTTTTGCAGGCTCTGAAATCGTACTCGCAAAAATCGAACCTGAAACGAGCCATTGTGGTGGGCGTTATTGGATATCCTAACGTTGGAAAATCGTCCGTGATAAATGCCCTGACATCGAGACATGGCGGATCGTCGTCTGTGTGTCCCGTTGGAAACCAGGCTGGAGTGACAACCTCACTCAGAGAGGTGAAGATTGATAATAAGCTCAAGATCCTCGATTCTCCGGGAATTGTGTTTCCTGACTCGAAGAAGAAAAGCAAGGCCCAGCAGGAGGCAGAGCTGATTCTTCTGAATGCCATCCCCCCACGACAGATTTCCGACCCGGTGCCTGCAGTGACGCTATTGCTCAAAAGGCTGGCCAAGAACTCGCAGATGGCTGAAAGTTTCAAGAATCTGTACCAGCTACCTCCGTTGCCGTCGCATGACCTGAACGAGTTCACGAAACAGGTACTGATTCACGTGGCGAGAAAACAGGGCCGTCTAGGCAAGTTTGGCGTGCCTAATTTACATGCTGCCGGACTAACCATTCTCAACGACTGGAGAGACGGCAAGATCATCGGCTGGACTGTTCCAAAGCCTCGCGAAGAAGCCAAGAACATCAGCAGCGTCAGCAGTCTCTCTGCTCCGGCCAAGGTGGAACAGACTACGATTGTCAAAGACTGGGCCAAAGAGTTCGACCTGGACACGCTATTCGCGGAGGTCGGAGTCTAAGCGTGTAATCCCTCAATATGAATACATTAGAGTGACTATAAACTTAAGCCTGGGAAGCCAAGAAAGCCTTGATAGCGGATGGGTTAGCACCGATAATTCTCTTCACCTCCTTGCCGTCCTTGAGGAAGAGGATTGTTGGCATGGAAGTGACGTCATACTGAGAGGCAATTTCAGGCAGCTCATCAACGTCGACCTTGTAGAAGTCGAAGCTGCTGTATTCGGCAGAAAACTTCTCCAGCATTGGAGCGATCATCTTGCATGGACCACACCAAGTTGCAAAGAAGTCGATAACCACGAGATTGGACACGGAAGTGGCTTGCTTGAATTCGTCGGCGGATTGGATAACCTTCATTTTGTGTTCTGTGTTTGAACCTGTAGCAGATGCGGTATTCGTAGATAAAATCTTATTCACTAGGAATACGAGTGTAATAAGTATCAGAAAACTTAGCATTCAAATTTTGCCGTTGGCGGACATCATTCAAATATATAGGGAGGCGCGAATTTTAGTTAGTCAGCAAATATTTGTAATACATAGCGGGTGGCCAGACAGAGAGAAAAAGGATGCGCATTTGTGCAGCCCGAGCAAAGTCTGGCTTAGTAGAGCCATGTAGAAGCAACCAGACGAATCACCTGTTGGGGCTCATGCGAGCACGGATCGGCTTCTTCCGGGTAAGTTTCGTTCTCAGCGTGCGTCACCCAAATTGGTTTTTCAATTAAATAAAAAAAAGGCAATTAGTCCAGGTAATCGATAGAATTGTATTTAGCAAACTGGTTTTGTCTAAAGCAATATAGTTAGTGCGCCCGTGCCTTTTATCATAGGTTATCAGACTTCAAGCCGTGCACGGTGTAAGTCTGGAAGAAGTTGTATCTAGGCGGTCGAAAAGAAGCACACATAAATCCTTTGACAGGCATTATATCCAAACAAAATAGGATAGTGTCAAAGAACGCAACATCAGTTGGCGCTCTGCTAGTGGCTTTTTGGAAATAAAAGAAGATACTAGTTTGGCAAGTTTCAAGCGGAATACCCGGTTTCTCTTGCTCGTTCAAAAGCAGGATAAGTCAATTTTTTTGCGGAGAATATTCCAATACCTTTCCTTCTGGACACCGAGCCTAATAGAGTTTGGCACTGCATCCTTAAGTGCGTGAGAGCTGTTATGTCGTTTTTGTCGGCTTTATTCTGCTGTTTTGATAATCAGGAAACAGAGAGACGGGAGACAGTAGTGGCATATCCGAAGCTTTCGGCAACGCAGTCTAATTTACAGAAAGCATTGAACAACAAACCATCTAATACACAGCTGTCTAAAAAATCGATGAATGCGCCAACTACTGAGCGTCCCAAGCAACCTGCTGCTCAGAATGCCAATGCGCACGATCCGAACGAGCACGCCACGTTGAAGCAAAACGCAGTGACGGAAATCACCGATTTGAAAGACTATACAGACAGTTCGAAAGATGACGACACACTAAACCAAATTGCGGACTCTCCGGACCACCAGACTCAGGTCCTACAGAAACAAGCAGTTCCTCGGTCTATGGATCCGCTGCCGACCACAAATCCCTCATCTGACGTGTCCGAAGCAAGCGACTTAATAGAAGATGAAGAAGAAGACGCAATTTCCAATGAGGAGGAGCTTGACGAGGATCAGCTAGCTGACTTGGATCTCACTAGAATACAAACGGATCAGGTGGTGGCTGCGTCGGGATGGCTGCTAGACCCGCCCCCTTCCCATTTGCAAGGCAGAAAATGTCTAGTGCTTGACCTGGATGAGACGCTTGTGCACTCTTCGTTTAAGTACATTCGACATTCAGATTTTGTGATTCCGGTGGAGATTGAAAACCAGATGCACAACGTCTACGTGATCAAACGGCCAGGAGTTGACGAGTTTCTCAAGAGATGCGGAGAGCTGTACGAAGTAGTTGTGTTTACGGCATCCGTGTCACGTTACGGGGATCCCTTGCTGGACATTCTGGACGTGCACAAGTCTGTCCACCACAGGCTTTTCCGGGAGAGTTGCTACAATTATCAAGGCAATTACATCAAGAATCTATCTCAGATGGGAAGACCATTGAAAGACCTCATCATCATTGACAACTCGCCAGCGTCGTACATTTTCCATCCTCAGCACTCGATTCCGATCTCCAGCTGGTTCAGTGACACTCACGACTGCGAGCTCACGGATTTGCTGCCCTTTTTGGAGGATCTCGCCAACAAGGAGGTCGACGACGTGTCTCTTGTTCTGGATGTGAACTTGTGAGGCTAAGAGGAGCTGGGCTCTTCTCATACATAGATGTATACTAATTTCATCATACTTACCATGCCATGCGGTGCAAGGGTGTGTCTCGTACATGAAAATCCCTTTAGAAGCAAATTCCAAGGCTGGGTCCCTTCGCTCCTCTGGGCGGGTTGGCATAATTTTAGGGCGAGTCACTAATCTATTGTTTTCTTTATAGGGATGCCACAAAGATAAAATTGGATCTATAAATTCTTGAATCGGCAATCCGTAGCACCACAAAATCAACCGCGTTTAATACACACAGCCATGACAAGAAACTCTGCTGCCAGACGTTCTCTGTGGGGTTCCATCAGAGGGATCAACAAGCTGAAGGAGTCAGAGGAGGAGACCATGATCCAACGACGCAGACAGCCGTCTCAGGCGGGGACCCGCAACAAGCGGCATTCGATGGTGGTGGACATGGACGACTTCAATGCGTTGAGCCGGATCTACAGGTTGGAAGACAAACGGGCCACAGAGAACAAGGAAAACATAGGATTGGAACGCATTAATCGCAACACGATAGACGAGGACGATAGCGACACGTCGCAGTCGGAAGATGCCAACACGACGGTCGACTCTAGCACGGTTCTGGAGCATTTGGAAGGCGACACGAATGACGCCACCACGCTACTAGATTCGGCATTTGACGACTATAAAATAGCACTTCAGGCATTATCCATCGAGGACACGGTAAACCAGGCTAACAAACTCAAAAAGAGCAGCGCGTTCAGGGACAGAGAGACTTTGGAGGAGATCACGAAGCAAACGGGCAAGGAGGAGCGCGCAGAGACCCGTGTTGTCGAGCGACGGGGCTACGTAATTATAGGGACGGAATTCTCGTGTCGCGGCGACAACAGCGAGAAAATGAGCTACTTGGATTCCGATTACGATGATCTATTTGACGAGGTGGCATGCGAGCCGTACCACTCTCAGCCGATACAGAGAACTTCGCTCTATTTCAAGAGGCTCACAAGTCTTTCCAGATGATTTTCTCTAGCGTTTCGCTTTTGTTTTTAACTTCGCGGACGATTCCAAGAGTCTGCAATTCCGCGAGGCTCTTGAGAAACCAGCTCAGAGTCATCTTATCCCAAGTCAGGTCGTCTATTTCTGCGGGCAGCTGTGTTTGAGGAGACTTCTCTCTCAGGGTATTTTCGAGCTCCTCGCGCGGCAGCGAGCTCTTGAACACCTGGTAGAAGTCGTAGACGTTGGTGATGACCCCTGCCTCTCGGCTTAATCTATACAATTCGATCACGGACGGTTCAAGGCACTTGTAAAGTTTCATGTCGAAACTTTCCCGGTCCAGCTGGCTCGGATCGGAATGCACCGTATTCAGCAGGTAATTTTTGGAGTTGAGCAAAGACTCGATACACGTTGCGCGCACTTGGGGATTGAACGTGTTGGTGAGAAGATCCAGCGCAGAGAGGTCGACGCAGCAGATCTCTCTGAACGGAATGTTGTTAAGATTCAACTCTTCCAGGCAGCGCAAGAGCGCTCTGTTCAGTGCGGCCACAAACTGTTTGGTCTGCGACGCGGCGGACAGTTCCCTGAGATCGTCGTTTTCGAAGAGTGGCCCGAAGTCGGCATCTTCGCGCACCGTTTTGATGAAGCTGTTTACATCGTGCAATGAGGAGGAGCGAATTTTACTCCAGAGATGATGCAGAAATTTAAAGTTCTCAAAGTTGCTGTGTTCCTCCTCGTAACTGACATTCTCAAAGATGAGTCGGAAAAGGTCCAAGTTGTCGGTCCAGATGGATGTTTCTAAAAAGTATTCCTGCATAAAATTCAGCAGATCCACCAGAGTCTTCATTCGGTAGCGCCAATGAATGAGCTTATTCAGGCTCTGACGCAGCAGATCGCCCAGCGCGGCCTCATCATCCGACACAAGAAGTTTGTGCAAAGTTGCAGCCTTTTTGGCGTGCAAACTCTGTTCGTACCTGCGAACAGACGGGAGTCGCTTAAACACATCAAATACGTGCGAGTTAAGCTGTATTTTGGAAAAATCGTTGGTCCACATCACGCTAAGCGGCTGGCTGTAATAGTGGCTCATGTAAATGACCTTCATGCTGTTGACAAACTGCGAGATGGAGATTTTCAACTTGAGCTCCAGGAATTTGAGCACGAGCCGCGGCTCGAGAATCAGCGAGTCGTACGTGTCGTTGATGTTGAGAAGCACGTTTTCCATGATCTCGTTCACTGCCTGGCCCGTGTTGTCAATCTGGAAATATTTGGGGCGCATATACTTGACCGTTAGTTTTGGTAGCTTCTCGTGAAATATTTCGAACGGAGTGGACATTCCGATCACCAGTCTGATCCTGGATCTGTATTGGTTGTTATAGTTCCATAGAACCTTAATTAGGGGCGTGAGGATCGAAGTAGGAAACGAGTCGGCGTCCTCAATCATCACTATCAGCCGCTTGTCCTTGGAAAACACCTTCTCCATCAGACTGTCCATCTCAATAGTCCGTGTCTGACCCTCGTCATCCTCTGGTTCACTGTTCATCTCGTCATCCGAATCAGACACTGGCACCGAAGCTGCGCGGCCGAGGTCTGTCTTGAGCCCACGCGAGATATCTGTAGCTAGGATCTTCATGGTGAAGCTGACGGTGCTGCACACCTTGCTGCTCAAACGGACCACGATGGCGTCTGGGCTTTCGTCCACCAGGTTCTGCCATACATTTTGAAGCAACAGCGAGTGGTTGGAGATATTTGGTCCGAGGTTTAGGAGGGCGGTGCTAAGATTTATAGGCTGGTCCTTGAACACTGTGCTACTCTCATCCGAAGAAAGATACCGCTGCAGGTCCACAAACATATTCTTTTCGTGTTTCTGGAGAATCTGGAGAATCTGATCGTGCTGCTTGGCCCAATTGTTGACAAACAGCTCGTATCGACGATACACGTTCTCCGTAGGCTCGTTACCCTTCAACAGGCGAACAAAGGGCAATGCGGACTCTGTGGGTACGCCCTCCTGGTAGTATACTAGCGGGAGATCCGGGAACGCCACACGCGCGGCAGGCTTTAGTTCGTAGACCACCTTTTGAGAGTCCATAAAATCGTCAAACGACATGCAAAAAAATATATCTAAAATAATTAAATGCCAACCATTTTACACTAGAAGAAATATGCACCAGGACCCGCTCACTGGTCGGTATTGTTGTTTTCCTTCATCTTTTCGCGCAACTCCATAGCCGTGGATTTTTCCACCTGGTATAACGAGCAAATGATGTATCTGCCGTTCAAGTTGAAGCCCTTCATCTTGTCTAGTGCCGTCTGGCAGCTCCTATAGTTGGTGTACACCACGAGAGCCTGTCCCTTGAGTTCCTTGTCTGCGCCCACCCTTATCTCGTGGATGTTGCCAAACTTTCCAAATATCTCGTACAGTTCCGCGGGTTTCACATCGTACGGTAGATTTTTCACCAGTATGATCGGGAACTCGAACTGGTTGCGAAACAGACTCATAATAATTTAATATTTTTAAATTCAGTTGAATAAAATAAATAAAATAAATAAATTTGAATCTCTAGTAAATAGCCAATGCTCAGTATTCGGCAAGCCGCAACTTCTTGCCGATGTCTCTGTTGGTGAACACCTTCTGGCGCGCGAAAGGCGGTTCCGGAGACTGCTCGCGAGACTTGATGAGGTCTGAGTTCGGGTCCACCTCAAACGAGTCGTAGCCACCTAGAAGACGGATGATGGCCGGTCTTGCCTTGCGACCACGTCCCACACGCAGGTCGTTCAGTTTGTTGGTGATTTCCGTCCCGAACGAGGTCTCGTCGTCCGGTTTCAGCGACTCGACGTACGTGTGCTCCATTTCCAGGAACGAGCTGTTCAATGTGTCCAGGAACCGCTGAGTCTGGCGATGTTTCGAGGACGCGCAGATAGTTATGGAGTTGTCTTTGATGATATAGCCGAGTCCAAACCCATTTGGCGACACGGGGCCGAACCCAAACAACTTCAAAGACGGGTTGCCGCAGTTGGACGTCGAGATGATCGTGTTGTTGAGCTTGTCCCAGCCGGCGTCTGCAAAGATGGGTGGGATCTCGCGCAACGACACGTCCTTGAGCGGGTCGCGCGTGTCGCTGAGCGTGTTTTCGTCGTCCGAGTCCGATATCTCGCCGAGACTCTCGTCGCTGTAGTATCTTTTCCAGATGCAAAACAAGGCGTACAGATGCCGGTCCTGGCCGAGTCCCTGAGAGCACTGCTTGGTTCTGGCAGAGTGCGCGTTGCACGCGTCCTTGAGCAATTGCACCTTGTCGCGCACCGCCACGTTGTCGTCGAGAAATTTGGTCACAAACTCGTTCGACTGCAGCGACACCGTGCGGATGGCCTCTGTGCGGCCATGCAAGAACTGCTTTGTCATCGCCGGCTCATACGTGGACTCGATCTTGCCGTAGAGCGCGTAGTATGCGAGCTGGAACGCCATCTGGACGTACGCGTCGGGCGACATGCCCATTTTCTTGATACGCTCCATTCCGTACGACTTGAACTCGAGCGTAGCAAACTCATTCTGGTTGATGAGGTCGCTGAGCCTTGTTTCGCCAAACCGCAGCGCCAACGACAGCTCCGTCGTCAGCTTCCATTCGAGCTTGCGGGGCGACGTCACCACGTTGCCAAACGTGGACGGGTCTCTGGTTGCAGGGTCTGGCGAGTACGATTTCCAGAGCGACGGCGAGTTGGCGTTGATCGTGCGCGCAAAGCGCAGAATCGAGTCCGTGTAGATGTCCGAGGCAAAGCGCAGCACGGTGTGGCCGTCCACACCCGTGTGCTCGAAGTTGATGCCGACTTTGGCGTCCTTGGTGACGATAAGCTGCAACTTGTCGTACCATCTGTTGGTGCAGGTCCCGACCTGGACGCCGTTCTCAAGACGCGACTCGCCGCACAGGAAGTTTTTCGCCATGCGCGTGAGGTCGTTGCCGACCTCGACGTGGTCCAGAACGACAACGAAGAGCGCCGTGTCGAGCACGCGCACGATTTCAGCGTTGTCTGGGTCACGGACAATTTTCTCGCGCAGACCGGCCCAGATGCGGCGGTTTTCTGTCGTCAGCACGCCGAACGACGACTTGGCCACGTCGCGGACGCTCGTCGTCTCGGAGTCCTCGACAATGCTCTGCAGATTGAGCTTGATGTCTGCCTCGGTGAGAATCAGGTCGTTGTTGCTGTCCATGACGTCAAACCAGTAGAATTGCGACCGGCTGAGCACGACGATGTGGCGCGACTGCGCGTCGGTCTGCAGAACACAGCCTGTGTGCGTGGGCACTCTGCTGGAGCCAAACAGCTTTGGGTACTGGTCCATGTCGAGAACGACGCCGTTCTTGAGTCGATCGACGCTGAGCTCGTTGCGACGAAGAGCACGCACAAACCGCAGGCTCGAGGTGGCCAGGCTCGCGGCGCGCGACAGCTGCGTCGACCGCAGCGGCGTAGGGTCGTCCTCCAGCATAATGAAAGGGTTCAGGTTCAGCACGACGGGCGAGTCGTAGTTCAGGTACGAGTCGTACCAAAACTGCTCGATATACGAATCTCTGGTCTTGGCGTACTCCAGCAGTTGGTTCTGGAGCACGGGTCCGGACGTCTCCAGGAACCTGCGGCAGTTTGCGACCGTCTGAGCGTGCTCGTGCTCCGTCTGGAGGGGCTTGAGCACGTCGAGGTATTTCTGGACGGTCTGTTCGAGCGGCGGGATAGGCAGCTTCTTGAGGGTCTGCTGGTATTCGAATGTCGACATTGGGAGCCCTGATAGGCAGCCGGGGTGTATTTAAACAGTTTGGGTGGTCATTGCTTTGGACACTGTCGTGACCGGGTGACGGCCTATCGGAGTGCACCGCCCAGAAAAAATAATAAATCGGTGCATACAGGTCATGGAGAGAAAATTCGTTAAATCATCTATCTAGCAAAGCGGGCTTTCCAGCAGCCCTAAAAAACAGGGGGGCTCATTGCCGGTTGAGTCGCTCAAGCACGTCCGTGGCCACGAGGTCGGCAACCACGTCGTGGTCGTGCCGCTCGCGCTCGTGCTCGAGCTCGGGGTCGGGTGCCGCGTCCGCAGGAATGAGCAGGCCGTCCTTGACGCTCCAGCCGGGACTGTCATGCGCGGTGGCCAGCAGCGAGCTGAGCTCGCGAGCTTGTGTGCCCAACCGCAGGTCGCTGCTGGCGCGTACGTGGGTCGAGACTCGATCGGATGAGTCGTCTAGGGAGTACAGACTGTCGGAGTCTGTGGCGGAGCAGGCAGAAGCGGAGCCGGCTTGGTGTTTGAGAAAGTACTCGTCCGCGATGTCTGGTACGCAGTGGTTGCACGATGGGGCTGGCATCAGGGGGCTGAGCAGCTTGAGGTTGGCGGAAGGCGAGGTGGCGGGCGAGGTGTTTGCCGTGGACGCAGACATGACCGACGAGAGCGAGTCGGAGGCGGTCACGATGGGAGCGGGCAAGACTGCCTGCTTCAGTTTCTTGGTGAGCTTGCCAAGCGGGCTGTACAGACATTGCAGGGGAGATACGAGCGCACAGCGCCGGCCGGGGGCTCCGTCGCAGGAGCGTCTGTTGGCACGGATCGGCGACGAGCAAGAGCGACACTCGTCGCTGAGGTCGTCCGAGGCGTCTGTGCCCACAGAGAGAGACCGGCTCTTGAAGAAGTCTGCCTTGAAGTGCTGGAACTCGTTGCGGCCAGACGTGCTATCTATGGCGCTGATGTTCATTGGAGTTCATAAGCCTAATGTGCCAAGGAGGAACAAGCTGCTTTATATATACTGCCTCTTCTGCACATCCTGGATCCATTATATATAGAACCGGCATGCCATTCGAAGTTACGTAACGAATCGTTAGTGCGCGGCAACAATGGCCATCCACGCACCGTCTCTAGTCTAGTGTGTGCAGGGCTGGCCAGCCAGCAGTGGCTATTGTTAGCACAAGGAAACAGATTTTTGCACAAACCCCCCCGGACACCAACAATTGGGCTCACTCTTCCGGATTGGGCAATTATGAGGTGCATATTTCAGATTCGCCGACCGATTCGATTGTCCTATTGATTGTTGCGTCTGTCGACATTCTTGCGTCTGTACCAGCTAACAAAGTCGCGGACGCTTGTTCTCACACGTCGAAAGTCGTTGGAATTAATTGCCGTTTCCACCGTCCGCAGCAGCTTGAGCCGCTCGCTGTCGCTCACGCTGCCCCGCGGCAAGCTCAGCATCGCGCGGTCCAGCCACCCCAGACCCACCTTGGAGCCGCCCTGCAGCATGCTCAGCTTTACCAGCTTAACCACAAGCTCGTTCGCCTCGGGCCAGCAGTCGCTAGGGAAAGTGAAAATTAGTCCGCCAAGCAGCTTAGTCAGCAACTCCTCGCCCGTCGCAACGGCGAAATTCAGCACCTTGTATTTCAGCGCCTCGGGGATGTCGTCCGCCATCGAGACCGGCGGCGTCTCAAATCCCCATGAGTACAGATCCACCAAAAACTGTAGCACAGACGAAATCGTGCCGTACTCCGGATACGTCTCCAGCGCACGCACCGCGACCCGGTACACCGGCTCCACCAGACTGCTCTCGAGCAACTTCACGGGCAGAAACATGAGCACGTCGTTACCCATCCGGAAAAAGTCCTCCACCAGCTCAGTGTATTCGGGAATGTCGTCTTTTCCAAGCTCGTTGAAAATCTTGATGAAGTTTCCTGCCTGCTGCACCGAAAACCCCCAGACTGCTTCCTTGATGTCTGCAGAAACGTCGTCTTCTGCAGCGTACTCCTTGATGAATGCCCCAGAAACCCATAAATAGCACCCGTGTTTGTAGTTTTGGAACCCTGAAACAAGCAATTCTGCAGTCGTCGACACTACCGGCAGCAGGTACGTCTTGTAGCTCTGCAGCGACCGTCTCACCAGCTTCATGCACCGCTCGCTCACCTTGACCGACCGGCCGTGTGTCTCGACGAGCCGCACCACCAACGGCCACACGATCTCCATCACGATGCGGGCCACCGGATGGCTTGCATTCGAGAAGCTTTTTGGTCGGAGCGCGTCCACGTAGATGGTGAGGATCTCCACGGTGTCGGCGATCTGCGTATGCAATTTGTCGAGCTCCTGCGCAGTGGCCGGCTGCGCGCTGCTATATTGGTTCAATTTCTCCAAAGTCGGCTTCCAAAACATCAACGTGATGTTGTACAGCTTGTCCTGGTCACGCTCCTCCTTCAGAATATGTGCTATGCCTTCCGTGATGTCGTACAGCGAGTCGATGTCCAACGATGGCTCCACGTTCGAGTAGAAATTGTACAGCTGTTCCAGATAGTTACTCAGCAGTTCCGCGCAGTCCATACAGAAATACTTGAGCGCATGCGACGCCGCAATGATGATATCCATATTCTGCTGCTGCTGGAAGCCGCTGGTGATGTAGTTGAGCTGCTCCTCCAGGTGCTCCGGATGCTTGGCCGTCCATTCGGTGTACCGGCCGAGCACCAGCGTTGCTGCGTACCGGATCTTGGGGTTTTCTGGTAGCTGAACCAGATACCGCATGATCTGAGGCAAGATTGTGTTTTCGTTCGTGCCGACCTCCTTGGCCATCGCACGCATGCTGAACAGCGGCGCCTCGATCTCCTGCCACGTCACTGGCTGTCCCTGCATTTGCAAGTTCATCTGGCTCTGCAGAATCTTGAACGGGATGTCCAGGGCCACCGGGGCACCAATCACCGCACAACAGTCCTTCAGAACGTCTCCCATGTCGTAGCGGAACTCCTTGAACTTGTCCTCGGCCTCCTTGTCGTTGTGGAAGAGATCTCGCAGCTCAGTCGAGTTTGAGGTTGTCGGATACCGCAGATGCTTAATCATGATTTCCACCAGCTGTGTGTACGTCGGCGTGAAACAGGCACGGGCCTCGCGCCGGGCGTCGGAAATTAGCAGCGTCTTGAGATCGTACCAGAACTTGAACGTGTACTTGACCACGTCGAGGTCCTCCTCGTAGGCTGTGAGTTGCAGGATGATGTCGACGAGCGGCTTGAAGTTGTAGGGCTTTTTCGCAATTTGCACGTGCCACGCCTCGCCCGCAGTCGCAAACAGCTCTGTGAACCGTTCCACTTTCTCGGGATCGTCCTGGGTCTGAGCCATGAGTGGCTTCAGTTTGAGCAGCTGCTCGTAGAGAGCTTCCACAACGCTGTCGTTGTTGCAGTCGGCCGTCTCGCCGACAATCGTCGATAGACAATCGATCGCCGTGTCGAACATATCGTCGGCAAGCAGTCCGTCGAAAATCAGCGTGCACAACGCGTTGTTGGACAGAACCTGCTCGAAAGGTATGTCGATGATCCAGGACTTGATGCACTCCAGAACGAGCCTGTTGGTGGACGCCGAGTTGGAGGCCCGCGACTCTGCTAGCGTTGTGAGAATATACAGCACAGACTGCACATTGGCGGCCAGAAGCTCGTTTGCGCGGACCTCAAACTCCTCGTCGGTCAACGGAGTCTTTTTCACGTCGAGCAGCTCCTCGGGCAAAATCTTCAAGAATTCAAGCAGAGTGTCGGTGGCAGGGCCCGAGAGCACGGAAACAATCTCGTCGACGGCGTTTTTCCAGTCCAGATACTGGAGAGCAAAATTGGCGAGCGTGATGCACAGCTGTGTGATGACAAGCCGTTGCTTGCCCGTGTAAGCAACCATAAGTTGCAGAAGTGAGTTCTTGAGGGCTGACAGCTGGTCGTGCGGCAGCTGCGCAAAATCATACTGGACCTTGGACCGCAGCGTCTGGGCAGCAAAAACGCTGGCTTGCACGGACGAGGATGGCTGGGCGAGAATGTCGAACGCGGTCTGCCAGGCCTGTTCCGACCGCTGGAACGCCAGCAGATACTCGTTGGCCTGCTCCTTTACCGCGGGGTCGGAGTTCCCATAAAGAGTTTCCAGGGCCTGATTCAATTGAACGGGCACTGACATAACAAGACAAATAATGGGTTAGGAGCGAAAAGTGGAAATGAAAAAAAAAAATGAAACTAAATAAAATTGAATAAATTGATTATTTTTTAGCATGTCCGGCCGCAGACAGAAAGTGATGGTTCCGCCCATCAACCAGCTCTTCAAGTATCTCCAGCAGCAGTCGCGTGTGACGGTGTGGCTGTATGAGCAGACGGGCGTGCGAATTGCTGGCGTGATTCGCGGGTTCGATGAGTTCATGAACATCGTGCTCGACGAGGCGGTCGAGGTCGACGCGGCTACAAAGAAAGAGCGCAGGCTGGGCAGAATTCTACTGAAGGGAGACAACATCACGCTGATCAGCGGCGAATAGAATTGCAATCGTACTCAGAAATCGTCTATTTGCAGCTTCCGCTCGACGTCAGGATACACTGCAAAAACCCGAGCAAACTCGTCGGGGTGCGTCGCCTTGTAGACCTCAGGATCTTTGGCGAGCATGATAAAGAACGTGACGGTACCGCTGTGCACAACGCTGGTGGCAACATTGGCAACAAAGAACCCGAACGCGCTAGCAAACAGCACCACCAAAACAACCCCCATATTGACGTCCACCACGCCCTCGGTGTTCTGGGCCCAGGCAGGCTGCGTGGTGAAGACGAAGAGCACCGACACGATACCGCACATTTGCGCCACAAACAGAGAGTATAGGCCCAGCGCTGTGTTGATGAGACAGTCGTTGATGGGCGCACTGAGACCTTTTTGCTCGACGAGCGCGAATGCTCCGCGCGCAGCGTGCAGAAAGTCGAGTCCGTAGAGCGACACCAGTGAATACGCGTACTCGTTGAGCCATCTCACCATAGACTCCATAATAGAAGCGAAGATCTCGATGATGTAAAAACCAATGTAGCCTGCCAATCCCCCGTCCTGGGCTGCCCAGTGCTTGGCTAGGCCTGCCACGCTGTTGAGTGTCTGAATGACAGAAATAATGAGCGAGCCAAAGCAGATGGAGCCGAATGAGTACGTCACGCTACGCCTGAAGGCCGCAAAGCCGGCGTTTTTCGGACACCTGTCTGCGTGCGAGAGGTAGTACCACGAGCCGTAGACGCCGGCGACCGTCGAATGCAGCACGTTCTTCAGCACTTCAGCGATGAAGGTGCCTGTGAACAGCACAAACATACCCATTGCCACAAACATGGTCTTGTTCTTCAGCTGTCCGGTATCGTCCAGTCCCCATTTCACCATCGTTCCATAAGCGGCAATAACGGTGGCCAGACTAAACACGGCGGAAACGAGCGTGCCGCAGGCAGATACCTTCCATGTGACGGGGTTCTTGTGGGCAACGTCAATGACCTGTTTCAGTATCAACGAGCTGAGCGGGATGCGACGACGCACCTCGATGTACCACACAACATGGAGCAGCGCCAGGAAGCCAATACCGACGCCGGTCCAGAGATTGCCGTTGGAAAGGGCGCCAATGGTCAGCGCAGACGCGGCAGCCACGTTAAGCAGGCAGCCCGCATGGATAAACACGGTAGGCCATTTCCGCAACACCACAATGCCGCCGTACGAGCAAACCACGCCGGTTGCAAGCACCAAGCCGATCAGTCTTGTCTGATCGGGGTTAACGTTTGCAATCTCGACGACAACATCCTGAGTGGTAAACATCAGGAGACCCAGAAACAGCACTAGTACCACTTCGAACACCACTGCAAACGGCCAGTCGGTCCATTTGGGCTGCTCCACAGGGAAACTCTCCTCGAAGTCATCTGAGGGCAACGGTTTCTTTATCTCCAGTCCGTACTTCTCGTTGCTGGGGCCAAGCTCAATGTCCTCGCAGGAGTACTCAGGCAGAGTGCCCTCGTCATAGGCGGGTAAATTGTCTTGGTAACGGGACATGCGAAACAAAGGCAAAAATTAATTTAGTTAAATAAATCTAATTAAACTAAATTAAATTGTTTTTTTTTTAAAGGTGTAGGGATTAAGAGATACCCGTGTGACCTGTCGCAACGGGTCGTTGACGTTGTGTTTGTTCTAGCACAGATATAAACCAGCCATCCACTACCAAAAAGTACAACTCTCTATATAAGTCCACAAGGCCGCCCATGGAGGCCCATGTCTTACCTCATCGTGCTACTACTGCTAGCTCCCGTATTAGGGCTAACGCCCGAGTCGATCGCAAGCACGCTAGAGCAGCTTAAGCAGGCGCACCAGCTGGAAACGGCGTCGCTGGCATTTCCGTCTTGCGTCCTTGAGGTGCTCTCCACGATCATGCCGCAGTGTCATGGGGGCCAGTCGGCGTTGACGGAGCACGAGAAACAGGACACCGCGATCCGGCTCACCATGTGCATTTTTGACCTTCCAGACGGCTCCAACGGCTCCCTGACACTACCGGCGGAATGCTGGAGCCACGATAACCGTGAATGTATTGCAAAACTTGCGTCCAACCCCGTTTGGTGGACAACTTTCTTTGGCTACCTAAATCTGGTGGAGCAGCTGTGCCACTACTACAGCGAGCCCTATGAAACTCAAAGACTGCTCGAAACGTACAGGGATGCCTGGAAAAGACTGGACGAGCTTATAGCCACCCTGAGCCGAATCGACGACCTCGGCACAAGCGTTTTGGACCAGCTGAGACACAATTTGGTAGCAACGCTCGAATCGTTGCAACATGAGCTCCAGACGCGGTTTGAGGAGATGATAAAAAAAACAGAAAATCAACTGGATACAGTGTTTGCGTCGGTGAATCTCAAGATGGACTCACTGCTCTCCAATATGTACAGCGTGAGCGATAATCTGGAGAAGATGCACGTCGAGGCGGTGAAGACGGAGGAGAGTTTTTTCAAAGAGCTCAACAAATGGCACGATCAGAGCCTGCAGGAGCTCGCGCAGCAAATGGAGGCATTAAACAGCGAGCTGCGAAGAAATACTGAGCTGGAGAATGAACGGTTGATAGGCAGTCTCTCTGCGGAGCACGAGATGCTGGCCGAACGGCAGAAAAAGATGGATACCGAGACGGCGACGCGGTTCCGGGAGTGGGAGAAGCGGCTCGAGATGATGGACCGGTACTTGGGCAGCTCGCTAGCGCGGTTCGAACGGCTGCAGCACGTGATGGACAGGTTCAATGTGCTGGGGCAGATGAACCGGGTGGTGTACGGGTGTGGGTTATTAGGGTTGCTGGTGGTTGGGTATTTTGTCAAATTCGAAAGGCTGCTGGTTATCTTGTCGTTTGTGGGTGGTGCGTACGTGGGTGCTGGCACTCTGGACTGGCTGGGGTGGTGAGATGGCTTGACGGGGGGACACAACTGCCACACCATCGCAGAGGCATTGTGTTTATTGTGATTTTGCAGTGCATGAAAACAGTCTTGTTTGGGGCCGCACTAAGCTTGGCTGCGCGCATGAGCTCGGGTGGAAGCGTCGAAAAAAATTACAAAAGTATCTGGAACACACCCCTATTTGGTTCGACACACGATCGCATGACAATAGACGGTTCAGGAAAGTTTAAAATTTTCAGTTTACCAATTGGGTAACGACACACGGAGATTGGGCAGTACAGTACATATTGTATCAATACCCACAATACATCCAGTGGTGCTAGTAGCAGCATGTCTGCCGATCACTCTCGGGTTTTTAGCTAATCATGAGTAAGACGATCGCGACACAAAAATAATAGGTAAAAATCAGTCTTACTGTTCGCCAGACAGAGTGCTATTAAGCACAAACGACACAGAAAAGTATCAAGTTACCCCTTACCCCTAGCCCCTACTTAGGACAGCACACGGAGTTTATCTGGACCGCGGGAATAATTGTTCGCCAACAGCAGACCGAAAATTTTCTTCGCTTTCGGTATGTCACAGAGCCGCCAACCGAAAAAGAACAGATCTAGATCCTGCTAAAAAAAGATGGTTGCGGTTTTCCAGAAAACTCAGAGGCGACTTTACCTTTTTGTGAGCCGAATGCGGTTGCACCCCCTTCGGCCTTAATGCTGGCATGTTTCAAGATCGTACCCAGCCTGTTTGATGCGCACTGTTCACTGCAGCGGGGGTATCGTAAGGGCATCGAGCATGTCTCAGGACAGGCCATTGATCGTAGTTTGTGCTGGCTATTGACTGACAACAAGCCATCTTGAGCAGGACCTATTGTTTGTGCTAACAATAGTTTCGGGTCCGCACGAGAGAGCACCACACTAAACGCTTATGCAACTAAAAATTCACAATGCGGCCGGTTAAACGTAACAAGCAGATCTAAAAACAGACTGCTAAAATTAACAATCATACCTCTCCCATTTCATGCACCATGCTCTCGATTTATCCAGTTTGCGATTGGCGCAATTTCCCTTTGCATCCTTCTCTATCGCAAAACATGTAACTTGAAACTATAGACGTGCTGTGTGACACAAAATGCCAAGTATGATGTCATTTTCAAAACACCAACATGGCCATTTCGTCGATTCAAACCCCCCCAGAACTCAGCCCGCAAAGCCTGAATCACCCCGTTCTCTAGTCAAACCCACGGCTACTAAACACGAGCGAGCAACTCGAGCCCTCCGCAAACCAAACCCGAAACCGCATTGACATGCATGCACCCGCTTTAGCTACTAAAAGTAGCATGATTCTCTCCACAATAGCAGCCTTAATTCCCTTTGCAATCGTATCTGCACGCACCTGCAACCATCGATTTTACCACCATGCCAACTTTTTTGTCTGACCTGTCAGCCCTCTGCCCATCTAAATATAAGCATGTCACTTTCCTCAACGCTCACCTGACATTACAGATATTTTTATCTCCCATGACGTCTTCCTTCGAAAGACCTCCAAAACTCTTGTTGCCTCCTATGCAACAGAGGGAAGAGATTCCTTCCTTGAGGAATCTCAATTTGCCCACTCCGGTGGTCTCCAACTACCATCTGCCTCCTATGCCTCTCTCCGACCACAACAATACCTCGCCGTATAGACGCTTATCCTTCCAGAACACACTCCACTACTATCCGCCCCCAATGGACAAATACCCATCCTTCCCTCCTCCGCTGAAAATGCAGTCTCCCCAAACGCTGTCTCCTCTTGCTCACCTCCCCCAGACCCCGTCGGCTGATAGCGTGAGAGGACCTGCACACTTGCCTTCGCCGTACCCGGCTCAGCCTATGTCTGCCAATCGCAGCCTGTCGTACCACACACCTCTCTCGCAACCCCCTAAAGACCGTGGGTCGCCCCCTTCTGAAGCCAACAAACGCAAAAGACGGAAGGCACACGAGGTGGTACGACTCTACAAATGCAACCACGAGTCGTGTCAAAAGGCTTATGGAACACTCAACCACCTCAACTCGCACATTGTGCTCCAAAAACACGGCCAAAAACGGTCTCCCTCGGAATTCAAAGAACTCAGAGAGGAGCTCAAACGCAAGCGGAAGCTTGAAAAGGCCAGCTCCCGTTTGAACGAACGCGAAAAACAGCAGAATGTTATCTATTCGCAGATACAGAACGACCACGACCACGAGCGGGCTCGGGATGGTCAATCGCACAAGACCTCTGCCCCCAAAGACCGCTACTACGTGCTCAACATGCTTCCGCCCCTTCATCGCCCCAAATACTCGCCCCTGCACGACCAGCCAAGACTGTACTAATCCAACCACAAATGTTCGGTTTTCGTGACCAAGCGCGCAGCAAGCCTGTCTGAACATTTGACTTTGCCATCTAAAACTTTCATATGGACCCCTTTCGCTTCTAGCTCGATTTCGTGTTGTGCGAGCGTCTGAATGGACACGCTGGTGACGTTCTGCGCCGGCCCTGTGGCCGCTTCTCCTTGCTTGAGAATGTCCAAGTTGTCCTTCACCATGTCGTTCAACCAAAGCTCCTCGGCCTGCTGCGATTCAGCCTCCCTGTGTTCGCGGCGAACCAGGTTGCGGATCAGGTTGTTCACCAGACACCAGCTCCGCAGCCCGCAGACCAGTGGCCGCAGTTTTTCCAGCCGCGCGAGCTTCACTTTATACAGTTTCACAAATTTGCAACCAGTAAGGAAAAACACTTCATGCCTTGACCCCTTACCGTCCGAGAACCTGTGGCAGTACTCCTCGTTCACCTCTTTGTAGAAGCTGTCCAGCACGTCCTCCGTGCTGTTGAAGATGCTGTTATCCGGCCCAAGCAGCTCGTACTCTTCCAGATTCAGCTCCAATAGCAGATCCTCGGGTATCCACACCGGCGGACACAATTCCAGCACCAGAAACTCCAAGTTCACGTCCGGCCTCCACTCCCCGTCGTACCACTCGATCACGCGCTTCGTATTGTCCGAATCTGCATTTTCTGGCCGCGGGCTCTCGGCTATTTTAAAATGGAGCAAGTAGTCTGGATGAGGCACGCCCGGTAGAAACCTGTCGTCGTGCCAGTATTTCACGAATAGCCCAATCTTGTCGTCGTAGTTCACCAAAACCTGGCCGAAACCTTGCACGCCGCACTGCAGGTCGGCTGCCGCCTCGGCCTCGGTTAATGCGTCCTGCGGGTCCAAGCGGTGCTGCTGTTTTTCGGCGTCCGCCGCTTTCAGTAAATTATATGTGAGCAGGTTAAAAGTGTTAAAAAGGTCGAACGGAGCAGGCACAGAAAGCCTGTCGAGCTGGCCCAGAAGCCGCAGGTTTTTGTTGAAGTTGTCGAGCGTGGCCGCCTGCAAGTTTTCGTACAGCACGCGTTCCACCTTGACGAAGTCGCCGAAACCCTCGACAAAGTCGTAGCTGCGCGCGTCGATCGACTCGATGCTGATGGCGCTCGAGAGCGCCACGTTTTTGACGCGGCCGTCCTGGAAATCGATGTCAATCAGCAGGATCTTGCCACTCAGCGACAGCCGCTCGATCTGCGTGCCGTCGCGGCCCTCCGGCGACGCCGACCGGCCGTCAGGGAACGCAAACACCAGGTCGTTCTGTTCGTTCATCGACAACAGGTCCGAGAACGTCTCGAACCCGTAGATGTTGGCCAGTCGCTTGATGCCGTCGACGGTGACGCGGCCGGGCCGTTTAAGCAGGATCTCCGAGATCCGCGACAGCGGAGCAATGAGCTCTGTGTCTATGCTGGGCATGAAAATATACAATAATAATTTATTAAATCTAATGCACAGCCACAAATTAATCTACAACTCATCGTGGCCCGACGGCTCTGCCTCCTGTGTCTTGTCGGCCTTCTTGTCGGCCTTCTTTAGCTGCTCCTTCAAACCCCGGACGCGCTTCTCGTGCGCCTGTTTCAGCGCACGGTATGTGCTCTGCACCTGCTTGAGCTCCTCCAGCACCGTTTCTCTCAGTTCAAACAGCGTCTCTCTGTCCTTGGTCTCGATCTCGTCCTTGTGCGTCTCGAAATGGTCCACAACGCCAACAAAATCGCTGATTCTTTTCATTCTCTGCTCCAGCTCCTGTTCGTCCACCTCCGGCACCTTGACCTTGACGCGTCTGTTGGCCTCCTCAAAATCCAGTCCCAGCTCCGTAAAGTTCGCTTTCAGCGACAGCGCATCCTGAGACATCACCACCATGAAGTCTTGCAGCTTGTACATTGTCTCCAGCGCTTTTTCTTTGAGTCGCGTGAACTCTGCCAGGCTCAGCAGCCGGTCGCCGTGGTTCACCAGCGTCTCCAGCTTGATCCGCATCACACGCACGTCGTCGTACTTCTCCTGGATATCTTTCACCGTGGCTTTCGCAGGAACGTCCTCGAGCCACTCCAACAGCTCCGACACCATTTCCCGTGCCGCGCGCACCATCGACGAAGGTCCGTTGGCAACCACGTTCTCGTCCTCGGTGTAGCTGCGCAGATCGTAAAGAGACGCCTCCAGACTGTTGATCAGCGCGTCGCGCTGCTGTCTCTGTTTGTCCTGGTTCGTGAGAGATCTCAATTTGGAGGCAGACTGGTACTTTGCCAGCGAGCCCAACGGCTTGTAGCCTGGATGCAAAGGTTTGGCTGTCAGAGAGCTCCGCACAGCACCGTCGCCCGCACAAACGGCCTCCAGGCTGTGCAGCAGAAACAGTTTTCTCGGGTCCAGAGTGCAGTTTGCCAAATATTCCACGCCGTTTGGACAAACCGTGCTGTTGAGCTCGTTTTTAAACTTGTACTGCGCAAACAGCTGGCCAGCCTCAAAAAGGTCAACCTGGACCTCCCCAAACGTATCCTTCAAGCCCGGAAGAGCAACAACAGCTTCCCGCGATGCAGTGGTCTCGTTGAAAACCACCGTCATGTGGCCTCCAGCCGCCAGCTCGAAGTTCCTGGAAGCATGCTGCACAAGCTCTATTGGACGTGTGCGGAATTTTCCAGACACAGAAATGCCGCCCAGAAGCGTTCCAAACACCGCTGCCTCGTCTGCGTTCACGTTCTTGCTCAGCAGCTCATCGCCGCCCAGATATTTCACCAGGTGTTTTTGGACAAACGGCACTCTTGTGGACCCGCCAGCCAGAATCACAGACTCGACCTTACGGTCGCCCATGGCAGCAGCCAGCGGCGCCACAATGCGATCCATGTGTTCCGTCATGTACTCCTCGAACTCGTCTCGCGAAACAACAACCTTGAGGTCGATGTCGTTGATCAACGACTCCACAGACACCTTGGTCTCGCTGTTGGCACTGAGCACCAGCTTAGCCTTTTCTGCGCTCTGCCATAGTCTGTTCATGGCCCTGGCATCGCTCCAGAGTGTTTCTGGCTTGATTTTGGTCTGCGCTAAAAACTTGTCCTCAATAATGGCCTGCAGCGACTCAGTGAACAGATTGCCACCAAACGTCTCGTCGTAGCCGTATCCCTCGTTTTCTACCCGCAGCGTCTCATTATCCTTGCTGAACGAAACGAGCGTCGCCTTTGTGGACCCGGCCCCCACGTCGTAGATCACATGGTACTGCTTCTGCTCGAAGTCCCTGGTGGAAGCGTAGTTCAAAGCAACAGCAATCCCGTCGTCAATCAATGCCACAACGTTCAACCCGGCAATCTCAGCAGCATCAACAAGCGCCGTTCTCTGCGCCTGGTCCAAAAAGTCCGGCACACTCAGCACCACGTCTGAAATGGTGTTGGAAGAACCTCCGCCAAGTGTCTGGTCCCAGTGCAGTTCCGCCCGTTTTTTGATCTCCTCCAGAACCATACCCAGAACTTCCTCAAGGAGGTACACTTGGCCGTCGACGTCGAAAGCGACGGTGCGCCGTTGACTCGACGCCGGGACGATTTTGACCCCCCGATATTTTTTCTCGAAACGTGTCACTTGGGGCTCGTCGATCTGCCTGCCTATCAGGCTTTTCAGCTCGAAAAAACAACTCTGTGGCGACCTTGTACATGCGCTCAAAGCGTGGGAGTTAAATTTGCGCTCAATCTCGCCGTCCTTGGCCGAAATCGCCACCCCAGACTGGTGTTTCCTCTTTGCTTCATCGGTGAGGACTAGATCAAAGGCCACGCCCGGAGCCACCAATGCCGCCTTGGAATAGTCTTGTCCAAAGTCAATGGCAAGCAATGATGCCCATCCTTGGACAATAATGAAAATCAGTGCTACCAAACCTAACACCTTCATACACTTGTCAAGAGGATATAGTTAAAAAAAAAATAAAATCCTTCTCAGAAAATTATGGAAAACCTTCCCAGAGGGCCTCGTCGAGATTACCGCAGACCCAGAAACGACAGAGACACCAGAGACACCAGGGACTTTTACAGAGACCATCGTGGCTCTTATAGAGAACAGAGAGGATACTATGAAGAGGGCTGGTACGATAGAGGATACGCACGAAATAGGGAATATCGACCTGCTAATGGTAGGCCATCGTTCCAAAACAGCTGTCCGCCGCTAGAAAAAATCGCACGGGTGTCTCTGTGGGACAAACCAGCGCCTGGGTTTGAGGGAGTGAGCGCTGCACGCGCCAAGGCATGTGGACTGTTCCCTGAGCCAGGCGAGCCCCCCAGAACTACAGACCCGACAGAAATACAAAGACTTTTATCGCACGCTGCCTCAAATTACCGGTCGCAGGCGTTCCAGAACTCGAAGCTGACGCCGCTGGACTCGCGTGTGGCCAAGACACTCATTCTGCGAGCAGACTTCAGCGTCGTTCGGCTGGAACGCGTAAAAAAGCATTTGGAAAACTATTTGCTTGCCAATATTGTCCCCAACGTGAATTACGAAGACGTGAAGATCCAGATACACCCGACCCAGGATCCCAGGACAGTAATTATTCAGACCCTGCGCTCCACGGTGGCCACGGCGCTTTTTGCGCTGACAGGGCTCGATGTGCCCGAGCTGAACACTACGCTGAGTTTTGAGCGGCCAAAAGAATACGTAGTATTCAACCCGAACGATACGTCTGTTCCGGCGGAGCCTTCGGAGGACGTGGTGGAGTCGTCCCAGCTGTACGTGGCCAGAAACGTTCCCTATGGCACACCACGAGAAAAGCTTCTCGAGGTTTTGCAACCACTGGGAAAAGTGCGCTCGTTGGCACAGGTTATTGACAAACTGTCGTATGAGTCCAAGGGAATTGCATTTTTTGAGATGGTGAGCGAAGACTCGGAGGTTTTGACTAAACTCAACGAACTAGCCATAGACGATCATGAACTCCAGATATTCAGGGCCTGCGAAAATCCGGAGCGCAAGTATGAGCAGGCTGTCATTTTATCCGCCGAAACGCTGTTTGGTGCGCTCAAGTCCGATAAGATCAGCCCGCATGCGCCTACGGAAATAGTGCAATTTCTCAACTGTGTCGCAGTCGAAGATCTGGTTGACTCGGTGAAATACAACGATATAAAGGTGGCCTTCGAGACTGAGTGCTCTTATCATGGACATGCTGAAAAAGTGCTAATTCCCAGACCCGAGGCAGATTTCCGGCCGGGCATGCCTACGAAACCTGAGGTGGGCAGAATTTTTGTGAAGTTTGCCACATCGGAAGAGGCCCAGAAGTGCGCCGAGGCTCTCGCTGGACGCAAATTCAATGGCCGCACCATCCTGGCGGCATTTTACGAGACAGAGGATTTCAGCAGGGCGCTGTTCTAGCTGCTCTCCCAGTCGGCGATTTCTTCCTCCACGTTCTCCCTTGCGTGTCTCACGATTATGTCATACAGCTGGTCTGGGGTCTGTTTCACAAAGGTGAGCGATAGCTTGATGATCTTGCGCGCGTCCAGTCGCGGCAGCTCTCTCAGCAACAGCATAGGATTGGCGGACTTCAGTAGCTCGTCCCTTATCAGAATCGTCTGGGCCACCACGAAGAATATATTCAGGTGCACGCCGTAGCTGAACAGAAAATCCCAAAGCTCCAGCACTTGGTCTAAGGGCGGCGTACATGCGCTCAGCGTTAGCACAGACGGAAGGGCATAAATCTTGGCCGTGAGCATCTTAGACTTCAGAAAATTGTACAACTTAGGATCGATCAACTGTAATATAATGTCCACCAGTTTGACACCGTTCAGAACGCCCAGCAGGTTGGGCGTGGTGTATAGTGGCATGTAGCGGCTTACCAGTTGCGAGTACAGAGCAAAGGCCTCGACTTCGCTTCTGCAAACGTACGCAAACGGTGCCGCCAAGATATTCATTCCTTGGACGTAGGGCGACGCGGGAGCTCCTGCCGAGTTGTGCAGCTCGAGGCTTTCGACTTCCAGGGCGTGCGAGTTTAGGATGCGCATCAAAACACTCGTGGACACTTTGCGGCTGAACTCCTCGTCTTTTTGAAAGGTGCGGAACGCGTCGTTTTGGATTTTGGCAAACACATTCGACGGCCCTCGGTCGACAAGGCTGGCGTAGTAGTCGACGTCTAGAGGCTCGACTCGCAGGAGGATGGACCAAACATACGTTCTGTACGGACACAATCCATTATCCTTCGGAAGGCCCTCGCATAGGATACTGTATCGCAGCTGGCTGAGACTTGACAGCACGACCGTTTGGTTCGATTCGATAAATCGTTCGATTGCGTCCTTGCGTCTTCCCTTCTTTTCCTTCATGAAATAATATTTAATTCTAGTTTTGTCATATGTAAATAATACACAGCCTGAATATATATTTTCGAGCTTCTACACAGCTTCTGGCTGGGTCAGAATTTTGTAGAACGAAAACGGAGTGTATGCATAGCCCTCACCTTCAAAGAACTTGGACATGGCCTCAACCCAATGCAGTCGCAGAGAATGGAGCATGGCAGACGTGCCCTCCATGACCACCAAGATACAGACTGTCAGCACAAACCACATGCCAAAGAGCAGGAAAACCATCACGCAGCCCGCAAAGCCCTTTTCCTTATACGAGACAAACGAATTGGAGATGGTCATGTCCCACAAAACGGCCGAGAGTTGGTTGTGCGCGAGCGACAGCGCCCAGAGTCGAAGATATGAGGCCGTGTGCGAGACGCAGTTCAGACAGAACTCAATCGTATGGATCACCTGGTGGATCATCACGTCTCCAAACTCGAAATGCTCCTCCGGCTCGTCGGAGTCATCGATCAAGAAAAAGTCTTCGCCCAGAGAGCTGTCATGCGACTGAGTCGAGCTTACTTCCTCGTTGGCTGACAGCTGCACAGCCTGATTGTACTCGTGCAGATCCGTGTACCCCAGCTCCACGGACTGTGCATTCATTCTTTTCAGCGTAAGCGGCTTGTACAGGAGAAGCCAGGGAACACACACCAATGCGATGAGAACAAGCACAACCTGAACGAAACCCTGTCCTGGATACAGCTGGTCTTCGATGGTTCCTGGCGATAGAAACATGTTAATAAGCATGTTCAGCAGGCTTGGTGGAGCTTTGCCGATTTTGATCCAATCAACACACCATTTGTAGATTATTGTGAGCGAGAGATAGCCAAAGATGCTTTGCATGAACAACAACCCTGGCACAAAGTTCCCAATCACGTCGACCCTCGAATTGAAAAATTTATAGTTCACAAGCGAGAAGTAGAACGAGTACGACATGTGCGCAAATCCCATTAAAATCGAAAGCTTCATCTTGTACGAGTTGGTGAACAGCAAGTTGTTTTCTGTTCCATGCCATGCCGGGTCCAACCCAATCGGATATACTCCCCGCTGTGTGCCTGTGATGGTATCGCCTTCTTTCCAAGTGTCTGGCCACTTCCACCCGGACTTGAATAATGTCATTGACTTCGAGAACACGTCGTTGTAAAGGAATCCCGTATAAATGGAAAAAACACCCATGAGAACCAAAATGTAGCGGCCCGTGTATGCCATGTCAAAAATCTCGTCTCTATTCTTCATTGCGCCTATTTTTCTCTCGTTTAACACCAGCATCAGCGCAGCCAGAAACAAAATAATACCGTGTCCAACATCTCCAAACATGATCGCAAACATGAACGGGAAGGTCACCACCGCCGCGAGCCCAGGGTTCACCTCCTGGTACGTGGCAATTCCATAGGCGTCAATAATGCTTTGGAAGGCTTCTGTGAACTTGTTGGTACGATGAAACGTCGGCGGCGTCTTATTCGTGTTGATCACGTTGACCACAGAGTTGATATCTGTGCCGGACGTCTCAGTGACCTCGCGCAAACACGATTTGATGAGCCCTAAGTCGTCTGCCGGGATCCATCCTTCGGCAATTAAACACCTTCTCGTTTGGTCGTAATTGAACAGATTGAGAACCGAGTAGATGCTTTTTTCCTTGGCTATCTCGATCTTCCACCTTTCGATATCTGCTGCCACCTCCTTCAGCTCCAACAATAGCCGGTCTCGAGTATGCTCGGTGACTTCGTTCAGGTCTCTTATTTTCGTGTTGATCTCGTTTATCTGCGAACTGAAAACCTCGTAGTCGCGGTCGACAGGATACAAGGTTCCATCAAGCGACTCCACAATCTTCTTGCATCGGGAAATTAGCGTCTCTCCATGCGTGAAAATGAGAAAAACGTACTTGTCTTTATGTTGGTTAGTCTTGGGGTCCAGAATCGGCTCCTCTATAGGCACGTGGTTAATGTACAGGTTGCCGCGCAAAACACGCCACAAAATGCGCTGGAGTGTCAGAAACTTGCTGCTTTCAATAGTCCCGCAGATGAAATTCATGGTGGACCCCATAATGTTGAGCTCTGCAGCCTGGCCGTGTTGGCCGTTCTCCAAAAGCTGGTCATCCAACAAAAGCTGGTCCGTCTCGTCTTCCGGCTCGTGCAGATGGCTCAATGGTGAGTTGTCGTCGGCAAGTTCCAAACTTAGTCTATTGTCGAAGAATCGTCTTGTACCCTGTAAAACAAGGCGGTGCTCCAGCAGGGAGGCCGAGCTGTTTACGAGCTGCTCGTAGTTCTCGTCCATGTGGCGGATGTTCTGCTCGTAGTGATCCACCACTTCCACCAGGTCGTCGATCTGCGACTTGGACGGACCCCGGGATGGATCGGCCGTATACTTTCCCGACGGCACCACGAGGTGATCCCACGAAACAACAGGAACGTGCACCTCCTGCTTCTTGATCACGCTGTCCAGATACCTCAATTGGCGCTGTGTGTTGTCCAACCGGCGAATCTCCTTCACAAACGACCGCTGGAAGGCGTTCACGTGTTGGTTCATATCGCGGAATTGGACGTTGCCCAGCTGGCCCAGCACAGAAACACAGTCTCGCGAAATCTCCGAGGCTATGTAAAACTGGACCAGCAGCATGTCTGCCGACCGGAAGATCGCCTCTTTGGACTCTGTGCTCATGTTTTAGAGATTTAATATTTTAACAGCACAGAAGATTCTGAATATGTGCGCCGCACACGACACCCTTTTTTGATCAAACAGTATTTATGTCCGTCTCCGCAGCCTCTTACGACTCCACGTTTCTGGGCTCTTCAGACTCCACCCCCGACCAGGACCTCTATACCACGTTTTTGATAGCAGACTGGCACACATGTGAGCAGTTCAAGCAGACTCGGGCCGGGTACGAGGGAGTGATCAAGGACATAGGCAGCATCCGGATGGTGGGCTACGAAGCGTACCTCGTGGAGCAATGGATTTCGCAGCGCTCGAACAAAAACACCGTTGTCACATATACGGGAGACTCCAAGGACTCGATAATCTGCCGCAAGGTGCAGATACTCAATGACCCGATAAAATGGCCACGGGCGTTCCGTCAATATATCACTGAGCTGCTCGAGTCGAAGTACTCTTCGCCCACAGAGACCGACCAGGGCATCATCTACATCACGAATTTGTCACAGCTGGAGTCATCGATGACCCTCATCCCGCTCCCGCAGGGAGACATCCACGAGCTTTACACCACGTTTGTGGTGAACTATAACCTCAAAAAACTGGGCTGTGGCACGAGAAGCGCGCTGGCAATTTGCATGCCAACGAAGACGGTTGAGGACAAGTTCCGCAACCTGTTTCAGATCCCGCAAGAGGTATCGCTGATGTATGCTGTTCGAGAAATAATTGCTGTGGTACAGACATTTCTTTATTATTACGATCTATTAGATGCGCAGTTTTGCGACGGACTGCTCTGCGAAAAGACAGAGGATGCGATTTCTCGCTGGTGGGAGATGACTTTGCAAATTCCGGGATGCGAGGAAGCGCTGCGTCCAAACTCGTGCAGCTCGCTGTCTACGTCGATCCTCACGATCCTCGGCTTCACACTCATTCTCAAATCGATTCTGGAGACGGCAGGAAACAACATCAGCGTTCCAAAGGACCCTCTGGACCACGAGAAAATCCGCATAGCCATCATACAGTTCCAGAGAGCTCAGAAAATCAAAAGCCCTCCCGGGAGGAGCTACACTTACTCAGGTAAGTTTGATCTTGAGACCATCACCAAACTCTTGCAATTTTGCAACTCGACCAAATCCAACCAGACGTTTGCCAAAGATCTTCACAAAGTGAGAAAAATGGTCAAAGATACTGTTGTAGACTTCACCTCTGGTAAGACGTTGCAAACGCTGAAGATATCCCCCACTAATAACAAGAAATTGAACAAAGAGCAGGAAGTTCCTGCTTCCAAGAGACTTTACAATTGCCAGGACCTGGAACAGATCATCCAGCTCGCACACGGTAAGCGGCTCAATTATTTGTGGAAATGCAAAGGACACGAGCCTGATCTTGACCGGTACTGTTTAGCGTCGCTAGCAAAACACCAACGAGCCACAAACATGCCGTATACGCCTCCGTTGCTGCTAGACGACTCAGGAACTGATTCTGAAATGAACACCCTCTCGTCCAGCGCTAAAGCACTAGAGCCATCGCTGATGTCGTCGTCGGCAGATAGAGTCAGGACGTACGACGAGCCATTGCACAAACAGAAATCCAAGCGACTGATCATTGGTGGAAGCTTTCAGGACAGCGATGTTGAACCCGACATGCGACCACGAATGAACTCGTACTATGAAGACTCCTTCGAGAAACAGGACGACACACAGATCAACCAGTTCAACGCGAGACTGAAAAGAAGACACTCCATTCCCTCTATCGAAAGTGACCTCAACGTGCATACAATCGACCTTCAGTCATCCAATAAACATGTCAATAATAGCATTCTGCATTCGCAAGCGACGCTTCAATCACGGGCGCTCAGATTGAGGCGCGCAAACTCATTCTCTTTAATCCAAGAACAACTGACGAACGATTTCGACGAGATTCCAACTGCTGAGGTATTTTCAATGGAAACAATGGCTTTGGATTATCTGAAACTGTTGCGCACGTATAGGGTTGGAATTGTGAAAAGATCCAACTTATTCAAGCGGTCGGTCGAGGAATCAAAGCTGCAGTTGCTGGACAGGCTTCGGCTTTCAAAATATGCTGCTGAATACGAGAACTCGAAAAGCGAATACTCCAAGCTAGCAAAGAGATCTCACGATGTCAATGACAAACTCATGAAGAACTATAAGATCAACGCCCGGCTAAAGTATGAGTTGCGTTTGCTGCTCCAGAAAACCAAGGAGGTGGAGACTAGTTTGAAAAACCTCAATGATTTCAAGATGGCGTCGCTTGAGAGTAAGATCAACGAACTGAAAACCAAACAAGAATCTCTACAGACCACGAAATTTGAAAAGCCGCAACAAGTCAGTCTCAAAGTCGCCTTGAACAAGCCTCATTTGCTGATTTCCATCATTCTCAACTATTTGAGCATCTTGTGGTTTTACCTGTTCCGCAACGTGGATAATACGCGCATTGAAGAACAGTGGAAGCTCATTGATAGGAATGAGCGTGTTGCCCACTTTCTAGAGAAGTTGTATCGGGGCGATGAGAGCATTTCCCAGAAAAGCAAATAGCTACCCAAGTTCCTTATTTAGAGCCTCTCCATCTGTTCTTAATTTTTCAACAGTTTTTTGGTAGTCCTTTCTGGCCTTGTCGATCTGCTGGTTCAAGAATGCGATATTTGAGTCGTAATCTGCCAATTTTTGATCCACGAGGGTTTTGTACACTTTCGAGTACTCGGCGTCAAACACGGCTTTGCTTTGTACGTTATCCTTGAGCAACGTCACTAATTGACGGTGTTTCTCTAGAATAGCCTCGAATTTTGACGAGAAATACTCTTCCTTCTGTAGACGAGACAACAACGCGCGCTTCTGTTTCTCCAAATAGTATATTTCGCTGTCCTCTTGAGACAGACGAGGGGGTGTGCCATGAGACTGTTTGGCTATCAATTTCTGATAATTGAGGTCATTTTTGTCGCAAAAGTCCTTAACTTGCGAGAGAAGTTTCTCATTCTCTGAATATTCATCGTTCAGTCCCAAAAATAAGCGATTCAGCAGATGTTTGACTTGTGCCAGATCTGAGGACATAACAAAAAAAACATTTACACATTTTTTTTTCGCATTAAATCAAATATATATAACTAGCGAGAACAAATTTCTACAATCTGCCCATTCTACCTTCATTTCTTGGCCTTCTTCTCCTTCTTCTCCTTCTTCTCCTCGTCGTCGTCTCTCTTACGCTTCTTCTCCTTCTTCTCTTTCTTTTCTTTCTTCTCTTTCTTCTCTTTCTTTTCCTTCTTTTCCTTCTTCTCTTTCTTTTCCTTCTTTTCCTTTTTCTCCTTCTCCTTCACCTCTTCATCATCCTCGTCATCAGAATCGGCAACATCCATGGTATCCGCGTCAGCATTATACTCCTTGATTGGAGCCAGATCCACCTTCTTCTGCTCCTTAACGATATTGGTTGTTCTCAGGTCCCTACCTTCCAAAGCGCTCAATCTAGACTCCACCTTGGCCCTCACAGACAGCCCGTAATCTCCAGAATCATCCCTATCTTCAGATAAGGCGTCGTACCTCAGCGCAACAGCAGCCTTGGCAGCAAGCACTCTGGCAATCTTACCCTTGTTCTTTCCCGAAGCCTGTCCAATGAGAGATGCATGGTACAAAAGACCGTATTTTGGCGTGTCGTGCTTGGTCTTGAGAGCTCTGAACAGAGCTTTTTCGGATCCTAGAATTTGGATGGTCGAGGCTGGGGCCTTGGCAAGAGACATTAGCGATCCAGCATGGGCAATCAGTCTAGCTCCAACAAGTTCACCAACCAGAGAGGTCAAATTAGGCGCAATAGCCTTCATTCTAGAAGACAGGTAGTTCGACAATTGTTCTCTGTAAGCAGCAAACTCAACAATTTGCTCTGCCAAGGCCTTGATGTTGCTCAGATCGTCCTCAGTGATCTCGGTTCCCATAGAAACCTCTGCAGCAGCCTTGACCTGGGTCTCAACCTCCTCGGGCAAGATCTCGCTGAAGTCGGTGCTGGAAGCATTCGATCTTACACCCATTGTCAGAATAACTCTGGCAAAGGCCACGGAATCAACAACAATCTTGGCCAGTTCTGGAAAATGCCATCCGTACCATTCTTTACACCTCATGGCATAGGTATTAAGCTCTTTGTCCAAGTCATCAAGCAAAGCAATGGCCTGCACAATCATCACATCCACCTTGTCGGCACTGAACTTGAGCTTGTGTCTGCCAATGGAGTGAGCCAAACCAAGCGACATGGTTGACAAATCCTTGTCTGTCATACCAGGAAGAAGTTCTGGAAGGTGTTCTCTCACGGCTCTGTAGATATCCAAGGTTGCAGCATCACTCACAACAGACCAGTTGAGTCCGAGCTTGTTGATGGCATTGGCAAGCTTGGTGTCCGAAACAAGAAGAGGGGCCTTTTTGTCCTGCTTGGCTTCGTCGAGAAGTTTCTGCAGCTGAGGAGAAACCTTGCCTTCTATCACTGCAGAGGCCTCCTCGAGAGCATTGGCAGCAGAGTTGAACTTGGAGAATGCAGCGATCTTGAACTGTTTGAGAACCTTATCGGTGCTGTTGAGCTCCTGAATCAAGCTCTGAGACTTGTAGATCTTCTTGTCCGACGCCTTCAGCAGGGCGTATCCAGCCGCTGTCTCTGTCAGAACGTATGCCATGCTATAAACACGATTGAAAAGTTTTATTAAAATTTTCTGAAATTTTTTTCATGTCTTATTCCGGGTAAAAGCTACAATGATCTATTTTCTATGCTGCTTTTCGTACTGGAGCAAATTAGTCAAGAACGTTTCTTCGAATGAGTCTCCATTCTGTGGTCGGTCGCTTCCCACACGCCGTGACTTCTTGTTGATAGTTTTTATCAGATCTGTAGCCACGTCCGAGTCTTTTAGTCCAAGCATTTTGCATTCGTGGAGGCACCATAAGCTCACCTCCTTCAAGGCTTGTTTTTCCATTGTGTAATCCTGGTTAGCTTTGACCGCACGCTTGTAGTCGGCAACTGCGCGCTGAAAGATGTCGCGGATAATGAAAGGGCGTGTTTCGTCGCTCAAGCGAAGAGTAACTTTGTTATGTCTGGTGAGATATGGGTTAGGATGATATTTGTAGTAATCGAGCCCATCGAAAACCCTGTCTTCGGATACACAGCGAATGTAGATGGCCATCCCTGCCCGAAAGCCATATTTGCGATGAATATACTTGAAATAGTTGAGCGTCCAGTAGTCCCAGAAATTGGCGTCCTTTTCGCTCACCCCGGCTATCGCCAAGTCATACATGTATTTCAGCTTGTTGAAATCCATCTTATCAGTATCCATCATATGGGTGACGTACGAGTTGTACGCGTACCTCGCAGTCTTGACATTCGCCGCAAGGATCATCGACCAGGCTGCTGTGGCATTGCTTTTGTCGTGCAAAGCAGCTCTGACAAGCTCGTTAAATTCAATAGCATTGAACCGTACAAGGTTGTCTTTGGCAAACTTGAGAATTTCCTGGGCTCTATCGTATTTACCCTCTTTTAGCGAAAGAGCAAGCAACGCACTCAACTGGTTCGGTGAAAATCTAGTCGGCAGACCAAGCGTGTCGTCTGTATATTGATTCATTAAAATATTCCCCAGTTTGAAATTACCTGTTCTTGCGCTGTGATGAATAAAAGCCGCCATCAACTCTGGTGACACCTTAATGGCTTCAACTGGTAGATTCATCACCAGTTTATCGACCATGTGTCTGTACCGTTTGTTTTTGGAAAAACAGCTCACAATTTTCGACATAACATGGTAATAGTAATAACCATTTTGCGGGTTGTTGTTCATGGAATCTAATGCTGAATTGTAGAATACGTTGTGGAAAGGCTCTATTACCATCCATGTGCTGTATACAGCGGCGGCATCTTTTCGAGAAGCCCTTTCCTCAATAAATTTGTAGCAGAAACTCAGAAACTCGTCGACCGAGTTCTGGTAACCAATTTCTGTCATCGTCTTGGTATCTGTATTTGAAGAATAGCGAGAAAAGAGTTCTCCATTGCCAGCAAGCTTTGAACCCAACTCGCGTATCACGAGCCTGCAAAGCTCGGTGTCAGCGCCCTTAGATGACGCCTTTTCTAGGATAGCAGTGATTTGGGACGATGTGAATGGATACAACGGAATCTGTTTGATTTCTCTGCTGTTATGTTTGGTGACTGCCATATCGTATAGCGAGACAATACGGAACACCTGTCTTAAGTCTTGTGCGTCTGTTTGTGGATGTTTGACGCACATCAGGTCAATATATAATGAGATGTTGTGGTAATTAAGCAGTTCCAAAAAAGGGCCCGTTGCAGTCTGAAAAGATTGCCATACAGTTTCTCGAATTATCTGAGCCGCTAAAGGAGGCAGATTAAGAAAGATAGCCATTCGGTAAATTGCAACCATCACGTTAATCGGTTTATCGGTATCGAGTCGCCGCAGTAGCCTTTTACTTCGAGGATCCAACGTTTGCGGGATCATTCGTTTGATGTACTTAAACACCATATCATTCTCGGAAGCAGAAATATCATATGACTTCGCTATGTACAAGTTGGCAGCGTTTATAAGAACAAGGTTGCGAGTCATGGTGGAAAGTAAATGCTGGGCGCGGGATTCATTGCCAGTGCGTATAAGGTATCCTAGCAAGTCGTACTTGTTGGGAAGCTTATCAATATTTCGGTGTATGCTTGAGCGAGTCACGGGCTTCTGATCGGAATGCAAGGTATCTAGTTGTTCGAGGAGAGTCTCATACGCTTTTTTCTGTTCCAGGGAGTACACTGCTGTCCACACATTGCGTATTAAACCCATACCTGTCATTAAGGGTACGTGTGTCCTCGTATGCGGCTTATATCGTTCGGCGATAAAAGCCCATTGCCGCATTTTGGACGAGTAGATTTGGTTTTCCTGGCTTAATTTTTATTTTTCAAAAATTATTTTGGATCTGTCAATTTATAAAAGGCCATAGGATTTTTTTTCCAACACACTCACAGCCTTGATTTGTATTTATTCTCTTCCACTCTTTCAGTTCCATGTTTCGTCCCATTCATTCAATTCCTGTGCTCTCTCTAGGTTCCCTAAGCTATTTCTTCTGGGCTGGCGGAGATAAGAGCTCCACTGCCGCTCCTTCTGCCCCTGGTGCTCCGGCTTTTCCTGGAAGCGTTCCGCCGGGATCAGGACGTGTTCCTACTTCTTCCAAGCCAGGAAATCTGCCAGCAGCGGATGCTACAGTCAATCCGGCCGGTTTTTTTGCATACGGGTTCCCTGGACCTGTCCATGACCTCGAAACCAGAATGGAATTCGTTTCGGTGTACGACCGTCAGAAAAGAAATCCATATTACGTCGTGGAACATATCACTGCCGAGTCATTGAAGCGTGATGCTTCAGGAGGGGGGGACCGTAAGAATTCTGTATTCAAAGAAGATGAGCAAATTCCAATGAAGTTCCGCGGATTTCTGCGAGATTACTTCAGATCAGGGTACGACAGAGGTCATCAAGCACCTGCTGCCGACGCCAAATTTTCCCAAGTCGCCATGGACGAAACTTTCTATCTAACAAACATGTCTCCCCAGGTAGGAGCCGGTTTCAACAGAGACTACTGGGCACACTTTGAGGATTTCGTGAGAAGACTAACCACTGGCTACGGTTCTGTCAGAGTCGTTACTGGCCCGTTGTACCTTCCTAAAAAAGACCCTGTGGACGGAAAGTACAAGGTTACGTACGAGGTTATTGGCAATCCACCAAACATTGCTGTTCCCACGCACTTTTTCAAGCTGATCGTGGCAGAAAAGTCGTTTAAAAGAAGCCCCAACTCTGACGATATTGCGGTCGCTGCCTTCGTGATGCCCAATGCCGTCATCCCTAATGAGGTTCCTCTCACTTCTTTTGAAGTGCCTGTTGATGCCTTAGAGCGCTCTTCGGGCCTGGAATTCCTCAAAATGGTGCCTGACAACAAGAAAAAACAACTATGCAAAGAATTTAGCTGTAACATTATCGTGCGAGAGTTCAACGACAGCGTCAAAGCTCTACCATCTGAATAATGCAATAGATATGTTGAATAGATATCAGATAGTCTCTAGTAGTTTCTGTTCGTATAATTGTGTTAGCCGACTGACGTTGCGTCCGCGAGCGACACGGAACGTGCCAGTGGCATCTCTAGTCTTTTGCTGGCTCTGCTGAAACAGCAGGTCTTTTTCTGTGTATTTTACCAATTTGGAGGTCAACTGCTCTGATGGCCTCAGAAGTTCATTTCTTAGCTTGTCCGAGACTTTCTTTTTTCCGGACTCATAAACAAAATCTTCAAATTGTTCATCCACCTCTATTTCCGGCTTCCGATCCTTGGCTTTGCGAGCCACCGGGGGCGTTGGCGGCTCGACTTTGCGCACTTTGTATTCTATCTTTCGCTCCATTGGACTATCTGTGACCTCCCTCTTCTCGAAGTCCAAAATGTCATCCATGCTGATTACCTCCTCGAAGTCTCTCAACTGATGTCCGTTCACAAGCACCTTATCGTAATTGCGGAAGAGCGAGCACAGAAACTTGAATAACGAGTCAAACCCATTGTCGAGCTCTTGGTGGGTCCTCTCGTTATACAGGATTTTCGTGAAAGACAAAATCAACCGTAAATTTTGTCTCTCTTTCATCTGCGAGATGTTTTTAGCTTGAGGCTCGGTTTCTTCATGGGACAATTTGACTGTTAGACGATGCATCAGCACTAACAGCTTCACCAGAATATAGCTATTGTCGTAATTGAGACGCTGGACGTTCAATATCGGAGTTGAATTGTTGAGAGACCTCAAAACTGGTCTTCTGGAGACAGGATACTTGAAAGACAACAACTCACCAAGAGCCGTGTTCAGATCTTCGAGTCGTGAGAAGTCGTAGTTATACTTGGTGAGCACGTCGAGAGGAACAAGTGGCTGGTCAGATTCGCTCAGCTGAGCGATGAACTTCTCGAGGATGAGATAATGCTCCAGAAACGAGAAATCAGACAAGCAAAGCCGCTGATCACGACTGAGAGCGTCGCTAAATATCTCAACAGCAACAAGAGTCTCGTGCTTCAACTGTCCACCTTTAATCAATATCAACCACTCTTCGGGCGTTAATTGTTTGTCCAGATGCTTGGTTGTCATGTATGAGAGAAGATTGTTGTAAATTTTGGAGAACTGTTTGAATGCCAAACCATGCGACAGGTTCAATGGCACCCCATATATTTTGGGGAATTGTCTATTGAGAACGATGCGATCGTTGTGGTATACAATTTTATCCACAAGGTAGCAGGTGAGGGAAATGGGAATCTTGGTGATATCGATATGTTGGGCCAAAATGGACAGGTTCTCACAATAAACAATCTGCCTCGTGAAATTCCAAAACCTTTTGAAAAAGTCTACAACAGACTTCACGATCCAGTTACTTCCGTGTACCAAGTACACCTTGTAGAGATATCTTTTATTTTGTGATGGGATGAGGCTGAACAACTTCACCAGGTTCAATGGCACTTTGAATGAAGTGGCCTGGTCGTTATCGTAATCACAAAACCCTCCAGCTAAAAGAGCCAAGCAGTGATCTTCTGCCGGCATCTGGGAAACGATCCGTTCCGCTAATTGCGCTATCTGCCGTTCATTGGACAGAGAGGGGAAAAGTGTGGTGTCCAGAACATAAAGAGGGAGCTCCGATGACGGGTCGTATGTGGTAGACTTGAAAAATACGCGCGAGCCCATGAAAAGTGATGTATCCACAACAAAAAAAAACCACGCTTTTTTTATTTACATTTAGGTGAAGAAAAAAAAACATATCCTAAAAAGGGGTGCATATCCTATATGACATCCGTTATTTTTCATCTTTTCGTCGTCTCAACAGAAATCATGAAATCAATAACCGCGGGTCCCTCTACTCCTTTTTGTTTTCCTTGCTGGCAAGATACCGCAATTGCGCGTCGAAAGTATCTCCATTAGCTCCGCCATCCCTGATGACAGCAACTCTCATAGTAGCCAACAAGTTGTGAGCAGCGTTCGAGTGGGCATACACACCTCCATTGAAGGCCATTGTAGCATCCTTACCAAAGGAGGTTTTTAGGAGAGCTTGCCCTCCCGGGTGCTCCGTAAGAAAGTTGGAGCAGTCATGCACAATGCCCGAAATGATCACCAGTCCTTTTTGTTCTTTGGCCTTCTCAAAGAATGTGGACTTATCCCACACTGGCAGCTCACTAAGCTGTGGACCCCAGTTGAGCTTGGCTCTCATTCTGTCCAGCTTCTTCTGTTGCTGTTGTAAGATACCCTGGTCAATAGCGTTTTGCGAGAATCTCTTCAGGTTATATGCAAGTCCAACCTTGGAGAGAAGGTAGATAACCACCTTGGTTGGATCGTATTGGTACCATTTGAGGGCGTTTCTGTAATCTGATGGGAATTCGTGGTGGAAGTTATGGTACCCTTCTCCAAAAGTGACGAGAGCGGTCAGAATGTGGTCCCTTGGAGTTCTTCTATCGTCGAATGGTTGTTCTCCAATCCAATGGGCAAGTGAGTTCACACAGAAGGTTGCCTGCTGAATGAACACGGCTCTCAGTAATCCAGCGTAGATAAACCCACCCCAAAAGTCATTGAATAGAAAGTGAGTCAAGATGGCTGGGAAGAAGAATGCCATAACCACCATGAGCAACAAGTAATGTCTATGCTGAACTCTGACAACCCAGTCATCAAGCAAATCGCTAATATCGGCTCTTGCCCTGTATCTTGGATTTGGCACTAAAAGCATCCATCCCATATGAGAATACCAGAAACCCCTCTTCGCATCGTATGGGTCTCTTGGCGTGTCTGTGTATCTGTGGTGGACCCTGTGCTGATGTCCCCACATCTTGATAGATCCTTCAACAGCAGAAGCTCCGAAGAGGGCGAAAAAGATTTTCACAGGCAATCTGCAATCATAGGCTCTGTGAGCCCAGTGTCTGTGATATCCAGCAGTGATGGAGAGACCACCAAAGCAGTACAGTATCACTGCGGTCACAAAAGTGTGAAGCTTCAGAGGAACCCATTTGGTGGAGATCAGTCCCGCTAGTGGCACAGCAAGCACCAAGGTGAAGTTGAGCCAGTTGATGTGACGGTGCCAGTTCTCCCACGTCCATGGCTGTTCGCTAATATGTTTCTGCTTGAGATATTTGTTTTTTAGTTCCCTGTCTTTAGCGAGCATCATAGCTACCGAGTCTTTGCTTAGTTCTTCAGCTGTGACATCTGTCATAGACTTGGTTCCCATCAACTTTCCTCCAATGCCATAAGCCACTATTCTCTTAGTGGGCTTGTTGGTACCTGCCGCCACAGCATTAGCAGTGGATAGGTCCACAGAATCCAGTGCTGACATTTTCGTGAGAAGAATTGCCTGTACTAGTGAATATGTACTTATATTAAAAAAAAAATTGAGATCAAGCCACTAATAAAACCGCCCCGTCGATTTGTTGGGATGCTGCCCAACAGAGAATTTAATCGACAGGCGTCGACAAAAGATTTTTCTGTCGACAGCTGTCATTTATTTTTTGTGGGACAAATTAGCTGCCGCCCTGTACGCTGGCTGATGCTTCTAATCAGTCAGTCTTTGACTGCCGGCGGACCTCGTAGTTTTTCCACCATCTTCGTGCAACACTTTTAATTGCAAACAACGCCCCAATAAATGGGATATACTCTAGCAGCGTGACCCACAAAGAAGGCTGCACTTTGCGTATCACGCTATCAATCTTCTGGTTAAGCTCCTCAACACTATTGTTATTGTCTAGTACGTAATCTGATCGCTTGATCTTGTCATCGTTCGACATCTGGCTTGCAATTCTTTTTTCACACTCCGCACGGCTGAGTTCCGGATTACGCTCCATCAGCCTTTGCAATTGTATCTTTGGTTCGCAAACCACACTTACTACCATGCCACAAATAATATCCATGCCTGCTTCGAAAAGCAACGGCACGTCAAGAACCACGATTGACTCCAATTTAAGCCAGCTGCACAGCATCAGCCACAGCATTTCTTTGCGCACTTGGCCATGTGTGATCTTGTTGAGAATTTGCAATTCGCCTTTATTTTGAAACACATAAGCTCCAAGAGCAGGTCTATTCAAGGTGCCATCGGGCAAAATTAGGTCAGTAATCTTATCACCAAAATATCGCACTATTTTCTTATACGCAGGCCGTCCAGGCTCCACTATTTGGTGAGCAATCTCGTCGGCATCGATGACAGTTATGTGATACTCTTCTTGCAAGCGTTTGGACACGGTGGATTTTCCGCTGGCTATACCTCCGGTTAGTCCTAGAACAAGCATAATTATTTTTTTATTTTTCATGGATCCATTAAAGAAATTGGTCCACTGGCTTGAGGGCGACTCACAGCGTCCTGCAGCCCTCATATCCTCAAAACTCCATGTCAATAAAGTCGATGTGACGGGTCGGTCGCTTGTAGCGAACAGCAAGATAGCCAAAAACGAGCCACTGATAACCGTGCCGCACTCTTATTTATTGAACTACGTGACAATACTCAAACATCTAGAGAAAAGCGCAAACTGGGATTCTCCCATCAACAGTACGAACTACATCTATGTTCCTGAGGGGCCGATTGATCCAATTTATGCCAATTTCGAATTATCCAAACTGCTGCAGTTATCGTCCTTTCAGCTTGTTTCACTCTACCTCGTTCTGGAAAAACAAAAACCAGAATCTTATTGGAAACCCTTCATTGACGTGCTCCCGTCGATATCAGAGCTTGATGGGATGCCTATGATATGGGCTCTTCAAAATGACCCAATATTCGATTTGCTACCAAATTCTATAAAAGAGCACTCTAAAGCCCAACAGGAAAAATTCCTCAGCGACTACAATGCTGTTCAAGAGTTTCTTTTGGTTGCTGGCTTGGACGGTACAAGTCTTGTCCCCCAAGATGATTTTTTATGGGCTTGGGTTTGCTGCAATTCGAGATGCCTATATATGGAACTACCAGAAATATTGGACAAACAGCTGGAGGATAATTTTACACTTGTTCCTTTTGTTGATTTCATCAACCACGCACCTGAGGATCATTGCTCCGTTAGTATCTCTTCTACCAAAGGATTTCAGGTGACGTCCGGGTCCCGTCCATATGGCAATGGAGACCAAATATTTTTTAGCTATGGAGCACACAGTGACGAGTTTCTTCTCTGCGAATATGGATTCATGCTACCCCCTTGTTGTAATCCATGGAACAGCCTTGATATAACACCTTACATTTTGAAATTGCTCAAAGGTGAACAGTCAGAATTCCTCAAGAAGCACAACTACTACGGTGAGTACACTCTAACGTCAAATGAAATGTCGTTCCGAACTGAAATTGCTCTGGCAACGCTGCAAGAGAAAGATCTCAGCAAAATACTGCCGATGATTAATGGCATGAGCGAAGGTGCTCCATATAAAAAAAATACCAATTTACTAGTTGAAAAGATCCTGCATAAAATTCAGGCCGCCTCCAAAGAGAAACAAGAAGAATTGCGCCGATATCCCGAATGCTACAGGACATCGTTAGTCATTCAAGCGCATCATAATATCAATATCATTTGCGACGCATATATACAGTATTGAAGAACTAAAATTTACAGCAAGTTTGAAGCGCATGCAACTCTTTTCTAAAACTTATTGTTTCTGTCCCAACGGCGATTCCCATAATTCTTTCTTTCGAAGTTACCTCCGTACCCATTACCAAATCTTCTTTGTTTGTATGATCCCTCATTTCTGTCTCCAAAGTTCCTTTGTCCCCTGTTGTTGTATCCTCCAGAATTGAATCCCTTTCTCAAATTCCCTCTCACGTTGAAAACACCTTCGGCATCACGAGATGAAACTCTAAATCTATCAAGATCGACAGCTTTGACAGAAGGCAGATTACCTTCACCCATAAATTTTTGATAAAGATCACCACAATCAAGAGCAAGACTTTTCGGATCACCATCTTTCTCTATCCGAGGCACAGACCCATAAGACCCTAAAAGCGACGTGATCATCTGGTTCATATCAGATGGAATGTCTCTCAAAGCGCTTATCATTTGCTTTTCGAAATCGGGAGTAATCTCAGGTTTTTCCAAAATCTCAAACTCGTGACCTTCTTCCTTTAATCTTTCAGCATAAAACATTTCATGCTCGGTCAATACGGAGATAGACTCTCCTGTAGATCCGGCTCTTCCTGTTCTACCCACCCTGTGAGTATGCGAAGCTGTTTCATATTGCACTCCCAACTGAATCACACAGTTGACACCAGGGAAATCCATACCTCTAGCACCGACGTTAGACGAGACCAAAACTCCCTTTCTAGCATTTCTGAATCTGACCTGGTTTCTGTTGCGAGCACCCTGACTCAAATCGCCGTGCAGTGTGTAGACCTCGGCTTTTCTACCATAGTATTCGTCGATGACCTCTTTAGCCAAACAATAGAAGAAATCCGTGGTCTTAATGTTCGGCATGAACACAATAACCTTACCGTTGGTGGCATCTAATTTTTCAATCAACAATTTCAAGGCAACGGCAAAGCTTTCAAAAAGGCTATTTGTGGTCACAAGTGACTGTTGGACACTGTCCGTCACTTCTGGGCCAGAACTCACATCAATATATTTGTAATTCTCGCCCATCAGTTTGCGGGCAAGTTCTTTCGTGTTCGAGTCCATGGTGGCAGAAAACATGGTCACTTTAAGCAAGCTAGGATCTTGATGATTCTCTTTGAACCGGCTAACGACAGCCAAGAGAGCTTCCTTAAAATCATGAGCGCAAAGAACGTCAGCCTCATCAATAACAAAATGTCTCAAATCTTTGAATGATTTTGCAAATGATTCATCAGACTCCAACATGTCAAGCAATCTTCCTGGTGTTGCCACTAAGGCCGCAGATTTGAATCTTCCATTAACTCCCCTTCTAATTTGATCATACTTCATCTGCCCAACGCACAAATCGATGCCTCGGCGGTTGTTTCTAGGGGCAGAAACCTTCCAAACCTTATCCAGAGCCCTTTGGGTTTGGAAAGCAAGGTCTCTAGTAGGGTTGATCACCACCGTGTGAACACTGTCCTGCTTCCCAAAATTTTTGTCACTCAACCACTCGTTGATCACAGGGAGGCCAAACGCGTAGGTTTTACCAGTCCCAGTTTTTGCTCTCACTAACACACCATTACTGGTAGTGAGCATCTCTGGGATCACTCTTCCTTGGACTTCAGTGAGGGTTTCACTAGCGACCTTTGTGAAAGCATCCTGAATTTTCAAGTGAAGGTCAGTTTGGTCAACCTGAAGGTTCAGACCTTCGGTGCTATAAAAAGCAGCAGCTCTCCTAACGGCAGGGATGCCTAAAGTAGCCTTCACGACAAGCAACGGCTTAGGAAGAACAAACATTGAAATATCCTCCTGAGATAAAATTTTCAGGGAGCGAAAATTTTTCCTCTACAGGGTCGATCGACTTTAGAAAATACCAAAAGTACGTAATTATCTTAGCATGACTAGAAACGTGTTTTTGTTAGGCTCGGACTTGAATTTCAAGTTCTTAGCAGCCCAAGCAAAGCGAACATTGAGCCCGCAGGAATTCGATGTTCAGCTGCTTTTCAACAATTCACGGCTGTTCAGGCGATTTACCGAGGCAGGATCTACAATAAAGTATACTAACAAAATGACTCCAGGTAATCCTGTAGCCAACGAACTTCGATTCAAGGCCTATGAAAAGCTTCCCGAAACACCCGGTTTCAGTATTGACGATTTGATAGTATCCATGAACACGCTGCGACTGGAAGAACAGATTCTTCCGTACGCTAGCTGGATCTCTAAGGATACGAATTTACTATTTATCAATCCACCATTGGGAGCAATACAGGCCGCTTTGGATCATTTGTGGCCTCGCAGCTCTGAAACCAGGCCAAATGTGTTTCAAGCTGTCTCCACGCACATTTTATCGAGCTCGTCAAACTTTGATGTGAATCATATAAAAGCAGGAAAATTACTGATCTCAGCATATCCATCCAAACGAAGTTTTGCAAGCTTTGCCAGCTCGCAGTCTACCTTTTTTCCTGCCGACACAGTTGTTCCTTCTGTAGTGAAAGGATTATTGGATAATCGCATACTCCAAGCAACGTATTGCCCTTTGAAGGACGTTTACCAGGTACAGATCGAAACAGCAGTGGCAGACTGTTGTCTAAATGCATTGGGTCAGATCCTGAACTTTGATCTAGGCTCTTTGGGCTACACAGAGTCGGTTGAGCGCATCGTTTCCGACATTGTCGATGAATGCATACAAGTTTTACAAACCACAAGCCACTATCGTGTATTGCATCGATACGACCCGTCAATGACGCGGTTGCTCAAGAAGGAACGGTTGATGGTGCTCATAAAGGAGTTAGTTGAACAGCATGGGTTCAATCACCAGCAGTCAGTTCCTGGTTATGCGACCAGCTATATTGTCAACTCAGCTAAGCAACACCGCCAATCAACCCCTGTCAATAGCATGTTGAATAATCTGCTCATAGCCAAGCGTGAACTGGAGCACCAAGAAAATGAGCTACCATTCGTCAAATAAATCTGAATGTATCACTGTACGAGTCGCGAATCCTTCTGAACAATTACACGACTTGCCCATCACAGTAATAAAAAAGATAAAATATCTGAGCGCTAAGATAATTTTAAAGATTTACAGGCTTTGTTTGTTTTATCAGATACTCAATTAGTGGACGAAACTCAACCCACCACGCGATAATTCTTTCGAGCTCTTCTAAACTCAAAAATACAGTGGATAGCTTTGGGCATTGAAATTGCCTGTATTAGAACTAGCATTAGAAAGATTCAAAAGGATAGCTTTTTTTGTTTTACAAAGCCAAAAAAAATATCCCTTTTTTGTTTCTATGCAAAACGTTAACTAGTTTCGTGGGCCAAAAATAATAGTTCCAATGAGCTTTTTTGAAACTGTTATGGATACTGAGAGCATTGATCGTCCAGGTACGGGAGATGTCTCAATTGATCTGGCTACTCATATGGTCAAGACTCCGCTCATGCCTCTGGACCTGAATAATATCAACGTCCATGCCAATGACGCAAAAGGCCAGTCAGTCATAATTCCGCTAAATGATGGCAACGCTTTTCGACCAGACTCACGTCAAACCAATTCGTCAGGGAACTTCCAACCGAATTTCAATTCTGCGTTTGATCCCAAATTTCTCGAAGTGTATACTACAAACTCGCCCAAAGAAGTGATATCACCAACACGATTGCTATGCAAAAGTTCAAATAGCACACCAAGGCTGATTCCTGCAATCTCCATGCTTACACCTAGCGGTTTTAGTGATGTATTTAAGCAGTCACCCCTCAAGGTGTACTCTAGATCGGATCCACCGCAATCTGCTTCCAGAATGATGTTCCCACGCTCCTTGTATGATGATGTTGAATTGTCCAATGCTTGGCTTGGGAGGGATACCCCGAACGGCGATACTACAGAAAATATGCTCTCGGAAGGACATGCATTCGGCAATATGAATGATTCCAATTTTTATATTCAATCCTCGTTGCCTGGTTCACGAGAAGCTAACAGGGTCCCAAGCGACTCATCTTACTCGAAAGAAAAACCAAAGAACAGATTTGGTGTGGAAGCGATTAGTTCCCTTCCTTCCTCAAGACCTGTATCAGAGAGTTTCAAAATACCGACTTTCAATATACCAGCAGATCTGAAGTACGAAGAGAAAGATTTTGACTTTGGCCTGGATTACAGAGAAGACAAGAAGGCCAAAGCAGCGTCTTTTCCGACAGTGTCGAACACGATCAAAGAAACTTTTGGAGCACTACTTTTAGGGGAACAACCAGTGAAGAAGAAAAGAGGAAGAAAGCCAGGATCCACAAACAAAAAACGTAAGGAGGGCGCCGCAAAAGACGACAAAAATAAGAAGAAGAAACTGAAAGTTAGATTTCCCAAAAAAAGAAAAACTACGCTATCCGACATAGATCCTGCTGTTCACTTTCAATTTGGGAATGATGATGACTTTCTTGGGCAGGACGATTTCGATCTTGTCGACATTGACTCGCACAAACCACATGCCTCTGGCGGGCCGGAGGATATGCAAGATCGGATGAAGAGAATAAGAAATCGGGCCCCTAGATCTAAGAACGGTTGTTGGACATGCCGACTCAGAAGAAAACGATGCCCTGAACAGAGACCTGTTTGTTCTGAGTGTGTGAGGTTAGGTCTTGAATGCGATGGTTACTCCTCTGAGCGGCCTGCATTCATGCGGAATGCAAATGCTGCAAAAGGTAAGATGGAAGAGATAAAAATTATAACGCTAGCCAAGAAAAAACGTGGTTCGAAACAAAGGTACGAACGCGAACAACGCTTGTCTGCAGGCTCTCCCAGCGATCCGCTAAAACCACCTAGTTAAATTTGCAACCGACTCTTTCAATATAAAAAGTCTATTAATTATAAATGTGTATATACTATGGTTTTCCATATTGGTGATACGCGTTATAAGGTTTCTCTGTTTGTCCCGCTTCTTGATTCATTGTTTCCATATTCAACGGTTGCTGGAAAAAGAATGGATTATAGTTCATTGCATTAAATGAATCAGCCAGAGGTAACTGGGGGTGAAGATTAAATGCATTGCCGCTGGTGTGGGCCGGGAGAGGGTCAACTGTAGGCTTGAAGAACTGAGATTGAGGTATATCCATAGGGTAGTAAAAGCCCATATTTGCTTGCTGTGGTTGCAGATTAGCCATCAACGGCTGGTTCGACCAGATGTTAGGAAATATCGGAGGACTCGTAGCAGGTGCGGTCTTTGCCGGCGCTTTAGTCAGCTCTGGGGAGTTTGCGGCGCTAACAGGCTGAGTTGTCAAATCTTCCTCGTGATCGCTTACAATCGAGTCCACCATGGAAACAAATTGGTGTTCATTTTCCTCGTAATTCAGTTTACCATCTTCTAGAGGCTTGGTGCGTTTCTTTGAAAATGGCTTCACCTTGCTGTCTGGGATCAAGAATAATTGAGTAGTATGATCAAATTGCAAGTCGACTTTGTTCTCACTTAGAATACGTATTCCCATGTGTGCAACCGAAATCATTCTAAGGACATAGTCACAAAGTTTCATGGACTTATGACTTTCGTCTGGGAGCTCTCCAATCAAAGCAAGCACCGAAGTCTCAGACTTCTCTTGGAACTTGCTATCATTGAAATCATCCAATGCATAATTGATTGGCCTGAATTCTTTCAAAGTAACGTCCTCTTTAAAGAGCCTTTTTCTTTCAGGCTTGTAGTCCTTGAATCTCGTATTGGCGTCCACTTGGGAACTTGCATCCGGGTAAACGCGGAAATATTCAACAGCGTTGTTGACGATCTGAGCCAACTTTAAAGCGTATTTCGGAGTTTGAATCAGATAGCTTCTTGGAAGCTCCCTCTCCTTGAACCAACAAAGCATCAGTCTAACAAGAGGCAGCAACAAATGGGTGAGATCAGGCTGCTCGGAATTTCCATTCCAGTTATCTAGCGAGATCTGCATCATGTTGTCCAAAAATCTGAATGTGAATTTCAAGTATTCTCCGATGATAGCGGTGCTATGGTCTAGCTCGGGATGGACCATGTTGTTATCCACCAGCAGCTCAAATCCTCCAATCAATATCACAAGCTGTTTAAAATATAGATCATTGAAAACCTGCTTCCGATAATCCAGTTGTTTCATAAATTTGAAAAATTCCGTCTCGATGTTCTGGATCGAGTGATGATGAATCAAGTAGCCCTCCGACTCCTTCCACTGGCCTGGCAGCAGATAATAATCAAATAGAACAAGGAACTGATATCTCAGCAGCTCATATTTCACATTTTTTGTAAGATCGGATTTAGGCGTTGAATTATGCGCTTCGAAAACTCTCAACATCGGATTAGGTTTTTTCGACACATAATTAATAAGGTTACCGAGGCCGATAGGTAATGGTTCGCTGCTGAGGGACGACCGGATAAAGTTGTAAACCACATTGAAGCTATCCTCTTTGAGGTTATCGATGATAGCAATGTGGTTGTAAGGATCTCCCAACGACGGCAAGATCAGGAGAGCCAACTTATAAAGCTCAATAGACTTGCTATAATTGTTGTTATCTTCTTTAGAGATTGAAGCTGTCGGCAAATACGTCTTTGCAACCAATGCGCGATATCTGGAGAGGTCTCCAATGTAAAGAACGCATTTGCTAATAACGTAGACCAACGACTCAATCGTGCGCTGGGATGGGGATTTTCTCGGCTCTTTGATAGTGATGTCTATTTTCAGCGTCGTCGTAAGTTTCTTGACTGGAACAAAAAGTAGAATGTCATGCGATATGAGAATCTCCTTCACCAAACTGATATAAAAATCATAGCACTTGGAAATGAAGCGCACAAAATGCTCGAAGGTCTTCCGGATTTCCACGCTGGTAAAAGGCCTTTGCTTTTTAGACGACGACTTCTTTTTCGACAAGAACCGAAACTGAGACTGAAATATCTTGATTGTAGGGTGATGAAGGTCCACCCATACTCTGTCGACGATTTTCCCCAGCATAACCCGAGAAGCGGTAGGGACGTTCAGATTATCGAGGATGTAGGTCAATAGCTTTGACTGAGCGAAACTAACAGTACCGAGCAGAAGAGACTCATCGCTAGCGTATTTATTGCCTAGAATCTCCAGTATCTTCTGCTTGTTCTGAGATAATATCTGCTCTATGGGCTCCTCCAACTTGGAACGGTTATTGAATTCGGAATTCGTCATCAGTGAAATAGGGCCAAAACGGGGCTCATTGAATGACTGTTAGACGCAGATCTTACTCTTGGACAAATGTTCACTCAAATTCTATGCTCTTCGCGAACAGCAATTTACGCGCTTGGATCAAATCACTTGTAAATTCCTGACACTATCTTGAGATAAAAAAATATTCGTAAAGAAATCCACAGTAATAAAATCTCTCATATAACCAGGCGATTAGTTCTATGATTGATGATTATTTGCAAATTGAAAAAAATTTGAGAGATGCCCCAAAACCGACCAGGCTGGTCACAACGCAGCTGCTCATATCTGCAGTAGCTGGGTTTTTCATATTTTCGGCATTTTGTGTCTTGAGATGCCGCTTCCCCAATATTTACATGGCACGAATGAACTACCTAGGCGTGTCAAATCGCAAATTCATGCCACCGGTGCTTTCCACTAAATCACTATTTGGCTGGTTGGCTACTGTCTGGCGTATAACGGAGGCCGACATTTTAGAGTACGCTGGACTTGATGCTTTTGTGTTTCTTGGGTTCTTCAAGATGAGTATAAAACTTCTGTCTGTGTGCTGGCTTTTTTCGGTTCTAATTATCTCACCAATCCGCTACTACTTCACTGGAGACTACGATCAAAGTGACGGTGACGATAGTTCGGACCCCAAGGATCCCTCAGAGGCGACAGACTATCACACATATTTGTGGCTCTATGTCATTTTTACCTATGTCTTTACTTTCATCACTGAGTATTTCCTCATGCAGCAGACGCGCAAAGTTATTCAGTATCGGCAAAATATTCTCGGTAACCAAAATTCTATTACGGATAGGACCATCCGATTGAGTGGAATTCCCCCCGAGCTTCGAAATGAGCGCGCCCTACGGGAAAGTATTGAGTCCTTGGGTATTGGTAAGGTTGCCAAGATAGTCATTTGCAGGGAATGGAAGAAGCTGGATTTGTTGTTTAAACAGAGGAATCACATCATTCGTAAATTGGAGATCTTTTGGGCAAGGTACATCGGCACTACAAAAAACCCGACCTTTAACATTCGGCCGTTTGTTGAAAGCTCATATCCATTAACACCTGAATGCCCGAGATACAGGGATGAAGAAGAAGGCTCGGATAGCACACATGCCGGTACAACATCCGATGCAGATACATCGGATTACGAATATGGCTCCAATTCTGTTGTCGAGTACCAAGCTTCCCCAACCGAAACCGATCCTTTCGGAACGAGTTTTGGGTCTGCAGTGTATAAGAAGAGACCTCAGATAAAGTTGGGTTTTTTGGGAATTTGTGGCAAGTCGGTGGATGCGATCGATTACTATACGCAGCAATTGAACGTGATAGATGAAGAGATTATGGTCGCTCGTCAGAGACATTATCCTGCTACCCCTACAGCATTTATCACGATGGACTCGGTTGCAACGGCGCAGATGGTGGCACAAGCAGTTCTAGATCCTCGAGTCAGTTTCTTAATCACCCGCACGGCTCCTGCTCCCAAAGATATCATTTGGGAGAACGTGACTCTTCCTCGCAAAGACAGAGTCCTAAAAATCTACTACATCACCATATTGACTGGAATCATGGGAGTTGCCTTTATTTTTCCTGTCGGTTACCTGGCTACATTGCTTAATTTGAAGACCATCAGTAAGTTTTGGCCAGATTTAGGAGAGCTTCTTGAAAAACATGAATGGGCGCAGAAGTTTGTCACTGAACTGCTTCCTGTGTATCTGTTTACCTTGCTGAATTTTGTGATCCCATACTTATACGTTTGGCTGTCTTCCAGACAGGGATTCGTCTCCCACGGAGAGGAGGAGCTATCGGTGGTGTCCAAGAACTTTTTCTATGTTTTTGTCAACTTGTTCCTGGTTTTCACAATGGCCGGTACCGCCTCGAATTACTGGGGTTATTTAAGCGACTCCAAGAAGCTTGCTCTGCAGTTGGCGACGTCCTTGAGAGGATTGTCGTCTTTTTATGTCGATACCATTTTGCTTCAAGGATTGGCTCTTATGCCTTTGAAATTGCTGATTACGGGCCATGTGTTGCGTTTCATGTTTATTCGTGCAAACTGCAAGACACCGAGGGACTTTAAAGAACTTTACAGGCCACCTGTATTCAATTTTGGTTTGCATCTGCCGCATCCCATTCTCATCTTGATTATCACATTGCTCTATAGCGTGATGTCCACCAAAATTTTGTCCTCGGGGCTTGCATACTTCATCATTGGTTATTTTGTGTACAAGTACCTGCTAATCTACGCATGCATCCATCCCCAGCACTCGACAGGTCAAGTGATGCCAATTATTTTCCGTCGCATTGTTTTAGGGCTGCTTCTCTTCCAATTGACAGTGGCGGGCTCTTTGGCCCTGAACAATGCTTACCTTTTGGCGATGTTTCTTATCCCCCTGCCCTTCCTGACCATATTGTACTTGTGGAATTTCGAACGCAACTATCTACCGCTGAGCTTTTTCATTGCCCTACGTGCTATCAACAAGGATACGCAGGTTGATACAGATCCGCAAAGCTCAGCTGGCGTGAGAGCGACCCACCCTTTGACAATCGGAGTGAGTTACTCATCCTTGAGATCCAGTACCATCGACGAGCGCAGAGAGTACAATCAGACTTACGAGTATCCGTACCTGGTGCAAAGTTTAGAAGGCCCGTGGCTGGCAGTCGATGGCGAACACGTTGTGATGGCTACAAAGGATGGCACAGTGCGGAAACGGTTTACCTTCGAAGAGTTTTAGAATCTATAGAGCGCGAATATATGAAGAGCGATATTCAAAGACCAAGATATTTGAACAATTCAGTCACTAGCTCCAGCTTCAATTGGAGTTGATGTATTTCATCCAGTATAAGGGTCTTGAATGGTAGGTGGTACATGAGGCGGAAGACTGACATAATCAAAAGTCTGGTGACAACGAGCTTGATGACATGGCTAGTAAAGACGACCAGGGAGATTTTCCAATAGTGGTTGTTTGGATTTTGTAGTAATACGATGTGGATAGCTTCAATAAGGATGACAAGGTGTATGATCTGGACCGTGTTTGCTGTGATGTTGAGGATAAATATATCGTATGGCCAAATAAGCATCACAATCGGGAAGAGCTTGATAAGGTTGGAAAGAAGAATTGTTGAGGAAATGATGCTAATGAAATAATCCCTGGAGAAGTGGACTCTTTGAATGTTTGCGGGGCATGATGATGTAGACGAAGAGGAGGATACGGACCTTGTTAATTGGGGCAAGTCGGTCGGAGACAAAGCTTTGCAAGACGACAGAGACGCATTATTTTCAAATTCGACTGTAATTGGGTATCCAAATTCAAGGACTCTGTAGGTGAAGAATTGAAGCGACAAATGCAGAACGACGGTATCGAGAACCGCCTTTGTTAAAAAGAACAAATACTGTGACATGATTCTTGGTAATTCCAAAACAATCTGATTGATCAATGATGTTCTGTATACATTCTCCAAATAATTCTTTTCCTCGTAGGCCCATGTCAAGTAGACCTCGAATAGAAGCATGAGCACCAAGAGGCGCAAGAATGGGCCATGTCGTTGGAAGAACGTTCGTTTCTCGTGTTGCAATTCTCTTTTTCCATCTTCAATATCTGCCCCGTAGTTGAGCGATTGGTTGTAGATCGTGTGTCTGTAGGCCTGAGGTTTCAAAAGCATGAGATCGATAAATAACAGCACCTTATCAAATTCGATATATCGGTCCGCAACCTTGTGACAGTTGGAACATATCGTCAGTCGAATGTGGTCTCCCTTATATTTCTCATAAAGAGTCTGAATGGGTGTAGAGCACTCCACACAAATCATGCTCAAAACTAGATGTGTTTTTTTTTGTTTTAAATACTGATTGATTATTTGCATGTCTCAAAGAAAGGTGTGCCCATATTTCCAAAATGGCAACTGCCGCTACGGAAACCGATGTCACAATCTTCACATCAAAAATGGTCATGAGGATCTGAAAAGCTTTACATCTGCCTCCTCCTTGCAGGCCAAGACAGAAGACATAAGAAAAAATATCGATGCAATACTGCCTGATGTTCGCAATGGTGCTATATTGACTGCCTTTAGTTTGCCTCCGCCCGCCAACGTGAACATTATAAGCGGAAGAGACGTATCGTATGAGGAGCTGCGGGTTCAATACTATCAAAACCCAGATACTGCTGTTCATGAATATAATAGTCGAAAACAAGACATGATTAAATGCCTGGAATACGTGCGGAAAGACGCCCAAAAGGCTGCTAGGTATTTGCAATTAGCAGCTGAGAAAAATCCAGCAGATGTCAAACCTTTCATCAATTTCTCTATCGATATGAACCCTGCCCCATCTTCATCCTTACCGTTTGGAAATCGAGGTTCATCGCCTTTCAATCAGCAGAGTTCCTCTCTAGGTTCCGCTAAAAATCATTTCGGGGCCCCTGCAGCGCAATCCAATCCTTTTGGCACAGCAGTGACAACTAACGCTAACCCGTTTGCATCATCCAACACTCCCGCTTTCGGAAGCGCAGGTTTTGGTTCCAAACCCAACCCCTTTGGATCACAAACCAGCACAAACAGCGTATCTAATCCATTTGGTAGCTCTTCAGGAGCCTCCTCGGGTTTCGGCAAAACAGGTTTTGGGCAGCCGACGGGAGCTTTTGCAAGTGTTAAACCAAATCCATTTGGAGGTCAATCTAATGCATCCTCGAGCACTGCCAGTCCATTTGGCGCAATCTCTGGCAACACAATGAACTCAAGTACGATGTCGTTTCCTAATGGAGTCGGTGCAGGTGCTTCGTCCTCTGCTGGTCCCTTTGGGGGCCAGACTAGTACGATTCAGCCCAGTCCTTTTGGAGCAGGATCACAGTCCACTACGTCTAACGCTGGCCCTTTTGGAAACCCACAGACATCGTCCGCTTTTGGAAAAACTGGGTTTGGCTCATTTGGCGCTCAAAAAGCCTCTCCTTTTGGCCAGCAGACTGCTAATGCTGGTGTTTTTGGTCAAGCTGCGACCAAGAACGTCAGCAGCTCGTCGCCTTTCACACAGCCATCGTCTGCGCCTTTTGGCCAGGCTCAAAACTCGCCTTTCGTACAACCAAGTGCGGCATCATTTGGACAAACTACAAACCCTACGCCTACAGGATTCAAACAGGCTGCAATAGAAGAGCAGCCAACCAAAGTTGACGACCTGTCCGAATCTATTATCAATGAATTCAAGGCTGAGCATTTCAAGCTGGGACTGGTCCCGGATGTTCCACCTCCACTTGAGATGTGCTAAGCGTTACTGGCCGTCACAGTTCGATAACTGTCCGCCAGGAGACGTGAGCTGCGGCTGGTCAATGCGAATGCCTCGCGATACATGGACCCTATTTCCTGAAGCACCTGCTCTCTTTGAATGGATCCCTCGCAAATTGCTTTTAGTTTGACCTCAAGATTTTTGCGCAAGAAAGGTTTAGTCAAGGACATGCTATCAAAGCCAATTTGGCTGAACCCTTCGGCCAAGGCATAGCCCAGCTCGGTTGGGATGAGAACCTTGGACTTGGACTTTCCGCGGCCCTGATCTTCTTTGGTGACATATGAGCGCTCTATAATTTTTTCAATATGCTCTGCGATTGTGGCATCAGTGCCAATTCCGTTGATATCCATCAGCGCAATCAATTCTGGCTCGGTGAGGGGGCTAGGAGGTGACGTTTTTCCCGTGGATAACTGTGCAGAGGTCAGAGTAACTTTATCCCCGGCCTGAACTTCCGGAATCTTGGACTTGGATGACTCCCACGAATTGTAAACATATACTTCCAAGTAATTGAGTTCGTTGACAATGAGTCCCGAAGCCGTGAAAGTTTCTGTCCCCCATTTGAGAGTCAAACTGGTTCTCAAACCAGTCGCATCTTTAGAGCAACATCCCAAAAATCGACGCACCACGTATTCGTAAAGCTTTCGTTCGTTTGCGTTCAATGACTCTCCACTCGTGAAAATGACAGGATGAATAGGAGGGTGTGCTTTGTCGTCGTGGGAGCCCTCTCTCGGTTGCCTGAATTTGCTACCGTCGTTTAACAACATTTGGGCGTACTGACCCCATGTTTGAGACTGTGTTTGCGATTGGATCAGTTTTTTGAGATCCATGTTCTTGGGAAATCGGTCGGTCTCTGTCCTGGGGTAGGAAATAAATCCAGAATTGTACAGCTTTTCTGCAATGGTGAGTGTTTGCTTTGCGCTGAATTTGAAAAATCTAGCACAGTCTTTCTGCATCTCGACGGTGGTAAGCGGTAAAGGAGCCCAGTTTGAGGTTGGTTTTGTGTCAAGCGATACCACTGTTGCCTCATTACCATCCATCTCGATACAGTTTTGATATATGCAGAGGGCCGCAAATCTATCGAATAAATGGCCTCTAGTCCATGTGGCCGATGTTGTCCCTTTGGCTTTGTCATTCTTCTTTTTGAAAGCGAGGTTCAAGTACCAGAAATCCTCCGGTATAAAGTTCTTGATTCGTTTGTAACGGTCAACCACAAAACCGAGGGTAGGGAACTGACACCCACCATAAGACACAACGTTGTCGTATCTAAAATTTCGTCTGAACAAATCCGTGAGAAGCCGCGTGAAGCTGGATCCTGTACGTAAATCAAGTTCCATACGTGTCAGCACGGCGTCGATCGCCTTTTGATCTAATTTTGTGGTATTGCACGCAGCACGAATCACGTGTGACCGTTCAAGATGGGAGAAATGTGCTCGCTGAGTGGTCTCCAAGTTAATGCTCGGGTTTTTCTTTCGTGCTTGCTCCATAATTTCGTATCCAATGTACTCTCCCTCCCGATCGCAATCTGTCCATATCATCAGCACATTGGATCGTGAAGCTTCATCAGTGATATTTTTGGCAATGTTCATGGAATTCTTGTCTGTGTATTTTGTCAGAACAGGGGCATCAAATAGACTCGAGTGCTCGCATTTTCCCCAACCATAATTCTCAGGGAAATCTATCGTGGTGATGTGGCCAGTCACTGCGGTCATGGTAACCTGACAACTTCCGAACTGCGGGAAATTGAAGTCGAAATCATAGTTTTTGATCCAGCCTACCTTTGTTTCTCGCGTGGATACACGCCCCCCTCCAAGTATGAAAGCCACTGCTTTCGCTATGGCAGGTTTCTCCGCAACACAAAGAACCCTCATGACGCGTAGAAAACGATAAATATTTCGATCTGATTATGTAACTTTCTCTCTGAAATATTTTACACAATGGCCTGCTCAAGGTACTCACCGCGAAACCTCCACTCCGTTCTGCGACATGCGCACTATGACAAGATTCTATGCTACGAGCAAGGCAACCAAATTCAGGAGCAACTTGTCTCGGAAATGCTTGAAAATAAAAAGCACAAGATACCAAATAATAGGCCCACAGTCCTATCTTTCCAATTCCAACACACATACACTGGAGGCAAACGAGAACGGATCAATACAACTCCTGAGCGCCGACAATTCATAGAACTTATAAAAAACGCTAAATTTGTACAGACATCCAGAGGAGGCCAGATCACGTACCATGGCCCGGGACAACTGGTATTATATCCAATAATAGATTTAAGCGAGTTCAAGGGTCTTAAATCAAAATGCTATGTATCCTTGCTCGAGAATTGCGCAATAGAAACTTTGAAAGAGTCTTGGGTGGGTATTAATGCGGTGACCACTGAGAACACAGGAGTTTGGGTCGACAATAACGGGTTGCGGAAAATTGCCTCCATAGGAGTGAACTTGCAACGATCGATAACATCTCACGGAATATCAATCAACGCATTTCCAGATCTGTCTTATGTAAACGATCCGAGAATAGTGCTTTGCGGTCTCGACCAGTACCAGCAGACGTCGATCAAGGAAGAAATCGGTAAGGTGGTGGATATAGATAGACTGGCTCATTCATTTGTGAAGCACTTGGCTAATCGACTGGGCTTGGGAGTAGAAGCTCACCTCAATCCTAATTTGAGATCCACGAAACAATAGTGGGTTCATACTTAAATAGTAATGCAATGGCCAGGGCGATCATCATTGTAGAGGTAACGTATATTGGAATAGTATGGGTTTGACGTCGCACGGTTAGCGGCTTTTCGACTTTTATCTGTATATCATCGGGCTTTTGATTATGCATTTCATCCCCATGTTTCGGAGTTTCAGCTCGCGGTAAAGGCTCAGTCGGCAACGGAGACACCTCTTTGGAACTCTCTAATTCTCTGGTCAATTCTTCCACCTTGAGCCCTAAGGAATAGGTTTCCTTTTGCGCCTGCAGTTTCATGGTTCTCTCTTTCTCTAATTCGTCTAGAACCGAACCGAGTTTCGACTTAACGCTTTCCAATTCTCTCAGCACTTTTGAATGAGCTTCCTCTTTTTCCTTGACCGCCACTGCGGCATCTGTTTCACTGGCGCGAGCAACAGCTAGCTGCTCTCTTAGGCTTATCAACTCCCCCTCTAAATCCCTGACGCGCTCATCCGAGTCACTTTGTCCCAGAGCAAAAGCTTTTGGAGTATACTGTGTATAGTTCTTCATGAATTTTGAAATCTCTCGAAGTCTCTGCTGTTGTATGTACTCGTTATTAATCGATATGATGAGTTTTCGTACCACATCATCAAGCTTGGCTGACTGCTTGATAGTCAAGTTAGTCACAATTTTGTCCTCTTCTTTCCTTTTTGGTACTTCTTTCTTCTCAACTTGGGCGACTTCATCCATAAGTGATTCCAACACTAAATCTTCTTGCTCCTCTATCACGTCGCTAAAAATCAGAGCATCTAAAGAGCTGTTAAATAGCTCTAATTTCTTGCTTTCTTGATCGCCTTTACTCAAAGTTTGGCTGATGACATTTTCATAATCCTCTAGGCTCATGTAGGTCAATTCCACCACCTTGCATGTGATCTTTTTGTGTGCCACTTGGGACTCCAGCGTGGTTCCGAGGTCTAACTTGTCGCCTAATTTCAGCTCGTACTCCTTGTGTGGCTCTAGTTTCTCGTCATTGATGAATGTTCCATTGGACGACTTCAAATCTCTGATGTACAGTTTGTTATCTTTGATAAACAGCTCAGCATGATTTCTAGAAAGAACACGCGAGTCAAAGTACCCGTCTGTTATTTTGTTGGTGATTTTGGGCACATTCTGACGGCCAATCTTGAGAGACTCCGGCGCGAGGGGAACATTCAAGATCTTGACCAATTCTGATTGTGATTGATCAGGAGACACAAACTTTACAACGTGGGCAAATTTTTGCAAGCGTGGAGGTTGTGGGTCACTCTCGTGGGGCTCAGACTGGCTTGAAAGCGACGACCCTGAATATAAGGCATTATTATTCACAGAGTTGTAATTGCTTTGTGTCTTAGAAGCCGAACGTTTCCTCTGGTACACAGGCTGGTCCGTCCGTTGTATATCGGTCGTGGCATTGCTGACCTTAGTAGACATGATTTGTGCCAATGGGATATTCGCTGGATTGATGAAACAACAGTCGTTTGATCTACGTTTTTTTTGTTCCAAAAGTTTACCCGTTGTATCTCGACCTCCTTATGATTACCTAATCACGACGCTAATCTGCGGGAGAGTGCGAGACGTTTGAAAGCAGCAACAACCTGCTTTAGAAGCAAAACTTTTGCAATAGGAGGACTATTTCCCTCGGCTATCATGAAATGAATGGTTCACTTGGCTGGCGCTATTTCGACCAATCAGGTTACATTTGCAACCTTAAAATTGATTATAAGGAGTACTGATCTCCAAGCATGTTAAATCTCCCGTGGCAGCAGGTACTGCGTGTCTCATGAGATTTTGGGATGGTTGTAGAATCCTTCTGATCATTCAAAAGTAAGGATCCGAATATCGCATTCCAACCTGATTCTGGCTATAGTCGGCCCTTAATCATGGAACCTGCAGATTTCATTTCTACATATTAACAAAAACAGAGAATTTGAGTTCCCCATTTGGGGCATTTATGTGTTGCCCCGGTCTAATATTCGTGCTGGAACAGAGGTTTAGAAAGGCGAATGCTGGGTTTGAATACACGAAAATGAACGACAAAAGCATCAAAACTGTCCGAGCTATGGCTACAGCGCTCCCTATTTGCTCAAGCTACTATAGGAGTCCTCCGGAAGTCATATCTCAGCTCCACTAATACTAAAACTTCTTTTACTAATTACCTTACCGTAATTGGAAATTTGCCTTATCAAATTGGGTTAAAATGCAGCAAGGTTCGATCAGCGCGCGATAATGGCAAGATAAGTCAGACGTATATAAGGAAGCACAGCCTGCTCTCTTTCTGTTCAATTTCAAACAAAACTACAAACTACCACCATGAAGTTATCTTTCGCTGTTATTGCTCTGGCTACCTGTGCTTTCGCTTACAACGGTACTGAGACGTTGACTACAACTTGTACTGAAGAGAAGTGCACTTCTTCTATTTCAACTTACGAGGATGGTGCTCCTGCTGTTCGTGTTGGAGCCCTGGCCGCTGTTGGAGCCCTGGCTCTGTACGCCCTCTGATAGGGAAATTATTATTATTATGTAATACTTTGCTAAACAGGTGAGATTCAAGTTTTCCTCTAAAACAAAAGGTGTAGAGATGTTGTCCGAAAAATGTGGGCTTCGTTTTCCCGCCCTCGAAAAGGCGGTATCGGGCATTTGCCTTTGTTTACAACCCAGTGCAGGGTCTTAATTTACTCAGAAACATTTTCATGCGGCTTACAATTTTTATCCTTTGTTTTCGCTCGTTAAAAACCGAAAAGTGCGCTTGCTAAGCACCAGAGAAGCCAATCAGGTACTACTCTACAGCTGCAGTTTACACCATCTGCGTGCCAATTGACCACATTGGCTACGTCTATTCACAAATTTAGATGACGGAGACCGTTTCTGGAAACAGCCAAGCACGTAATAAAAGATATATAAAGCGTAGCGCTCCTCGACTGGGGACCATCAAAGATATCCAATGCTCTCGTTTAAAACTCTTTGTGCTACAGCTTTCGCTCTTACTGCCGTTTCTGCTGCCCCTCAGGCAGACCCATTTGCTTTCGCTAATGCAATCGGACTTCCAGTTGCAGCAGAGGCAAGTTACGCTTGTCATGCCTCTTGTGGTTACGCTATTTTAGCTGCTCGTCAATGTTCTCCATCTGGCTCCGAGGACTCGGACTACAACTCCACCTGTCTGTGTGCTTCCGACAGTCAATTCTTGTCCTACGTCCCAGACTGTCTTGACTGCGGATGGTGTCTGTGGAGTGACTACGGATCCTTCTTGACCTCTGCTTTGGCTGAATGTTCCACCAACACCGAGCCAACTGGTACTTCTTGTGCTTCCAGCACCTCTGAAGCGGCTGCAACCTCTTCTTCTTCTGCTGCAACCACCGAGGCTTCTTCAACTGAGGCTGCTTCTTCGACTGAGGAGGCTACTGAGGCTTCTTCCTCCTCTGCTGCTGCCTCAACCCAGGCCACTACTTCCTCTGCTGCTGCTGCTACTACTTCCTCTGAAGCTGTCAGCTCGTCAGCCGATGTTGATACCCATGCTGCCGAATCCACCTCCGCTGCCGAGTCGACTTCCGCCGCTGAGTCGAGCTCCGCTGCTCAGACCATTGCTGCTGAATCTAGCTCTGCTCCATCCAACTCCAGCGGAACTATCTCCACTTTCTCCGGAGCTGGTGCTAAACTGGCCGTTGGAGCTGGAGCCGGTATCGTCGGTCTTGCAGCTCTGCTTATGTAATACTTTAGCGAATCCGAATTTTAGCTTTTCCCTGAACGGTTGTTTTCGTAAATCTATTTTTTTCTGGGGCTGAGATGCCATGACAGCGTTGCTTGTTGCACTGTGGCGTTTTGCCGAAGAAAAAAATTAGATCTGTGGATTTGTAAGCCACAGCAATTTCTTACCAGCTTTTCATTTATTCTGGAACTCAATAACTCTCTGGCTCCTCTGAGGCATCATATTCTCCTTTTTCTTACTCAAAGTCATATGACTTCCAGAATATGATCACCATGAATCCGGAAAATAAAGCCTCGCTCCTAGATGAATTTGATTTCAGTATTCATTCTTCTGATAATCAGGATCAAAGAACGGACACCGACCTTTCGTTGTTCTCGAACAACGAGTTCCGCAATTTTGATTCCGATGAACAATTGACTATAGCTCCACAGGAAACAAGTCTCGATCCACAACTTATCACCATATCATCGAAAGTTCAGAACAATAGTCTCGAAAAGAGACGCCGAAATACTCTTGCCTCCGCGCGGTTTCGCATCAAGAAGAAGCAGAAGGAAAAGGAGATGGAGGAAAGGTTTGATCAAGTCCATCGTCACATAGAGTCTTTGAAAGTCAAGATCAAAACCTTGGAAATGGAAAACAAATGTTTGAAGGAATTGCTGCTAACTCCTGCCGATTCCAAATCACCTTCTCTTTCGAGCACTTCTAATTATGCTCTTCTGCAGCTCATCAAACAACATTCCGGTGACTCTTTCAAGGTCACAACTGTATAGTACTATCTACTTTTTTGCTCGCCGGTGACGGACCGGTTTCGGAGTTTTCCCTGCCCCACGATAAATATAAATTCACGATTAAATACATGATCTGACTAATTCAATGGCTACATATTCCACTAAAGTGTTCGATCACGGCAATTACGAGTCGTTCAGACCATCCTACCCTAATGAATTCCTCGAGCTGATTTTAAGGTACCATCAGGGCCCAACCAACCGTCTGCTCGACGTTGGCTGTGGCACAGGCCAGGTGACCTTCCCCTTCTCTCGCTACTTCACGACGTCAATTGGGGTTGATCCAAGTGAAGGTATGATTTCTAGGTGCAAGGCTAAAAGTTCCAGTAACCAGCTTGAATTCTATCAAGGGAGAGCAGAGGACTTGAACATGATTTCCTCTGCCTCAATTGACGTCCTCACGGCTGCAGAATGTGTCCACTGGATGGATCCAGCAGGCTTTTTGAATGAGGCTGCTAGAGTGCTATGTCCTCAAGGAACTTTGGCATTCTGGTTGTACCTTGAACCAATATTCAAAGATAACGTTTTGAATGAGATCTACCACAGATACGTTATGGGAGATCCTACTTTGATGAGACCCCACTGGGACGAAGGCAAAAGCAGGTTTTATGATTGGCTCAAAGATGCTACGGAGCTTATTAGTGGAGATGGTAGGTTTGAGAATGTCGAACTAGTCAAGTTTGACCAGCTAAATTTGCCTGAGGCTAAATGGGAGCAGGCGCTGAAATCCAGGACTCTGGACGGAAAACCTCTTCTGTTTCTTCAAAAAGAGTGCACTCTTGAAGATTTTCTTGCTTTCATTAATACTTATAGTCCTCTGCCGGGATGGTACAAAGCAAATGAAGGAGCAAAGGGAACAGAGAGGGATATTATGTTCCGTTTGGAGACCGACTTAAGAAGTACTGGATTATGGAAGAGCACTCAAACCATTACTTGGGATACCATGTATTGTTTTGCTAAAAAAAAAATGAAAGAGTAACTTATACTTGCTCCTTGATCGGTTCAATGTTCCAGATATTGTCTGCATATTCTTCAATGCAACGGTCACTCGAAAAAAATCCCATGTTGGCAACTGAAATGATGGATTTTCTGGTCCAATTGTCCTGATCCTTATACTCCTTATCAATAGTTCTTTGTGCCTCTAAGTAGCTTTCAAAGTCATCACTGACGAGGTAGTAGTCGCCGTGGATCTTGATGTTTTCCACAAGTGTACGGTATTCTTCGTAGCTGCCAAATGTCCCCGACTCGATAGAATCAAACACCTGATTCAAAGCATTAGGAATAGTTAAACGGCCCATGTTATGTTCGTGGCGAAGCTCATCGACATCCTCTGAAAGATTTCCAAACAGGAATATTTGGTCCTCTCCTATTTCTCTGGTAATTTCAACGTTAGCACCATCAACAGTGCCAATAATAAGACCTCCATTCAACACAAACTTCATATTTGAAGTACCTGAAGCCTCTGTACCTGCTGTGGAAATATGTTGGGAAATGTCAGAAGCCGGGCAGATAGTCTCAGCCTTAGAAACGTTATAGTCTGGGATGAAAATTACCTTCAGGATATCGCCGACGTCAGGGTCCGAGTTGACAACGTCAGAGACTGCATTGACCAACTTGATAATCTTCTTGGCGGCATAATATCCGGGAGCAGCCTTACCACCGATTATACACACTTTTGCAGGCCACTTTTCAGCACGCTCTTCTTTTGGAGTGGCCTTGATCTGCAGATACCTCCAGATCACACCAAAAATGTTTAGCTGTTGGCGTTTGTATTCGTGAATTCTCTTGACTTGTATGTCAAACATGCTATTTGGACTGACTTCAATCCCTGTCAGCGTCTTGATCATATCAGTCAATCTAACCTTGTTATACTTCTTGACTTCTACCCAAGCCTTCTTGAACTCCGAGTCCTCTAGGAAGTTTTGCAGCTCTTTGAGTTTCTCAAGCTTGGTGAGATACTCGTAGCCACCCAATTTTGAAGCAATAAGCTCACTCAGCTTTGGATTGGCTTGCCGGAGCCATCTTCTAGGGGTGATACCATTTGTCACATTGGTGAATCGTTCTGAGCCGTAAATCTTTACAAAGTCTTTGAAAATTGTCGTCTTGATCAGCTCGGAGTGCAACTCAGCAACACCATTGACTCTGTGTGAGCCAATAATGGCTAGGTGGGCCATACGAATGTTTTTTGGTGAAGACTCTTCAATCAAAGAAACTCTCGTAAGCAGATCTCTCTCGGTAGGGAACTTCCTCTCCACCTCCTGCAAGAACTCAAAGTTCACTTGATAGATGATCTCCAAATGCCTTGGTAGCAGGTTGGCAAACAGCTCCAAAGGCCATTTCTCCAGGGCCTCAGACATAACCGTATGATTGGTGTAGCCAAATGTTCTTGTCACGATGTCCCAAGCTTCATGCCAATCAACCTTTTGTAAGTCCACTAAAATCCGTTGTAACTCAACAATCGCAATAGTCGGATGTGTGTCGTTCAGTTGGATCGAAATATAGTCAGGCAACTGTGAGAAAGGTTTCTTCGTCTTCAAGAACCGTCTGACAATGTCGTGCAACGATGCTGCAACCCAGAAGTACTGCTGCTTTAAACGCAACTCTTTTCCTTGATAAAAGTTGTCGTTAGGATACAACACAGCGGTAATGGACTCTGCTCTTTGTTGTTGCGAAACGGAATTGGTGTAATCTCCTTGGTTGAATTTCTGGAAATCGAACTCTGTGGTTGGCTGCGATGACCACATTCTCAAGTTGTTGACATTGCTTGTCTTATATCCAGGAACAGGGAAATCATAAGCAACTGCCAACACTCTCTCTCCACCATGCCATTGCTTATACAGTGCGCCAGTTTTCTCATCCTTTTCGGTAGAAACGTAGCCATAGAAGTCCACGGGATATTGGATCTCTGTGCGAGGAATCTCCCACGGATTTCCGAACTTCAACCAGTAATCAGGGGCTTCAACCTGGTAGCCGTCAACAATTTTCTGTGCAAAAATTCCGTAATTGTATCTCAAACCATATCCCCAGCCAGGATAATTGCCGGTAGACAGAGAATCCACAAAACAGGCAGCAAGTCTCCCTAGTCCTCCATTTCCAAGTCCAGCATCTGGCTCGGTTTCAATAAGGTCCTCAAGACGGAATCCCAGCTCATTTGTGGACTTGTTGCACAAATCCTTAATCTCCAGGTTGATGATAGCATTATCTAGAGCCCTGCCCATAAGAAACTCCAATGAAAAATAATAGACGCGCTTGACCTCTTTTACAGTGTGCAACTGCTGGGTTTTGTTCCAGCGCAAAATGAGCTTGTCTCTGACGGAGCTCGATAGGGACTGATATGCGGCCAGGTTGTCGCAGTTGTACATTGACCGCGCCAATGTGGTTTCTACATGGTCGATGAATCGTGCTTCTAATTCTTCCGCAGACTCAAACTCCTTGGTTCCATACTTCTTCCACGCTTCGCGGGCCTTCAATGGAATGGAGTTGTCAATTGCTTTTATCTCCGTGGGTGTGAAACCCGTAAGCGATCTTTTATGTCCTTTTCCGGTACCATTAGAAAAAAACATGGTATACTCTCTTATCGGCCTAGACTAGTTCAATTGAGTACTTAACTGTAGTTCTAAACGGTTTATTACTTCTTGCTTGCTCTGGTGCGGCACAAAATATTACTGCGCAGCTGCTTCCTCCCCCCTTTTATATATTATGGTTGCATCGGTTTTCACACACCCAAAATCAGATGATCCGATAAAATAGGAGCTAATTCATCGTGTCTTCCGCTCAGACAACAGCGGGAGAGCCGATCCTCGAGCCCAAATATTTCTCCAGTCCCTCTCCAGAATAGCTTGTCAGCGGGCTCACCTCAATTTCGGAGCCAAGCAGAATAGCTCCTGCCTTTGTAAGCCAGCGAGCACTTCTGCTGAGTAGATTGGCTTTGCATGTTTCGGGGCCATCGTTGGCACTCCCTGGAGCATTTTTCAATGGCGAAAACTCTTCAGCTCTATCCACTTCAAGACAGCCGAATTTATGCATCTCGACGCTGGAGAATACGTCAAAAATAAACTGCTCTAATTTTATTCCGTTGGGCTCTCTAGGCTCGACAATTTTTCCAGATCCCCCATCCAGATATGCTATTTTCTTTCTGGCAACGTGGTACGGCAAGAACCTGCGGTCAGATATCCATTTCGGAATCATCTCCTGTAAGAATGCGACATTATAATAGTGGTTCACAATATTAGCTGCTCTGAAAAAGAGTAGCCCTTGTGGGTCGCGCTTTTCCCTTAGCTCCTGGCTGACTTCCGAGTATTCAATGACTGCTGGATGTCTGGTTTCTTCATCCATCACGATCAGGCCAACACTCTCATCAGCGGTTCTCTTACGGACCACCTTGGTAGCAATATGATATTTGTTGGTAGAAGCATACCCGATAAAAATCGGATCACCGACTTTGACTAGGACATTATCAACACAGTACATGTGAATGTGTTCAATTCCTCGTTTGGCAAAGTCTTGCAATAGCCCATTGTCATAGATTGCTTTATAAAGTCCTCCATTCCCATCCGGGCTTTCGATTAAGGAACTTTTTGATTCCAACAACAGCTTGGTACCATCCAGTGAAACTGCAGGGAGCGTTCCCTGATCAAAAAAGATGACTTGCGAGGATTCGAGGCCAAAGTAGTTGTTCTTGGTGAAAAAGTTCTCTGTTGCTGTCCTAGTAGGTTTGGAGGTCATGATATACAGGGGAATTACTCTTTGTGTATTGGCCAATTGTTGCAATTTCTTCAACCTTTCGGCCTGAAGCTGGAACAATGATTTCTGAGACGGAAGTCCCACATTGTAGCAGCCTTTTGGAGCTGCCGATCCAAGACGACTACCTTGTCCACCGGCCATTAGAATAACTCCTACTTTCCCCTTAGCGATAAGGTCCATTCCCACATCATTCCACTCTTTCAAAGTCTCGGAGGAGGTGTCTAATGTTGAAGCACATGCTTGTGCTGGCAAAGGGGAAAACCGCCTGGATTTTGAAACCGATGTGCTATATCTAATTGCCTCTTGAACTTCCTGAAGATATTTTGATGGGTCCGGGATTTGTTCCAATTGGGACAAGAGGCGTTTACGCTCACCATCAGTTAGATCTTCAAATGATGCAAATAGGTGCGCCTGGTTTGCGGAAATGTAACGTTCCTTAATTTCAGACATTAGGTTAAAAGTGTTCCTTGATCTGTGCCTGTTTATATTTTACTGTTTAGGAATTCTTACATCTCTGCACCGTTCAGATTTAATAGCTCTCGTAGGATACGGTCTGCCTCTCTTTTACCACTGATATAGGCGCCGTGGGCACCAGTATGGCCTTCATAGCAGTATGCTTCACCAGCAAACCGTAAACGGTTGACACCCTCAATAAGACCGTCGTTGACTAGGACATCACCAACTGCATTTCCTGAAACAGAGCCTCTGCTGAAAGGATCAGAAGACCAGTTTGTAGAGAACACGAGAGTTGGCTTTGGAAGCTCACTCTGTTTTCTACCAGAAAGTTTGGCAATTATAGGTTCGAGCAGCTTTGGGCCATACTTTTCAACATTCTCCTCGAGTAAATGAGATGCGGGAGCAGGAACCAGGAACATGAGTGCGGGAGCATTCTTCACAGTTTTTAGGTTAACAGTCAAAACTGGAAAATCAAATGCCTCCAGCTTGTCTGCCTCTTCCTCGGTAAGCTTTCTGTTGTATTCTAAAGTCGGGAAGCTGGTTGAAGTGCATACAGATTCATCAGGCTTGGGGATAACAACGAATTTTTCTGTTTCCGGCCAGAAAACCTCGTTGTATTCATAGATGACCTTTCCGAGCGCGCAGAAGTGTGTCTTTGGGAAATTGTCGGTAATACTTTTAGGTAAGTCTGGCACAAATGTGATTGCACCCTTGGCGTTGGGATCCTCAACGCTCAGCTTCAAAACAGACTGGGGAATGGTGACGACAACAAACGTGGAGGAGAAAGTTCTGCCGTCCTCAGACGTGACCTTGTACCCGGTGTCCGTCTCCTCAATCTTCTTTACAACCGTGTTGGTCAAGATGGATTCCTTCGGAAATTCTTCGAGCTCGTTTTCCAACACTTTCTCGTAGCCACCTGACACAAATGCGTCTCTTCCTACGTAGGGAGGATTGGCCAATCTAGCAGAGAACATGTCCCACTGCATTCCATTAGGAATTTCTGCCACTCGCAGCAGCGAGGTAGCCCATTTCTTCTGTTCTTCGGACAATGTGGGCCCCATTTTGGCCAGATATTCTGCGCAGGCTGTTTTCAAATTAACGTCTTTGCCAGGTCTAGATTGGGCATACAATTTGATTTCCTCAACAATTGGACCAACATTTGCCGTAAGAGATCCTTCAGGTCCAATCACGGCTGCAGAGTTCTCATCGAAGAAATACTCGACATTTTGCTTCTTTAGAGCATTGTGGAAAAGTGGATTGTTCAAAGTGGCGTGAAACCAGCAGGCACCGACATCATAGCCGTACTTCGAGTTTGGCGGATGATAGGTGTACAGCCTTCCGCCAATCCTATCCCGAGCTTCCAAAATCAAAGTTCTCACTCCCTTCGAGTGCAATTCTGTTGCTGCCTTAATGCCTGCAATGCCTGCGCCGACAATCACAACGTCAACGGTCGTCATATATGCCTAAAATAATCGGACTGAAAAATTGGCCCCGCCCTATAAATAAATAATTACCCAATAAAAAATGCAACCTCTATCGTTGAATGCTTTAAATAACTCTATACTTTTTCTGCGCTCAGATCTGACTTGATTCGGAAAGTTTGGCCTCTCCAGTCAATCTGCGATCCTAACATAGCGGCAACCCAAATAGGGAACGCCAACAACTCACGCAGAAACCAGTGCATGAAAAACCATCTGAGGCCTTTATCAGGGGTTTTCCGACTCTCGAGATTGATGAAAAATGGTTCCTGCGGATCACCGCCACGAACGCAATCAAACAAATGCTGTAGCTGAATCCAATCTGTTAAAAACCATGCAACAACGTGAAAGACAAAGTATGATTTTGAAAACAGAATATGCTGAAAAATAACACCAACAGCGAAGCTGCCATACAAGCCACAAAGAAAACACTCCGTTGTAGGCTCCAATAATGTAGCGGCTAGAACCATGTATTTGCGGACCCTGAGCCATCTTGTTCTTCGATAGCAGTAATCCATCAAGCAGTTTGACCCCCCAAGAGGCTGAACAACGCAGTCACCCGTCATTCCGGTGCGACCGTGTCCATAATCCCACAAAGCAATGCCAATCATGTTATCCTCTCCAATATATCTAGCAAAAAAGCGAATTCCCTGGCCAGGATGCAAGCTGTAGTACTTCGCATCCTTGTGAACATTGCCACTTTGGCCATTGGAGCTAGGATCCGTCGCCTGCTGCCCCATGCGGAAAACAGCCTCATCAAGGTCCGAACGTCTGTAGACGTTGGACTTCCCATTCACACAAGGAGCAACAGCTAGTTCGTTAAAGGAAACATAAAATTTCGAATGGGATGTGGCCAAAAACAGTTCGTCCAAATTGGCTCCGAGCGTAGCTGTCGGAAAATCTCCTAGTGACACAGCCAGCGGGGCGTGGTGAATCAAGTTGACTTTTCGTGATGTGGGACGACCATTGTTCAGCGACCGTGTCAGAGAAACCACAGATCTTTGCAGAGTGTCAGGATGAGACCACACGTTGGAGTCCTGAATCCAAAGAATGTCATGCTTTGCAGCTTTGTATCCCTTCGCAAGATTGTTAACCTTAGGATTGGGCCCATATGAGTCTTTAGCATCTTGGTTTTCATCCATCATGAGCTTGGCGTCCACATCTGGATACTGTGAAATTAGTTCTTCGACGACCGGAATTGACGGGTCATCTTTGTCCTGGACACAGAAGATAATTTCCAGTTTGGATTTAGGGTATTTTTGTTCGAACGAGGACCGAAGGCAGATCTCTAATTCCGGATCAATGCCTTTCAGTGGTCTGAGAATGGTGACGCCCTCCAGTTCCGAGACATTGATAAGGGAGTTGATTTTTGACCTGGAATTTCGCGTGAATTTGAAAATAATATGAAAAAAACCGTTGTACGCCACGAATATGACCACTAGATACCATGCTAAGAAAACGTATGCGAGCAAGCTTACCAGCACAGGTTCATTGATGGGCTCATCATACTTGTTCATCATTAAAAAAACGAGAGGACTTAGGCTTTGTAGTTGTTTATCTAGCTAGATCATGAACCAGGAACTGGTAGGGGGAAAAAAAAAATACTCAACGGTGACAAAAAATAATAAAAAAATAACTGCTTGAGGGTCTATCGGCGCGTCGACGTGGCAGATATGCAACAACCCCAGGAGACAAAAATGGTGCCTAAACCCCACAGATTACATCTAAATGCTTAGCCGCAAAAGGTCGGAAAGTGAGGAAAGTGACTATCGTCCGGTATTTTTAACTGTTGCACACTGTACTAGGTGAGATCCTGCAAGCCGAAAATATTTCTAAATCATAATTTTTCAACTCGAATAATTTATTCAAGATGAACGACAACCAGGACCAAAGATCACATCTCCCACCTTCCCCATTGTCACAGCCGTTGACAGCAAATGGAAGAGACTCCGATACTCCCAAACCTAATGTGGCTCCTGTGCATCCCAAACCTGTGCGAGAGCCTTATTACAAACGGTTGAACACACCTCTAAATACCAGACCTGCTTCTCCATACACATTAAATCCCCCAATAGATTCGGACGGGCTTTCATGGCCTTCCCTGGGTGCAAGAGGGCGGATTGAATCCAACGAAGAGGAGGCCAAAGCCAGAGAGGATAGAATAGCAGAGGCCGTCAAGACGATATTGACTGAACTTGGAGAAGATGTAAACCGCGAGGGTCTGCTTGAGACTCCTCACCGGTATGCAAGAGCCATGCTTTTTTTCACAAAAGGCTATGAGGAGAATATAAAGGATGTTATCAAACGTGCTGTTTTCGAGGAAGACCACGATGAAATGGTGATAGTCAAAGATATTGAAATTTACTCGCTATGTGAACACCACCTAGTTCCGTTCTTCGGCAAAGTCCACATTGGATACATTCCTAACAAGAAAGTTTTAGGGTTGAGCAAGCTTGCAAGACTGGCTGAAATGTACGCTAGACGATTCCAAGTCCAAGAAAGACTGACTAAGCAAATAGCTATTGCCTTGAGTGAAATTCTTCAGCCAAGGGGAGTTGCGGTGGTTATAGAAGCCACACATATGTGCATGGTGAGTCGTGGAGTGCAGAAAAGTGGAGCCATCACTTCCACCAGTTGCATGTTGGGATGTTTCCGCGCCCAGCAGAAGACCCGAGATGAGTTTCTTACACTTTTAGGAAGAAGGTAAATTTTGATCGATTATATTATATGCGGTAATGTACACCCTTCATTTCTTTTTTTTGGAAAGACTGGAGCCGATAGTTATGTTCACCTTCGGAGGAACCGGAAATCCAAACGACTTGCCAACTTTCACCAAGTCAAGCTTATCAACCTGATACACCGTCTTGAGATGGTGAGAGGCATAAGCCTGTAAATATGCTCGGTACCCATCTTTAGCAGATTGATGGAGCCAGTAGTTGTTCTTCACAAGCTGCTCCAATTGAGATTGCACGTTGGCAATTTTGTTGGCTGGGAATTCGTACTCATTGAGAGGAACTTTGGCCGCTTTCAGATATCTCAGGAATCCTAGCTCTGAAGGAGTCAAAAACATCAGCGATTTACCCTTTCCTTTGCTTCCTCTAGCAGTCCGACCAACACGATGGATGTAGTCACGGGGATCATCAGGTGGATCGAATTGAATGATCCAGTCGACCTCCGGAATATCAAGGCCTCTAGCAGCCACATCCGTGCAGATCAAAATTCCCTGTTTGGCATTGCAAAACTCGAAGAACGTGTTGGTGCGCTTTTGCTGCTTCTGCTTCCCGTGGAGATCCAAGACTGGTAAATCAATATAATTCAGAAGCTCACTGTAATATTTCACACAGTTACAAGACGACAGGAAGACAATAACCTTCTTTTTGAGGTTCCGCTTGAGGAATGAAAACAAGAGCAGGAACCTTTTGTCGCTGTCGCAAACGACGTATCCCTGTTCCAGCCCGTCGGCAGTAGAAGTCTCTCTATCTTGGTGAACGTTGATGTATAAAGGAGCCTTGTTGAGAGACACTCTAGCCAAATCCTCAACCTTGGTTGTCTGTGTTGCAGAAAACAGCATGGATTGCCTTTTTTCGTTAGGTAAGATCTTCACTATTTGCTTCATTTCATCCTCAAATCCTATTTCCAGAATTCTGTCTGCTTCGTCTATAATCAATGTCTTCAAGTTCTTAAAGATAAATCCCTTCGTATTTTGCAAGTGATCCAGCAATCTACCTGGAGTGGCAATGATCAAATTCACACCTTTTGCCAATTTTTCAGCTTCTTGACGTCTATTTGCACCACCAATAAGAATTCCCAGAGTCTGAGAGTGGTGTGCCATTAGTTCACGAGCCACACCAAAGATCTGGAGAGCCAACTCTCTAGTTGGTGTAATGACAATGGCACCTGCTCCGTTACGAGGCTTGAACTTGAGCGAGTACAACAACTCAATGGCAGGAATCAAAAAAGCCAAAGTCTTACCGGAACCTGTCTTGGCAGCTCCAAGCACGTCTTTTCCGGCCAGAAGTGGGGGAATGGTTCTCGCTTGAACCTCAGTCATCTTTGTGAATCCCATTTCTTGTATTCCCTTCATCGTTGGTTCAGACAGATGAAGATCGGCAAAATCTTCAGGGTTTTCTTTAATTTGTGGTCTGCCAGAACGATCAGATTCTTCCTCTCTTTCTTCTTCCTCCTCTTCTTCTTCTGCTTCCTCTTCCTCTTCTTCTTCTTCCACTTCATCTTCTTCCTCTTCTTCAGACTCACTGTCGTGGACGTTTGACTTCTTGTCCTCTTGTTCCTTCTCGCTTTCGCTGTCTTTCTCTAGAAGAGCCTCAACATCATTATACTCGTTATTAATCTCATTAACAAGAGAATCAGTGTTTTCCTCAATTTTCTCTTTCTCCACGCGTTGTCTTTTGGACTGTTGGGGGTTCTTAGCCACCTTTCCGTGAGAACGTTTAGCCATCTAGATCAAAAGTTTTCTAGCTAAAAAAATTTTTATTTCATGCATGCTTAGGTAATGGTAGCAGATCAACTTGTAGACATACAGATAAGTAGATATAAGTAGATTCGAGCAGTTCAGACCAACTGTGGCGTGCGAAAACATTAAACTGATATGATCCTTGAGTTGGAAAACAAATGCAAGTTTACAACTCGCCACAGGTCTACTCTTGTGACGACAAAGTTGTTTCAAATTTAAAATCAGTGGGAGTTTAATATCAACTTTTATGCAACCATATGAGGTATGCTTTAAAATTACGCTGAACTACTGCTAGTTTTGATGCGAATATACACCTTCACTTCTTGAACAGTGTTGGACTGGAACTTTTTCGAGTTCAGTAGATTAGATATTATGACAATATTTGCGTCGTATCTCCTCAGCCACCTGCGCCACAAATAGCAAGATAACTCCTTTTTATCAACTTATATAAATAATGAAGTGACACCATATTGCCCTCCAATCTATAATGTCGGAAAAGAAAACTTTTATCGTACGTACAATTGACATAATTGACATCCAAACTAACCAGTCAGGTCACGCTCAAGGAGAATTGCTCAGATCCAGCAATTGCTAAGTAAGTATTATCGTGCTTTAGTCCAATTAACAATGCAAGGTTCAAGGAAGGAATCAAAGCCGTGGGTGGAGAAATTCAGCATGAGTATTCATTGATCAAGGGCTTCTCGTAAGTAAGAAAGATGATATGTGACTAACATACAGTGTCAAATTGCCATCGCTCCATGTTGACTCCCTGCTGCACAAGAACGAAAACGTTGCTAGTGTGGAGGAAGATCAGCAGGTTCACACCCAATAAGACTTGAATCACTTTTGATTAGAGCCCATGCGGCTCAAGGATGTTTTGTAACACTGTTTCGGTGTTATTGTTCTATCTATGGCTATACCTATTTTACATTTTACATAATCACAAGAAATGTTGACTTGACTAGATTAATTAAATTAAATGTGACTCTTCGCGAACTGTTTCCCCGCGGCGATCGCCGGCACCTTCTCACAATATTTAAATACGTATCAGTCTCTGGGAAATTTTTTTTGGTTTAACAGATTCATCTTCTGTTCAAATATTAAATGGCTGACGTCGTACTAGGTGCCCAGTGGGGTGATGAGGGAAAAGGAAAATTAGTGGATATCCTCTGTGATGACATCGAGGTTTGTGCCAGGTGCCAAGGAGGAAACAACGCCGGCCACACCATCGTTGTTGGAGACAAGAAGTACGACTTCCACATGCTCCCATCCGGACTTGTGAATCCGAAGTGTGTCAACCTGGTGGGATCTGGTGTTGTTGTGCACATCCCTTCATTTTTCGAGGAGCTGAGCAAGATTGAGGAGCAAGGTCTCGACTGCAAAGACCGTCTTTTCTTATCTTCCAGAGCGCACTTGGTGTTCGACTTCCACCAACGTGTTGACAAACTTAGAGAGGCGGAACTGTCCACCAATAAGAAATCCATTGGTACCACCGGTAAAGGAATCGGGCCAACTTATGCCACCAAAGTGTCCAGATCTGGTATTAGAGTTCACCATCTTGTTAGTGACGAGCCAGATTCGTGGAACGAGTTCGAAACTAGACTGAGAAGACTTGTGGATACTCGTTTCAAAAGATATGGCGAGTTCGACTTTGATGTCGAAGCGGAGATTGCCAAATACAAGGATCTGCGTGAAAAGATCAAGCCCTTCGTGGTGGACTCGGTCCAGTTCATGCACGAGGCTCTGAAAAAAAAGAAAAAGATCCTTATCGAGGGTGCAAACGCTTTGATGTTGGACATTGATTTTGGAACCTATCCTTATGTGACATCGTCCAATACCGGCATCGGAGGTGTCCTGACAGGACTTGGTATTCCTCCTCAGAGCATCAAGAACATTTACGGTGTGGTTAAGGCTTACACCACCAGAGTCGGTGAAGGACCATTTGCTACCGAACAATTGAACGAGGTCGGCGAGAAGCTGCAGGATATTGGCCGCGAGTACGGAGTCACGACCGGGAGAAAGAGAAGATGCGGATGGCTGGATCTTGTTGTGGTCAAGTACTCGTGTCTCATCAATGGATATACTTCCTTGAACATTACCAAGCTAGACGTTTTGGATACTTTCAAGGAGATCAAGGTTGCTGTTGGATACAGCTACAAGGGTAAAAAGCTCGAATCGTTCCCTGAAGACTTGTACGTCCTAGAGAAAGTGGATGTTGATTATGTCACTTTGCCGGGCTGGAACCAGGACATTACCACTGTTAAGACCTACGACGCCCTGCCTGAAAATGCCAAGAAGTATCTTAAGTTTATCGAGGACTTCTTGGGAGTCCCTGTCCAGTGGGTTGGAACTGGTCCAGGCAGAGACAACATGCTGGAGAAACAATCGTAAAGGGAATCTAAACGCTGTCTAGAGAATTGATATACGAAAATTAAATTTTTTGCTTCCAGTCACGTGATGACACATAATAGAGATAGTTGGAATTGCTCAATAGTAACAGCCACGATTAAACCACCAGCAGATTAGCCTTAGTTATGTTTGTTGTTCCAACTCTTTAGCTAAAATTTTCCTTGATCGAGCTGGTTTCCTTCATATCGTTATAGAATGGTACTACCATGAGCAATCAGTCATCAGATATTCAGCGATTCCTGATCGAGTTAATCAACTCATCAAAGCCGAAGGTGTCGCCTAACAGAGCCATCAGGTTCCCTGTCGAGCCCATGACAGATGAAGACTTAGAGTTTTTCAAACTTGCCAATGAAGTGGTCAAAAAGCACCAGTATCGTATAGACCCCACCATTCGAGACATCTTGAACAGGCTTCAATATGCCCACTCGCCCCATGGAGGTCTTCCCATGGCGAGAGAGTATTTGGGTGTGCAGGCAGATGGGCTGATTGGCCAACGCGAGTTTCCGTCGGCTGCAGAGATGGAACCGAGAGGAAGTCGCAGCTCGGACATGTTCCCTCACTTAGACCAGGATGTTTTCAAACGCCAACAACAATACCCCAACGGTCACGTGGGATCGTCTTTGTACGCGCAACATGCAGAATTGCAGAATACAGAACTCATAAGCCAACTAGCTGCCAGCATCAAGAGCATGGACCCTGTTGCACAGCGGGAGCTGCTGCAAAAGCTCTCCGGAGCGATATCTACGAACGGGTCATCACAGTCACCTACATCGTCATCTACGCATTCACAACAATTGCCGCTGCTTCAAGAACTCGGATTCCAGAGGATAGCTCAAAACACCAGGGAAAAAGAACAGGTTACGAATTCCAACCACTTGACGGCTACATCTCCCGAGCCACAGCCAAAAAGCCATGTTTGCGGAACATGCTCCATGACGTTCAAGCGCTCATCGGACCTCAAAAGGCACGAGAAAATCCACTTGGAGGTGCCTCCTAACATCTGCCCGCAGTGTCGGAAAGGGTTTGCTCGCAAAGACGCATTGAAACGACACATAGACACACTAACGTGCAAGCGTAACAGAGAGCGTTTATTGTCGAAGCTTAATGAGGAGAACCTGAGCGATTCTGAGTGAGCCTGTGTATAGTATTGGATTCGAAAGTAAAGCTTTAGTAATTGCGATCTATTTCAGGGCTGCGTAACCACTTGTCAGCTCGTCGAAAAATGTCGATTTGAAAAAAAAAAATGAAAAATTCGTACTAAGACAGCTGAATCAAAATGCCAATTGACCCAGAAAAGCTCGCAAAGTTGCAAAAGGCCTCCGCCAAGAAAGTCGGTGGACAGAGAATCAAGGCAAAGAAGGTCAACAAGAGTGCTGAGGCCGATGACACCCAGCTACAAAACACCCTCAAGAAGTTGAACGCAGAGGTTTTGACCGGTATCGAGGAGGCCAACTTCTTCAAGGAGGACGGCAAGGTCTTGCATTTCAACAGAGTCGGGGTTCAGGCTGCTGCCGCCTACAACACCTACACTTTCAGCGGTTTCGCTCAGGAGAAAACTTTGCCAGAGTTAATACCAAACATTTTGCCGCAATTGGGTGCTGAGAACCTCAGCATGTTGCAAAAGCTTGCTGAGCAATTCCAAGGAAGCCAAGCTGGTGCATCTACTGCATCCAAAGAGGAGGAGGACGTTCCAGAGCTGACCGAGGGCGAGACTTTCGAGAATGATGTTGAGTAGAGCAGATACATAATGAATGTATGACTACCATTATTATTGCACAGGCAAATATTCCGGAATACATACAAAGAAGGTGCTAGTAATTATCTAATCAAGCAAAGGCTACCATCAAGGCAAGGACGAAAGCGTAGGTAGATTGCAAGCCGACGTTGAGGCCTGCGGCACCGGCGTGCAGGTTGGTCTCGATAGCAACTGATGACCCACTTGGCAGAGTGTGAATAGAAGTGCCGTTACCTGGGACAGCAGTAAAGACAGGCGGCGATCCGGACCAGGAAGAGCCGACTTTAGTTGAAGAAACCGGCGTCACGGTTTTGATAACTGATGTCGAGGTTCCTGACGTCACAGAGAACGGAGGAGGATAAGTCGAGGAGACGACCGGAACTGCTGGGCTGCTCTCGGACAGGATGGACTTTGATGAGGCAGGTGGGGGAACCACGGATGAGTGAGGAGGAACAGAGGATGGTGTCTCAATGGAGTGAGTCGTTGTTGATGGCAGTGGACAGTACGTGGTAAAGACTGTGGTAAACTCCTCAAATGTTTGTGTCGTGATCACACATCCGGTGGTGACCGTGGATCCTTCCGTGGTAATGACCGTGGTCCACGTCGTTGGAGGCTCTGAGCTGGTGCTTGTAATTACAGAGCTGTGCGAGGAAGGCACCGTGATAATAGAGGTGAGCGAGCTGCTGTGCGAGGTGACAGGAGTCGAGCTAGACTCCTCGCAGTCCGAGGTCTTGGTGGTGCTAACTACCTCGTTGTCGGAGGAATGGGTGGAAGAAGGATGTTTTGGAGCAGTGACTGTCACGTACGCAGTACTGGTTGTCTCAGATTGCCAATCGTCGCCAACAGGCCTAGCTGGAGCAAGAGCCAGCAGAAAAGTGGCAGCAGCCAAAATCTTGTATCCCAACATTATGTGTAATCAAGTTTAAGGTTGGCATTGTTGTCTGGCCTTTAAATATATACTCAGCTGGAAAGTTTCTGCACTTCTTTTCTGGGCTGCTGGAAACTATGTGCTGTGTGCCGTCTACCCAATTGGCTGCTCTGGATCTCATGGGGAGCCACCTTTTTTTTTTTCTGCAACCACCGGTAACAGAATTTTTTTATTGACGAGTAAATTCCCCGATTGTGCCTGTTAAAAACCAGACATGCAAATCCCAAGAATTTGCTGCCAAAGAGCCTGGTAACAACCTGGATTGCACTTTTAGCAATACAGAGAAAAAAATCGTTTCAGTAGAGGACATAAAGCCATATACGATTTTTATGTTCAATCAAAAAGCACACAATAATGTGCATTGACAACAGGAATGAAGCTCTTTCTTTGACTCAAATTTCCTCAAGCGGTAAACCATACGCTGTTACCTACGCGGGAATTCTGCCCAACAAACGCTGTTCTTTTTCATCCGAAAATAGCTTTTGAAGCCAGCGGAATCAAAATTTGAGCAAGTCGGAGCTCATCGAGATTCTGGGGATCCACCTCAATAACATCTTGCGTACAAAATTGTTGCACCAGGTCATCGTCGTTGCTGACGTCGGACCCATCTAGCCGGTTCTCGAAATCGTACTCGATATTCTGCAACATTGCAAACCGCTTGAAGCTTGTTTGGTACTGGTCTTTTGTAGAAAGCAATTGCTGGTAGATTGGAGATTTGATTTCATATAGGTTTGGATCAGAAAGCTCGACTGCCTGTATATTTTTGCCAGCGATTTTGCTCAATTGTAATATATCTCTTCTGTGTCTCTCTAATATCAGAAGCTCAAGCAGACGGTCATGTAATCTCGACGTCGTTGTAGGGATAAGTTCGTAGTCTCCGTCTGCCTTCTTCTCAAGTCCTCGAAAGATCAACGAGCTGTGGTCCTGTGGAATGCTCTCAAATAGATCGAGACGGAAATCAATCATTTCCTGGACATCCCTCTCTCGCGCATGCTTGATCTCCTCAAAAAGAAATATGTTGTAATCGAGCGGAAAATCAGACACTTGAGCAAGCTTTTGAGCACTGGCTGTCTGCAATTTACTCAAACTCGGTGGAGACTGTAAAAAGGACATTTTCTGCAAAAATTATTTAATCATGTCGTCTTTTCTTGTTGATCTTTGGGACTCGGTTTTCCAGCCGGGAGCAACGCCCACACTTGTGAAAGCGACCCACGCGTCTTTTGTGTGCTTGGTCGTTTCGCTATTGGTGATGATCTTCCTCAGCCGGTCTGTTCACTTTGTTAATTTGTTGGTCATCTCCCTTCTATTATGGGGATCCGTGACGTGGTTCATTGGAGAAATAGCGAAAGAGAAGATCAAGTTGGAGCAGCACGGAAAGGAACAGCAGAGCAAGAAGCAGGAAGACACCAAAAAAGAGAAATAGACCTTGTATACACGCTGCGAGACCTGTTCAGCCTAAGCCATTACCTCAGCCATTACTAATATAAATTTTTAGATTTAATTGTATCTCATGAGCAAGAAATTCATGCCAAAGACGCCCGTGGACTTGGCTCCACCACGGGATGATCCCATAACAATGGCTGAACTTGCGAAGTGTGATGGTGAGTTTTGCGAACGCATTGTGGTCTCTAACCAAAAGGTGAGCAATCGGAGAAGATGTACATAGCCATCAAAGGCACCGTGTTCGACGTCTCGCATAACCATGCTGCCTATGGTGTTGGTAAGGGTTACCATGTTTTTGTTGGCAAAGACGCGTCACGAGCTCTTGGGAAGAGCTCGTTGAAGCCCGAGGATACATCACCCGATATAAGTTGGGACTACTCAACCTTGACGGAGAAACAATTGAAGGTCTTAGATGACTGGTTTACATTTTTCAGTAACAGATATAATATCGTGGGCCGTGTGAGCGATCTTCCGGTAAAGAAGGAAGTTTAGGGTACTGTGGTGGACCCAGGAGCTACTTATTTATAATGTTTCAGATGAGAATGTTTACTTAAATCTTTACACCGACAGAAAAGTCGTGCACGGTGCTTGTATTTCAAGGGGTAGTAAAGTAAATAACAGGTCTAAGTCAATTTTGTTTTGATTCAAAAAAGTTTTATTTTGCACGAGCCCTCGTTTTTCAAGTGCAAAATGGAACAGGCTATGCTCGTCAACAACCGCAGGCCCCAGAATGTTGTGGATGGGGTGCCTAGGAGCAGCATGAGTCAGGCATTGGGCGACAGTGCTTTCATAGATGTTCGGAAAGAGGCCCCATTGCCTAACAACAACAGAGCCCATTATGCTAGCCAGCCGGGACCATACTACCCTTCACCAAACTACCAGGGATATCAGAAACCCCATCCGGGAGCATATCAAGTTCCATATCAGCGATACGATATGTACATGCCCATGCAACCCCAAGTAGACTATTATGGCCGGCCGGCTAATATGGCTCCTCCGAAGGTATTTGGCGAGGGTGCGTCACATTCGAGAAGAAGCTCGCTTGCGTCGAACTCTTCCAGCTCAGTGAACAAGTTTTTCAAGAGAGGAATGAAGTTCGGAAAAGATGATGACGATGACGATGGAAACGGAGACGCGGACGGAGACGTGGAACTCGAAGTCTCGGCCAGCACCGTTTCTTTTGATGACCTGCAGCATATTAGAGGGGGAGGAAGATACGGAAACGGCTCATCTGCTTTGGACACTCAGCCTTATATCCCCACATTATCCAGTAGACCAAGAGCTCCCAACGGCCAATTGTCAAACGTGCAGTACCGTAAGCAAATGACCGCACAGAAGAAAATGGTAGCTGCACAGTTGGCAAATGCCAACAAGGGTCCGCCGCGGGCAATGAGTCTGGAGGCAGGCATGATGCGGTACCCGAGAACCATGTCTATGCAATCAGCAGGCCCAGGCTACATGAACCCGGGCCCCAGAATGGGATATGATCCAAGGGCAATGTCCATGCAGACGAGACCTCCACCATTTAATAATAAATTTAGTGGCCCTGATCCAAGCAGCGGCAATCCTCCGAAAGCCATGTCGATGACCTCGAGATTTCCAAACTCGCCGTACAGAGTTCCACAAGGCATGGCTCTCCAGCCTGCCAATCACAACGGTAAGGCGGGTTCAAATCCATCCGCTCCAAATGTTGGCCCTGAGTATCCTCAAGGCAGCCAGAACATGCATATTCCACCTCAGATGATGCGTTCAGGCCCAGGAGGCCCACTAGGGCAACAACCCACCCCAAGTCCTTACTCGCAGCAACCTTCGACGCTGAGACAGCCTCAGCCAGTTGCCCAACAAAATATACCCCAGCAAGAACATTCTACGACGCTCAACTACAGCATGCCCGGACCGATGCAGCCTATCGGCGCTTTCGAATCGCAAAGCCAACCACCCTTCTCGAGCGCAGTGCAAGCCACCCCACCAGTTGATCAAAATGCAACGTATATCCCTATGCAAAATAGGCAATCTGCACAGCAATATACTCTGGCCGAACCTCAAAGTCAAGAGAAAGCATTGGAAGGACATACATCGTCTCGTCCTATCGTTTCCATAAACCGTGCAAGTAATTCACCTAGCCACCAATCACAACATGATTATGACGGCATGCCTGCAGAGGTTGTTTCAAGTTCACAGAAGGAAGGAGAGGTCAGGCCGACTAATGAGGCTACTCAAATTCAAGCTAACTCTTATGAATCCTTGCCAAACGACGCACCTGCTCCAGAACCGTTCCAGCCTGCAAAAAAGAACAACAGGGGAAAGCTCAATAGGTATGTGTTTGCTGACAGTGACGATGAACATGACGAGGGTCCAGTTTATCAAGAAACAGAACTTCATAAACAGCTTCCAAGCGACCAAGAACCACTAGAGAAAAAGAGCGAGAAGGAGGAGCCAGCCAGGATGGATACGGCAAAGCCTCGGGAATCACTGTCTTTTCAACGCCATTCCAATGACTCCCGGACCTTTGTTGACGCTGGTGCTCGGTCTTCATTGAGATCGGTCTTATCAGCTTCTACGCATGGGGAGACAAGACAGTCGTCGTACGAGAAAGCTGGATCAACATCAGGAGGCGATCCGGATTCGTCTATGTACTCGGTGACATCGTCGCATGAGAGCCCCATAAAGCAACGCGTTGCTAGTTCTCAGGTGTATCAGCTTGCTAATACCAGCACAACTCGGCAAGATGTTTTCACAACCGCTACAGAACTGCCAATTGAGGAGAATGAACAAGACATGGAACAGCCAAAGGTCATCAATGATATGGATGATTACGATACAAGCAAGAACAATTCGTATTCAACTTTCAATGATTTTGAAGCCCCTCAAAATGTGACTGAGCAGGCTGACAGCTCTTCTTTTGACTCAATTTCGAAAACTCCGGACCACACAGTAATCACTGATGATGACATAGAAAACAAGGTGAAGGACCAAGGATTCAATTCTGTTAGCTCAGATTTCACTCCAAAAGAAAACTTCTCCGAAATCAGGGATCTCGACAACAACTCAGTTCAAACCACAGGCGCTTCGATGAGTTCTGACAAACTTATTTCTGCAAATAGTTCAGAAACCATTAGCCCAGTTATGAAAGACATTTCAACTGAGGAGAATAAGGTACAAGATGGTGAAGATAGATCGAATGATAACTCATATTCAACGCAAGATCGAATTTTTGCGCCAAGAGATCCTGGTGAAGACCCCAGTTCAATGGATGGGTATGAGACGCAAAAATCAACGGTTGCCGAAATTCCGCATATTCCAGAAGACTCTGTGCCGCTTGCCAAAGCACAAGAGGAAACTGAAGTCCCTCAAGAGCATTCTGTTCCCACGGTTAGACATTACAAATCAATGCTGTTGCCTGTTGATAATGAAGACTATGCGAAAAAGCGGCAGCCTACAGAGCACAGAATTAAGGAGAAAAAAGATGGTAGCGACTTGGACCTCACGTCCAACAACTCATCAGCGTCGTCAAAGGTTCGTTCAAGAAAGCCACCTCCTCAACCACCCGCAGCCAACAAGTCCCCGGAGCTTGAGACAACTAAAAAATCGCCATTTATGGGATTCAAAGAAGCATTTTCAAGACCGGTTTCTGCAGGGAATAGCCCAAAGCTGCCTAATGCTAAGCATTTCCTGAAGAAAATATCCCGAAGAAAGCGTGATGAGGACGGCCATACGAATGCTTCGAACCAGGGTGATAACTCATACAAAGTAATAGGTTCTTCAACGACCTCTGTTCAAAATAGCGGTTATGCTCACAATTACCGTGGACTCACTATTAATCTACCTTCGAAAGATTCTGATTCCACTTTCAAGAACAAGAAGCTACCTAAAACTCCTATCACCCCTTCGGACTCGCTCATGAACTATAGACTGACATTAAACTTGGCTAACGAGGAGAATGACTACAGGTTGAGTAAAATTATTGACATGGATCTTGATGAGCAGAGTTTCACTCAAAATACGAGTTTGGATGACATCAACGGATTCAACACCAGTACTGATCTTGAAAAGGCCACCCCGCTAGCGAACTCAAGCATGACTGTCGACGTCGAAGAGGAACAGGCATTGGGCAAGCAGATTCGACCTAGTGGACCTTCAAGTACGGAGCATATGAATGGGAAACTGGTAACGCCTCCTCGGAGTAAGGAAGAGGACAAATTCAACTTCACATCCCCAGAATCAGGCAAGACAGGAAAAATATCTTTGGGAGAATATCCTGAATATGCCAATTATCAGCATATGACGAGCAACGAGAGCCAGCATCAGGATCAACCATCGAATATCAAATCGCCTCAGTATGCTTTCCAGGGTGCCAAAGAGAAATCACTAGCGTCCCCTAGCACAACTGTTGACGCAAGAGATAGGCAGATGACACCCGTTTCACAGCAAACAGATCAACTGACAAGCGAAACTGCTGTCTTCAAACCAGAACAATTGGAGCTTTTTAATTCGAACCAGGAATTGTTCAACGAGCTTCAAATTGTTTCCAGCGAGCTGGCCGATAGCATATCCAGGGAGATCAGACTTCAGCGTAAATTGGAAGTGAATAATATCCCGATTGAGGGAGACGTGGTGTCTGAAGAATCAAAGATTGCAAGTCTTACGCAGCAACTGGCGGATGAAAGACGCAAGAGGTTTGCTGTGGAGGAGTTCCTTGCTCAGCAGTATAATAAAGGATTCGATGTTGCGGATCTCAAAAATAAGGTGTACAATAACTCGGACATGGGCTACAAAGTGTTCAAGCTGACTGAAGAAAACAATTTGAACAAATCGAAGTACGAAATAATGGAGCAAGAAAATAGCGAGCTCAAAAAGAGGCTAGAAAAGTTGAGCAGCGAGAATAAGGAGTTAATTGGCACTACCATTCCGAAATTGAAAAACCAGCTGGAGGTGGCTCAGAATCCAGTGTCTGCCGCTACCTACGACTCCCTTTTGAAAGAAGTTGAGCAGCTCAAGTCTGAAAAGTTGCATTTGAGGAGCCAACTGAGCTCGAAGGGCAACATTGCAGAGCTTGAGTCTCAGAAAGAAGAGTTGCGTGAGGCTCTGAAGAACGTGAAAGCTCAAAAAGAGATGGATCTAAGAATGTGCGCAGAGAGAATTCGTACCTTGGAGGCCAAGGTCGAGAAGCTAACATTGACAAACGAACGGTACATTCAAAAATTTGGACCGATAGTGTTTGATGAGTGACGAGCTGGTTTACGTTCATGTATGAATATTGTTAAGACAGTACGAATAGTAGAAGATACGAAAAATAAAAAATTGAATTTTTCATTTGTATATCAACTATTCAAATTTATTATAAATATGGAAGAGCCTCCGCATAAGCGCAAGAGAAGCGTTTCTGATGATGAAGGATATGAGCCTTCGTTGGCAGCATCTTCGGAGCCATCTGGGAGACCTTTAGCTGAAGTGCCTTCAGGGGCGCATCAGCACTCAGAGCTCTGGACCAAGAGGCCTAGACGGGCCTTGTTACCACGGGAGGTTGAGTTGGCCAAAAATATTTGCGCCGAGATTGGAAAAATAGGCGAATATCCTCAACAGCTTTCGCTCGACCTGGA